GCCCAAATCCATCGGCCAAGCATCGCTCAAAGTCCTACATTGGCTTATTCACATGCTACGCAAACATTACATTGAACTCCGTCTATGCGCTGACAATTGGAAAGCTATGAAATTAATGATCGACAACTATTCCCAATGGTACAACTACCACGTCGTCAAGAAACAAACTAGCGGTCATGTCAAGTCCGAAGACATAGAGACTGCCGACGATGACAACAACATTACCCCTCCTTCTTCCTCACCATCTGCGACACCTGCTGTTACCCCTCCTTCTTCCTCACCATCTGCGACACCTGCTGTTACCCCCCCTTCCTCATCTTCTTCAACACCTGCGGCTACCCCTCCTTCCTCATCTTCAACTTCTCATAAACGAGTTAACGTTGATATCGACCCTGTTGCAGAACCAGCGTTGAAAAGACAACGAGTCGAAGTGGAGGACCTCTCACCTTCACCTCTTTTAACTGGCCCTGATAATGATTTGTATATTGCACCGGTAAGTCAAATTTTCCTTCCGTTTTACTTATTAATTGTTGTAGATTATGCCACCTGCCTCACCCCGCACTGAGAACGAAATCCCGCGACACGCATCACCAGAACGTGAACCAACCCCACCTCCCCGTACCGACAAAGGAAAAGAGAAGGAAGTGATTACTGTGGAGGTCAACAATCCTCTGTAAGTGATCGCTCTATTGCTCATTACATTCTACTGATACTATTAATTTAGTTCTAATCTTGTCTTCAAACCTCGCCCCAAGCCAATCCCAAAGAAAGCTCCTGCCTCCATCGACTCTGCCACTTCTGGAACGACTAGCGCCGAGCCGACTATCATCACCCCTCCATCCAATGACCCATCGGATACCAACGCAGCTTCCCTCGCTGTCAAGATGGAACTCCTGGTAGCGACCCCCACGGAGCCCATTCCCGGTGCAATCAACTCGAAGGCCCAACCTGCAAAGAAGCGTCAGCCGAGCACAAAGCCCATGCGTGTGAGCTCGAAGATCACGGCGCGGTAAGATTTATCTATTGCGGTCACAGCAAGTAAGGCTAACACTATTATTATTATAGGAATCTTTGTGCCCTCGAATGGCAATCGAACGGCCATCAGAAAGAACCGGCAAGCGTCTTTGCAACCTACTGGAACAGTCTATCGAAGACTGACAAAGAGGTATGTCGTTTTTGTATTGATGTCATTTATCTACTGACTAGCACTATTATTGAAGGTATACAAGCACAAAGCGGCTCTACAGGTGCGTGGTTTTCATGATATCCGCGAGTATCTTCATACTAACAATGATTTGCCTTATAGCTCGGCTCGGCTGGACCCACTGAAAGGAACGGCGCCGGCGATGATGCAGACGAGGAGTAGCGGATGGATACGAGGCGGGATGGCGGGCGCGGGATGGCGGGATGTCGGGATGGCGGAGGCGGGCGCGGGCGCAGCGATACCACTACCTAACCATAGCGATACCTATAGATACATCATTCAATGGCATTAGATACCTATTCATCTCATCTAATTGGAACATTTTCAGCACATGTTTGCATCTAAAACCCATCTAAAACCAACTAAAATCGTATCGAAGCTCGTTTCGGTCTCTATCGTTTTTCGTCTCGAAAAGTCCCACTTTTCTAAAGAGGTCGAAACATAACGAAAAATTTCATTCCCTCATATTTTTTTCGATCTATATCTACACGTATCTACGTCATTCTTGTCGATTTTCACTGGGATTGATTGACTAAGAAGCTGATACCGGTCGTCAGAAAACAACATTAACATAAACAGAAACTTACATACCGAAATAGATTGCTTGCTAAGCCATGGCTTGGGCCGGCGGCTTAGGCTTTGCAAAATTGAAGCCTGGGCCAAAGCCCTGGTCAGGCCATGTCCTAGGCCTGGGCTGGGCCTGGCTGAATCAGGCCCGGCTTGGCCTGGCCCGGGGCTTGAAGCCGAGCCGGAACATCACTAGCTGGGACTTCCGTACTCGCTGGGGAGTAGAGGGGAGTCGAAGTCGACGATGAGGTTCCTGAGAGGGGAAGGGATAGGAACGGGGGGCAGAAGGAGGGAGCAAGGAGGGTATCTTCCGCGCGATGGGTCATCCGCGGGGTTGAGACCGCTAGGGACATAGCGTGTGAGGATGATACAGGCAGCAGTGTAGAAACAACAATACAGAGAGGAACAAAAGATGCTCCAAACTGTATCTAAAAATGTTGAAGGTCGTGCATTGCCTAGTCTGCTATGCTTGAGATGACAAGCGCATTCGACCCTAAAGGGGAAGCAAGTGGAGCGAAGATCTAGTGGTATGTGCTGAAGCGAAGCGCAAGAAAGCGCAGGTGCGCGCAAGGTACGAAGGTGTGGGAAAGCACGCACGCGTGCGGAAATGGTAGAGAGACTAAGCTTAAATGATAATATAATGCAATATAAGAGAAGAGAGATGCAAAGTGTAGACAAATAGATTTCTACTATGTTCTTCTAGGTAGATAGTGGGTGGAAAGTATAGTAAGGTAAGGTGAAAAGTTTTTTTGAAAAGTAAGTACTGCTGGTGCTTATATAGCGCGGTCATGTGGAGCCGAAGCGCTACCGAGTAGGTATGTAAGGATATATATGGGTGAGAGTCCATGATAAAAATAAAGGTGGAACACTATGCTAATAAAGGAAATGGAAATATACACACTAGGGAGCTTGGTGGACAGTGGATGGATGCATCTGGATGGCTGGCGCTATAGGGCGCACAAGCGCGGGAATGCGCGCGCGTGTATACATCGTGAAGTGCGGGAATGGTGCGCGCATGGCACGCGTTGCGCGGGAAAGCTGCACCTCATATAGGAATTGCTGTGGACAGTACACAGAGTGGTGCTGCGAGTTGGTGCTGTATACTCCCTTAGTGGAAACTGTCATATCACGCCATGAGAGGCATGAGTCTCTATAGCGGGTCTAATGGCATGGTGAACGCATTTAAAGACGGCGTTGGTTGCACGATTGCGGCTGCACCCCTTCCACCACCCTTCCACAACTCCTCTGTTATCTCTGTAAACCTTGAAACAAGGGGGTGGGTTTGACTGGGAGGTCTGGAGGATGCTGAGGATGAGGAGTTCGAAGCCGATGGCTTCGGCCCAACCGATTTCGCGGTTGTCGGCCTTCCACCCTGGAACGAGACGCCAAGCCCGCCACCACCCATTGACCCATATTGCGACTCCCATGCCCGAACTAGCATCTGAGAAGGCGTTGAGGTCAGTGACGATGCACGGCCCTGGGATAGGTCTGCTGACGGCTGGTTGGCGTAGTGTTGCAGCCCACCACTGGAGGTCTGCGGCGCAGTTTTTGGGTGGGGAATGAGGCACGAAAGGACGGTTACCGTATAAGGGAAGCATGGCCTCCAACTCGACAAGGTACACTCGTCCTTCTGGAATGATCTTGGCAGCGTGAAGGAGCTTACCGTGAAGCTGTTGGACTTCGAGAAGGGTATGGCGGGTCCGGGTCTCCCATTCTGATATCGCCGCCAGGTATTTTTCCCTCTTCGCAAGTGGGATCTCGACTGTCAAGGTCCCACGAAAAGCCGGTGAAGGGTGGCTGGGAGCAGAAGGGCGTGTCCTTGGACACCTCCCAGGGAGTACCTGTTTGGCGCGAAAGCGCGTCAATATCATCCATACAGTAAGAGAACCTCGCGTCTCCTGCAGAGCGAGGACTCCTCTGGGAGAGGTCGATGATGGGGAAGATGCAATCCTCGTCGTACTCTTCTGGCTGTCCATTGGCCGCCGTGCAGCCTCTATACCATTTGCGACCACCGTTGATGCGGAGCCCTCCTTCATTCTGGATGCTCTGGGCCCAGAGTTTCCATTGCTTGTTGTATTCTTCAAGGTGCTTGAGCAGGATCCGGAAGAAAAGGTGGTCATCGACCCACTTGGAGAGAGGTCCAATTCCTTCGCTGCGGAAGATGTTGGCTCCAGCGTCGGCGAGGCCACCATAGGAACCAGCTGCCGAAGAACATCCAAAGCAAAAGCTGGTATCAATAGCGAAGGACTCGTCGTCCGAACGGACGACGAGTCCTGGATATTGGGAAGGGTGGAGGGGAATAGTCCTATAAGCCTCTGTGACGTCGCGTGTTGCGCCTTGATAACCTGGAGGGAGGCGCCAAATAAGTAAACATATAGTAGAAAAGGTACCGTATGTGCAAGGGTAAATGTTAGAGTCAATGAAAGAGTTAATGGACGGAACAGAGCGTGATAAAGATGAAAGACTATGTGATAAATTCTGAATAAGACGAAATTTGCCAGGTTTACCTGGCTTAGGGATAATCGAAAGCGGTGCTGTCTGAAATGGTCCAATGAGGGTTTCCACCTCTTCCTGCGAGAGAGGGCCCAAATATCTGCCGGCAGCGAACTCTCGAGAGAGAATCGATCTGAAGGCATCAGCGTGTTGAGAAATGGAGGGACTATTAGGTGGGCTATATGTGGTTGTGATGGGGGGAATGCTACCATGAAAGCCGTATTGTAGTGACTGCGGAACATGTGAATATGTACGTATAAGTCCAGATTTATTAAGTAAGAAACGCCATGCATCAGCGTGATAGGGGGTGAGGGCTTTAAGCTTCCTGGCCTCGAGGACAGCCTTGAGCTCCGTGATCCAGGTTCCCGCAGCCGGAGCATTCGTGAATGTGATCCTTGCTGCTGCTCGCGCATCCGTTGGGTCTCTGCCAGTCGTAGCACAACTGGAGACCCTGAGAATTGACAAGGCGACCTTCTGCGCTCCTGCGACAGTGTGTTGGGGTCTTGCTGTCCCAGAGGAACTCGCTCTTGCATTTGTGCATGTTGTGGGCGAATCAGCCGAGGCACAGAGCGCAGGCATGTAGGCCTGTTGATGCTGCACTGCTCTGAAAAGCCTGCCTGTCTCGAGTAGAGCATTTGCGCTCATGCTTGGCTTGTTGGTGGTTCGGAGACGTGGGACGAGGTGGTAGATGACCTGATGGGTTTCGAGGGGGGGAACGAGAACGAGAGCAAGTAGTTCAGGGCTGGCTCTTGTGCTGGTTGCGTTGGGAAGAGGTTTGGGGTTCGTGAGCGGGCTGCTGTGTAGCCATAGCTTGCTGCATCTGGTTGGGTACCAGCGATTGTAGGGAAGGAGGGGAAGCGGGAGCGAGGTTTCAGGATCATTGGTAGCGGCAGCATAGTGGAAGCAGTAGTGGAAGCAGTAGTGGAAGCGGGAGCGTGAACGGGAGCATGTGTGGTAGCGTGATGGGTGAGGGGGGAAGTTTGAATTAGTTTGAATTGTAATGAGATTCGAGTGAAAGTGACGAACCTCGTTCAAGCTTTCCAGATGCAACTTATTCCACACTTCTTCTGCCATATTCTTGAGGAGCATTGGGTTAAAGACGCTAATGTCGAATGCATTATCGAGGGTCAGCGTGTCGTGCCAGTCTCGGCGTACACGGGCAGCATAAAGAAGTAACGCGCGTTCCCCAAAGGGTTCAGCGCGTTGAGGGTGGGATACGATGTTCATAAAGAACATTGTGATGGCGTGTTGGTGCTTCTCCGGCCAGTTGAGCTTGTTTATGTAAAGGAGGAAACTGTTCTTTGCCATGTCGAATTGGCGCTATTCAAGGTTGTGGTCTTGAATAGCTTTGCGGGATGGCTTGAAGGACACGACAGGCTTTAGGGCCACGAAGTCTTCCACTTTCGTGAAACCGAAGGTCCCGTCTGCCGAGGACTTGGCCTCGTCTGCAGTTTCTTTGCATCCGTCGGGGCTGAAGTACCATAACTCCACGTACTCAAACGATTTGAGTTTGTGGATGGCATACTGGGACGGATGGGGGGTAAGAGTATCACTGACGGAGGTACATACCATGAAGTCGTTTATCTTCGGCTTTTTCTTCTTGGCCTCCCAGCATTCGTTCTCTGCTTCTTGCTCACGTGTCCATTCCTCTTGTTCCAACAGTTCTCGCATGGTTTGGGCTTGTTCCGCCGCGAGTCTAGCGTCTTCGGTGACTTGCTGGTTCCAAGCGGCAACGCGAATGTCGCAGTCTTGCTGCCATCCCACTGTGAGTTTGTTGGCTGCTTCAGCGTGTGTTGTCTGCGAGTTTCCGATGATGCGATTTCTTAACCCTTCGAAGGTGGCTGACGCGAAGTCGGGCTCAACGTCAGAGGTAGGGTTGGATGCGATACGTGCCATTTTGAAGTGGATGGCGGGGATGAAATTTGAGAGATTGGATAATATTAAGTGCTTTGTAAAGGTGTGGAAGTATTAGAATGTGTGTAGGAGAAAAGCAAATAACTCGACGAGGTAAGCGTCGAGGATTCTACTAGTGGAGGAGCAGAAACAAGAGACGCCGGCGTTTTCCGCTCGCCCAAAGACAAAACTCTAATCCTTCACTCGTACCTCGCTACGTAATAGAGTGAGAATCTTTTACTGCCTTCTAACTTATTGATAATTATCACAAGTTTTTTGCAAATTATTATAACTTTCTGGGAGTTGGCTGATCCTTAGTTCAAACTTGTATACATGAAAACAATTAAATTTGATTAAAAACATACTGAAATGTAGTGTAGTAAAATGTAGCTAGGGGGTATGACAAGCTCGAACCCTTACCCGTACCCGTGCAGGGTTTACCTGCGGGTAATACATATAGATATAAAGTTAGTAGTTATAAAAATGAGATACTTACTTCCTGCGAACGGGAGGCAGCGACTTGAATCAGCATGGCTCGAGCTCGAACGAGGATCAACGAACTCACTTCCTGCGAACGGTGGGCGACAACATGGATCAGCGTGGCTCGAGCTCGAACGAGGATCGACAGACTCACTTCCTGCGAACGGTGGGCGACAACATGGATCAGCGTGGCTCAAGCTCGAATGAGGATCGACAGGATCACTTCCTGCAAATGGTGGGCAACGACATGGATCAGCGTGGCTCGAGCTCGAACGAGGATCGACAAACTCACTCACTACAAACAGCGGACAACAGCTTGGATCAGCGTGGCTTGAACTCGAACTCGGACCGACAGACTCACTGAGTCACTGCGAACGGCGGGCAACAACTTGGCGAACTCGAACTCGGACCGACAGACTCACTCACTGCGAACATCCTAGAATAAATAGTTTTTAGAATTTTAGAATTTAAAAAAATCATTGCGCACCTTAATTGTATGTAGTGCAGGAACACCAGCAATGCCTCTTAAAGCTTCGAAGACGAGAGTGAGAGTTGAAGATCAGTGACATGGCACCACTTCGCTCAAACATTTCAAACTACAAGTCACATGATACAAACAAATACGTACAAATGTTGGACTTGAGATATTTCTTCGTTCAAACTACAAGTCACATGATACAAACAAATATGCACAAATGCTGGACTTGGATATTTTAAAATTTTGTTGCACACTCACGGCATCAATGATCACACTATTCAGGTGTCGAGTTTCTCAATACCCTGTAGACAGGCATAGTTTTATGACCCTTAGGTAGTACTCTATAACTTAGCAATAATTACATGTATGTTATGAATGATATTGATATTTAGCTCTAATTTGTAATAGTTTATCTGACTTATAAGAGTTAGATGTATTGTGTCTATTTATATCTAAATTAGCACAGGAGGTTTTCCCTGATGTGTAATAGTAATACCATGCGTACAGCCTACCAAAGGGCTGATTCCCTTGTTGTTAACCGTTCTCAACTACATTCTTACTACTGACGCACCTGAACTTCAACACAGTCATGCTCTTTTTCAAGACGTTTCCTGCTCAATGGTAAGAGCTCGTGCCAACAGTAAGAACACAAACTGAACATCGACAAATAAAACTGGAATAAGGTGACTTGACGAGTATCGGGAAGTTTATAGCAGCGGAGGCTAGCTTTGACATGTAGTTGCACCCCGGCATACTAGTAGGGAGCTTCGAGCGAGCGTTACGTAGATTATTAGATTAGGAAGTAGGTTAGGATTAGGTAGAGTGAGATCAACACAGGCAAAGTCATCGCGAAATGGATAGGACAGCGTTGTTGTGCTGCAGTCGAGATGGCACGTGATCTAGTGGTGAGCCCTTTTTGTGCTTTAGTGACAGCACTGCACGTAAGATTCATTCATCTAGAACACCGCAATCAACTCTACTAATAACTGGTGCTTCTCCTGCAATCAGACTGTCCTGCATGGATGTTCTGTCCTCAACTACAGTAGTGATATCTTCTTGAATGGCCTTGGTACTGGTTATTAGCGCTACATCAGGAAAACACTCAAAATGCCGTAGCCCTGGTGACAGCTATATAGCCGCTGTAGCACTATATAGGCACCCTTCAAGCTACTGTAGTCGCAGTAGCGCTATATAGGCACCCTTCAAGCTACATACGCATCAGTAAACTACAACTTTTCCCACAGGGAGCACGGAAGTCACGTTCTTGTGCAGCCCGTGACAGACTCCACAGTTCCCTCAAAGTTCCAGTGCGCTTGAACTTCAAGGTATCCAGTTTCCACATGAGCTGTGGGACATTGCAGCACATTTCGACATTTGTATACTAGTAGTACTACTATACTACTAGTACCCGGTCATACACTTTAATGCAATATATAGTCCTTATTTCTTTCATTTTGAACATTGGATTCAAATGCGACACGTGATCATTACAATAAAACACATGTATTGCGCAGTACACTTGCATACATACTATATACATGCGTGGTGTGATGGTAAATAGAGGTGCTAAGGTTCAACGTGTTCAAGGAGTCTCAACTTTTCAATCTAATTGGACCTGGATGTGATGGTATTCAAATGATTCTTATATTTAACTTTAGCTGTCAGGTAGTATGCAGTTGTATCGGAACTTACCTGGCAAATTGCTTTGCATGAGTGTGCGATGAGAAAGACCGTGCTTTTTGAACGCGATCCGCATGTGACCTATTCCTATATCTGCCTTCACTAGTTACTGCTTCAAAATGTCAAATTTATGCTTGGAGAGAGTCGCCGTGACTTCGTGTTCGCGGAGCACGCAGTCAGCAAGTATCTTCTCTGCGTTGAACACATCCCGTCTGGCCCTCGCAAGGTCCATGATGAGGTTCGCTTCAAAATCATTGACATCTTCGATCGCCTGTAAAAATGTTAACAATTGTTTGCACTAGTAGTAAAATATTTACTTGCCATTGTCCTAATAGCATCGACTACTTCGTATAGGTCAGAAATACCATCACCAGAGTGACACAGAGTATTAAGGCTTGCATGCCAGTGAGCAGGACGACGTGAAATCAACGGGATATCACTTATATTGAGATGTACTGGTTTGCCAGTTGACATGATGTATAAAAAAACACTTCATTGATTCGGACGATGTGAGTTGATGGTTCTCACGATGATTCCAAACTTCCCACAATCAATTTGGCCTAGAACCCTCCTTAGGAAGTCGAACTCATATGTCATATCAGTGTCCTTCGTGCGGCAAAGACAATTTCAAAGACCATGGCACTGTGGCTCAACACATGAGCCAACCTCGCTCTGGCTGTAACACTTGGCTACAGGATCTAATAAGGTTGCGTTCAGCATCTGTTCATACTACTGCTAACTCTATGAATACTGACGAACCGAATATTCCTGACATCGACTCAGAGCTTGATGGGCCTGGATTTGGAGATTGGAATGAGGTATGGCAAGGTAGTAGTGGTGAGGGTGATGATCTTGAGCATGGTGAAGATCGACAACTTTCTTTCACTCGAGATGGTTAGTTTAAAACTTTTTTTATTGCATTCACGGTTCTGACAAGTGTTTCATTAAGATCAAGAGTCTTCCGTTGTCCTTTCGTTCAGCCAAGGAACTACGTGGTCGAGCCGAAATGCTACCTAGCGGTCCACGCTGGTTCTCCCAAACGATCCTTACTGCACATCCGACAAAATTACCTGTCGTTTTGTATTGGCGTGATCCCCTGGAATGCATCGCGAGCATTTTAAATCACCCTTTCTTCCACGATCGCATAGATTTTACGTCTCGCAGGGTATATACTACTGCGCAGCGACTGTGTCGCGTGTACTCTGAATGGATGACTGGTGATGACACGTGGAACATGCAGGTGGGTTTTTCTTGCTTTTTGTGAGTTGCTGTACTTACTTGTTTTCAAAAGTCAGCCCTGCCAAGAGGTGCAACGCTTCTTGGGACAATTTTGTCATCTGACAAGACCAACATTTCTATGATGACGGGCAACAGAGTCGCACATCCCCTCCTTATCAGTCTCGCTAATATACACATGTCCACGGAGCTCAAGTCGTCATCTAATGCCTTCGTTCTTACCGCCCTCCTCCCCGTACCAAAATTTATTTATAAAAAAAAATGTATGTGAGGCGTACTCGAGGACTGCCTAATTCATGAGTGCTTGAACATTGTGCTACATCCCCTCAAGCAAGCCGCTCGCAAAGGAGTCATGTTGTCCGATCCTGTTGGACACAGTCGATACTGTTTCACACCATTCGCAAGCTATATCGTCGACACTCCAGAGGCCATGATGCTGGCTACTGTTGGTGGGAAAACCTCCCCAGTCACCATGGCCATGTACAAGCAGTTCAGAGACAGTTTCCGCCACGAGCCTTGCATGAAATCAACTACGCTAGCCCAGCTACGCGTCATCTGGACAAGGGCAGATCCTGGCGATATCGAAGCGTTCTTTCGCGAAGCTCAGAAATTTCGCTTAAATGGCGTATCTGAACCATTCTTTGAGGACTGGGCACTTTCTGACCCATCCCATTTTTTCACTCCTGAGACACTCCACCACATCCATCGAGAATTCTATGACCACAATGTGAAGTGGCTCATTTGTGCGGTTGGGGATGCCGAGCTTGATTTTCGCTTTTCTGTGATGCAGCCCATCACAGGGTTTCGCCATTTTCATGGTGGTATTTTGAAGCTCAAACAAGTTACAGGGCGTGCTCAGCGTGACATACAGCACTCGATCATTGCGGTTAGTGCAGATGCAGCACCTAGTGCCATGATCACTGCCATCCGAGCTCTAATGGACTTTCGTTACCTTGTGCAATCACCTTGGATTAACAACATCGATCTCGAGCGCATTTCTGCAGCTCTCGAAGAATTTCACGCCAACAAAAATGCAATTCTTGCTGGTGGTTTTCGTCACAGTCAGCGTGGTAGAGTCATCGATAACTGGTATATCCCGAAGATTGAGCTTATGCAGAGCATAGTTCCAAGTATCCAAAACAGTGGAGTTATCATGCAATGGACTGCTGATACTACAGAACACGCACACATCACCGAAATCAAGGATCCCGCACGCTCGAGCAACAACAACAATTACAATTCGCAGATCTGTCGACATCTGAACCGCGCTGACAAATGCCATCGCTTCGAACTCGCCACGAGTCTGCTGGACAATATGTCAGGCTCGAAGCAGCAGGTTGATGATGCTGCTGCTGATGATGTTGATTTCAATGAAGACGACAACGACAACGACGATTATGACATCCCAGCAGAGCTTCTGGAGACCATTGAATGTCCCGGCTATTCGTGTCCCATCACCAATCACTTTGCAATTGCAAAGCTCCTCCAGCACAGGGAGGTGGGAACTGTCCCTATGCCATTGCGCCCGTTCTCTGTTGGATGCACATCATTTCATCTCGCCTATGCCCCATCCATCAGAGCCATCTCTATTGACGATGCTGCTCTCATGTTTGGCCTTCCTGACCTACGACCAGCCATTTCTGACTTTCTTGGTTGCGAAACTGCTCGGGGGCAGGATTTTGTTCACACCATTGGGGGGGCTAGAAGAGCTGGACCCACTGCTTCGCTTCCATTCGAAAAGCTCCAAGTCTGGTTTAAGCTTTGATTGCAGAATACCAATTTTCACGATGGAACAGTGCACTCTGGCACCAGTGAGAGGACAGCAGACACGAGGCTAAAACCTCCGAAGCGCGAGAACGAGACGAGGACAACAGCAAGAGCCTCGAAAGCGAAGGCCCGAGGCAGCAAATGGCCAAAGCCAAAGCAAAGCAAAGCCTCAGACAAGCAAACACACAGCAAAAGCTGGAGGAAAGGATGTATTGAACCTAACCCTAAGACATGCTATATATGACTATCTAAGACCTCAAACACCTGTGCAGGACCCCTGGCACCTGTCCCTGCCAAACCCAACTGATCCAACGACAATGGTATCATACGGCCGGCCCAGACCCTTAATTGTTCACCACCTTCTGGTGTTTGGACCTGTGGCTGGTATGATCCGGTCATCGTTAACAACGATGCAGGATGCTCATGGCCCATTGATGGTCTTCGTGGTATGTTTTGCTCTTCTGCCGTGCTAACTATTCTCATTTTCAAATATCAGGGCACACTGTTGGTGAAATCAGGCTGATTCTGCATCCTGTTGGCAAGCCTCACACAAACTGGTCGTGGAAAGACCGCTTCATCGCCTATGTGTATCGCTTCGACTTTGTTCTGCAAGGCAGAGGTGATCGTGAGCTGAGCACGCAACTGCATGTACTCAAATGAGTGACACATTCAAATGGTACTCTGGTGGGTGATATCATACCAGTTACGCAACTCAGGGCACCTGTCAACCTTGTACCTCGCTTTGGTGCAAGTGCGGACAATCAGCTCACCCCATACAACAGTATGAAACATGCTTCAGAATTTTGGCTTAATAAATACTGGGACAAAAACACATTCTTTCCTCTCTTCATGTAGTTTCTGTAGATAATTTTGACTTCATGCGCTATTCTGAGCAGGACAATTGCCATTGGCCCATTTATTATTAGTTCACTCGCAATGTCAAGTCCGTTCCCAACGGGGGCGCTAGGTGGCGCATGATAAGCATTGTCTCACTTGATCCCACCATTGTCACCCAAAAAATGGCATTCTTTTTCAGGACAGTTGACAACGGAATTAAGCTTTCCTCCTTACTCTCCATCCCTGACGTCAGCGATGTTCATACCATGAACAAGATCACCTCTGACAAACTAAATCGTTTGGTAATGCATGAGGATGCACCAGAGGTGTCGCAACCGCTAGGACACTTACTATCTCATATCTTCCAGCCTTTCAAAGTTCCTCTCCCTGATGTGTCTGAACTCCAAATTCCCCTAAAAAAAATCATCTATCCCAACCAACGTGTCAGATCACTATACCACGACTTATCGCCTGATTCCCTTGTACCACTGTACGACACTGCAACGAGCACTTGGAACTGGAATCTTCCAGTTGACCCTCCTAGAGACGACTCAGACTCAGACACCAGTGGGACTCCAGTGAATCCGGACCCAGAGGCTGCAGAGAGTGCAACTTACGAAGAAATCATTGCATCTTTTATCAATGCTCTTGCTGGTTGTTTATTAGCATCACAACCCCTGCTCGAACGCGAGTGTTATGCCACTCGCACATGGAGTGCAGCCAGTGCTCACAAGGTGTTGCCTGACACCAAGTGGCACCCCAGCTAGGACCCCGAAAAATCTCGGCACCCAGCACTGCGCTCACCGGCGTTCAAGGCGTTCCCAACACCAAAAGACTCTCGACCTACCACCCAAAAACTTGCCAGGCTAAGTACAGTAGTCCATACTGACGAATATAGCACAAATGGCAACGGGGAAGACGCGTTCAACGTCTGTGGGACCCGGCAATTCAAACATCCGCGTCCCCACTCCCACCAATAGAACCAGAACATCCTACCGCAACACTATCTCCCTACTGTTGCCAAGAGATGAAATTATACAGCAAGAATACGATGTTAAAGACAAGGAAAGCAGTATTGCCTTCCTAGAGAAGTCTCCATTCCATCAACCGGGCACCCCCATTTCTAACGAAAGTCTGTTACTCACGATTCTGTATATCACCCAATACACAGGAATCCCCCGGATCGTAGTCGAAGGCCTTCGCGCCACAGTCCTACTACTGGAAGACAATCTTAACAGTAACGCCAATGCGGCAACCCCCAACATTCAGCAAATCACGGAGTCTATCTCAGCCTCGCTCTCAACTCAAGTGGCCGCAGACCTATCATCTTCACTATCCGCCCATGTTATTGCGGCCATCTCTCCACATGTAGCCTCCATTCTCACCGCCTCAGAAACCCTCAAAACAAACGTTGACGAAATCGCGAAATTGAAGGACATTATAACAGAAAATTCAAAGGAAGACAACGGAACTGCATCTGCAGCAGCTACTAGAGCTGAAAAGGCGGCCGACGCAGTCCTGAATAGTATTGCTGATGTCAAGAACGTTGTGGAATCTCTAAACGCTCCCCTTAGCACGACAAAACCAGGAACCTCAAAATCATACAGCGAAATAGTTCAACAACACACTCAGACCCCGGCACCTGTATCGGCAGCGGTGGCACGCGCGGCTACACGAGATCGCCAGATCTTAATAGACCCTGTTCTGGGCCAGACACTCTTCGCCCCCGAAGCGACCTCGTCCATCATAGCGAGTAAACTAAAACAAGCGTTCTCAGCATCCCAATCAGATGACACACCGGAAATCAACATTAAAGCAACCACCCGTCTCAGAAGCGGGGGAATAATAGTTGAACTAACTTCTATTGCAGCTGCCAAATGGATTAGACGCCCTGAAAACCGCCTTAGCATTACTAACGCTCTAGACAACACTGTCATCATCAAAGATAGGCGTTTTTCCATCATTGTTCCCTTCTTACCTATTATTTCCAGAATCGAAGATCCCAATTGGCTACGCACGGTAGAAGAGGAAAATGAAATGCTTCCGGGCGCTATAGAATCGACTAATTGGATCAAGCCAAGCCAACGCAGAGCGCCGGATCAACGGGTTGCTCACGCAATCTTCCATTTCACAGATCCCCATCCAGCTAATAAAGCGCTTCGCGACGGCATCTACATCGGTCAAGAAAAGCTACACCCACGAAAGGATAAACGCGAACCAGTACGTTGCGTCCGATGCCAGCTCTGGGGACACATCGCAAGAGACTGCCAGGCCCCGCAAGACACCTGTGGCACTTGCGGAAAGAACCATCGCACTAATGACTGCAATGCCTACCGCACCTTCTACTGTGTTAGCTGCAACTCGGACAACCATGCCAGCTGGAACCGGAACTGTCCTGAATTCGAGTCCAGGTGCGCAGGTATAGACGCCAAACATCTAGAAAACTCCATGCCGTTCTTCCCAACCGACGACCCCTGGACCCAAGTACTATTACCTTCACAACCAGCTCCACCTCAGAAAGTTACTTCGACCTTCACTCCGCCACCCACCAACCCACATCACCCACCACCCCTTCGTCAGACAAATCTTCCATTCGAGTCACGCCGTCCTACTAGAGGACATTCTACACGAGGAGCACCGCGTCACATAGGCCAAAGGGGCTTCAGGGCCCCCACACCCACAGGACCCAACTCCATCCCCATTGATGCCAACGCTAACAAAGCTTGGGACCATGGACGACGCACTCCGGTAGCCCAACACTCTTCAACCCCCTCCATATTAGACTCCCCTCTCACATCCTCCTCCGTTTACGCGACCCCACGGCCCTCGACCCCACCCAATGTCTGAACACCACTCCGAAACATCGACTAGACTACGCGTATGGCAACAAAATCTAAATACATCACTAGTGGCGCAACATTCACTCCTCAATAGTCCCATCGCCCGAGAATGGGACATCGTCGCCCTCCAGGAACCTCACATCAATTCAATGAAGAATACCATATCGTCCCCTTTCTTCCACGCAGTATACCCTACCACCAGATTCTCAGCGCCTAATCTTAAGTCACGAGCGGTCACACTCGTTTCCAAATCTCTAGAAACCAACTCGTGGCAGCAACTCGCATTCCCCTCGCCGGACGTTGTGGTAATCCAATTTCGGGGCCCATTCGGCCGATGCACAATATTTAATATCTATAACGATTGTTTACTAACGAACACCCAGGAGGCACTCGCCTCCTTCCTAGAACGAGAATTAGTGAACTTACGCCCATCTGCCGATGATCACATGATCTGGCTCGGTGATTTCAACAGACATCACCCCCTATGGGACGAGGACCGCAACACCCAATTATTCACTAACCATTATCTTAACGCAGCTCAGCCTCTTTTAGACCTTCTGGCGGACTATGGTATGATATTAGCCCTACCAAAGGGCATGCCGACGCTACAGTCATCAAGTTCGAAAAACTGGACACGCCCCGACAATGTCTTTTGCACGGACCACACTAGCGACTCCTTCCTGAGCTGCTCAACCAACCCAGCATTGCGCGGACCCGCTACTGACCATCTCCCCATACTTAGTATCTTAGAATTCGACGTCCCGAGAGCCACAGTGGAGGAGAAGCACAACTTTAGGGAAACGGACTGGGAGATGTTCAACGAACGTCTAGCCTTAGAACTGGATACGCTTCCTCCTGCTCAGCCACTTGTCACTGACGAGGAATTCCAGAATGCAGCGCGGGCTCTGACCACTGCGATTCAACGTACAATAGCGCAAACCGTCCCTAAATCGAAGCCTAACCCCCACTCCAAACGATGGTGGACAAGAGACCTCACCATTCTACGATGCGAAGTAGCAAAACTATGTCACTGCTCATATCGACTGCGAGATAATACTAACCACCCCAGCCACGAGGAATACCGCATCAAACGTAATCAGTACTCGGAAGCCATCAAGCAGACTAAAAAAGAACATTGGATTAGTTGGCTCGAAGAGATCGAAGGTAACGATATTTGGATTGCTAACAACTACCTCACAGCAGCAGCGGGCGACGGCGGCCCTTCTAGAATTCCAACGTTACGGCGGCCTGACGGCTCCTTTGCAGACACTAACGAGGAGAAAAGTGCGACCCTAGCAAACACATTCTTTCCGCCCCCACCAGCTGTCTCATCCGTCCCAGCAGAGGTCATCTACCCCGAACCAGTCCACACGCCGGCACCTATCAACGGAACTCAACTATCGAGAAGTATCGCCAAACTCAGTCCTTACAAGGCACCTGGCCCCGACGGCATATGCAACATAGTCTTCATTCGATGCGCAGCCCTGCTCAACCAGTACCTACTTCATCTATTTACAGCTGTATTCACGCTCCAGACATATCACCCCCCATGGAAAGACTTCACAACCGTCGTCTTACGCAAACCTGGAAAGCCGGATTATACCGTCACGAAGGCCTACAGACCTATCGCGCTCCTCAACACGATGTGTAAGCTACTTACGGCCGTGGTCGCGGACCAAATGACCTACCTCCTCGAGCACCACAATCTACTCCCCGATACCCATTTTGGCGGCCGTCCTGGAAGATCCACCACAGACTCCTTACATCTACTTGAGGCAACCGTCAAAGATGCCTGGAGGCAAGGTAAAGTTGTTTCAGCGTTATTCCTGGATATAGAGGGCGCATTCCTGAACGCCGTAACTGACTGCCTCCTGCACAACATGAGGCAGAGACGCCTACCAGAATCTCTGGTAGGATTCACTGAACGTTTGTTAACAGATCGTCACACTCAGCTCAAGTTTGATGGGCACTTATCCGAATGGATCCCAATCCGCAATGGAATAGGTCAGGGGGACCCGCTCTCCATGATCTTATATGTCATTTACGACTCGGACCTCGTCGACATCGCTGTCGGAAACGGCAAAAAGGAGAGAACGTTAGCCTTCGTCGACGATACTGCGTTTATCGCCATAGGGAAATCTTTTCACGAGACTCACGGCATCCTCAAGGACATGTTAGAAAGACCAGAGGGTGGATACGACTGGGCGAGAGCCCACAATTCTAAGTTTGAAACCTCAAAATTCGCATTAATGGATTTTTCGGTGAACTCCGCCAAAGAACGCCCTCCTCTCATAACCAGGAACACCATGATCACCCCAACAGCAACGCACCGATTCTTGGGAGTCATACTGGACCAAACACTACGCTGGGGAGCCCATATCGCATATGCTCTAGCGAAGGGTACCGCATATGTCTTTCAGCTGCGCCGTCTTTCTTCTACTTCCCTGGGAATGCCACTCTCACTAATGCGCCAATTATACCTTGCTGTAGCCCTACCTAAGATGTTATACGCAGTAGATCTCTGGTTCCGTCCCTTGTTCATAGGGGACGGCGACACCCCTCAACGAGGTTCGATAGGCGTGGTCAGGCGTCTGTCAAGAGTCCAACGTATCGCGGCTCTAAGTATCACCGGGGCAATGCACACCACGGCAACGGATACCCTGGAAGTACATGCGAAGCTGATCCCTCTTCAGCACCGGCTCCAAAACCTATGCTACCAAGCAGCTATTCGCCTGGCGGCGCACCCCACCACCCATCCATTGTACATACCGGTGAGACGAGCTGCTAACAGACTTGTCAGACGTCACAGATCATCCCTCCACCACCTATACCACGCTACCAAGCTCGACCTGGGTTCCATCGAGACCATCACGCATAATAAACGTCCCCCCAGTTCCCGAACTCCATATCAGACCTCTATAGCTAACACCAGAGAACTGGCCATTCAGGAACATAACAATAACGCCGACGAGATCAAGATTTACAGCGATGGTTCGGGCATAGATGGACAAGTGGGAGCAGCAGCGGTGCTCATTCGTAATGGCCAACCTCAACCGAAGACTCTGCGCTACCACCTGGGCTCTACAGATGACCACACCGTATACGAAGCCGAGGCAGTTGGACTAACGTTAGCAGCGCAACTACTCTCTATGGAAGATGATGTCACCTACCCTGTATCCATCTTCGTGGACAACCAAGCCACGATCAAATCCGGTGAAGTCCTTTCGACCAAATCAGGTCATTATTTGATAGACCACTTTCGCAGCATGATAACGAAACTGAAGAAAACCAGCCGCGACCGCCACTTCGAAGTTACGGTTAGATGGATATCGGGACACGATGGAGTTATGGGGAATGAATTAGCAGACAGGGAGGCAAAACAAGCAGCCAAATCACGAACGGAATCCAGTCCCAGAAGGCACCTTCCTCCTTATCTTCGTAAAGGAGTGCTCCCAAGCAGTATATCCGCGCTGAAACAAGCACAGAAGCGCGAATCATTCGAGCGTTGGACCAGATTTTGGCGAAAGTCACCCCGATACCATCATACTGATAATCTAGACCCTGATATACTCAAAGGATCATTCATCTCCTTAGCCCAACACCTCCCGAAACGACATATCAGCATGCTTATCTGGCTCCGCACCAAGCACATCTCTCTCAACCAGCATCTTCATCGCATCGGCAAAAGTCCCTCTCCCAACTGTCCGCACTGCGAAAACACCACGGAAACAGTACTGCACTTCCTACTTATATGCCCCCAGTATGCGAGAGTGCGACACATTCTCACCACAACTCACCGTCGACGCGCTTCTTCCATGTCGTTCCTGTTATCCAACCCCAAAGCAAGTGCCTCAATCATTCGATATGTTAACAGCACGGGCCGCCTACGGTCAATATTCGGTGATGTTTCTCCTAAGACTAAATGAAGACAGACGATGACTACCTCTTTAGCATACCATAGTAAGAACCCAAGCAGACCCATAACGGTTAAGGAAACCTCTGGGTGCAGGACACCAGACCTTAACCCACTACTCGACGACGACGGGATTAGGACTACCAGCGGTCCAACTGGAGAACACGAGAAGCGTTGAACAAGGAGAAGTTAGAGGGAAGGACATTCGCAGAAAGAAGGAGGAGGGACAGAATACCTTGCTTGCTCGCCGCCCAAACACACGCCCTCCCACACAGACCAACCTGGAGGCGCCGGCGAAACGAGGCTATCCGCACCCAAACACTTTACTTTACGCTCCGCGCTCCATCATCCCCATCGTACACGGTGTCACACCCGAGTACTTGTATCATCCACAGCCAACGTTAGGGACCCACCCACCACGAACTGTACAGCAAAGGTCCCGCGGATTAGAAGACTTGCGCATCTAAAACGGCCGGCGGGAACGGCGGACTGGGGGAGGTCACCCCTCCCTCAGGGCATTTGCGAAGTCGGAGACGTGGCGGGGGACTAGGAAGTCCCCCATTTTTCCTAGTTAGAATTGTCTTACATAGGGTATTGTACCCCACATAGACATAAATTGGATTTAAAAAAAAAAAAAAAAAAAAAAAAAGGTGTTGCCTGGCAGTGAGATGAAGCAAAAACCTGACCTTGTTCTGTCTGACGACATCACAGCAAGGTGGGGAAATATCAGGGTGTCTGGTGAGCTGATGCACAGTGCTTACAAGCCTGCAATGCGGCTTGGGAAGGCTACAGACACCCATGCCTATATCATGATGAGTGAACAGCCCTGGAGGCGGTTTGCACTTATCTTATCGTTGACTGATGTGTATCATCATCTCCGAGTCCTCATGTATGATCACTCGGGTGACGTGGTATCTACTCGTTTCGACATATATCAGCAACCAGCTTTATTCTCCCATATCATCGCTGTTCTCAATTTCGGAAATCTGGAATGTGTCGGATACGATTCAATGGTTTCCTTCACAAAGCATGTTTCGCCTCCCCTTTCCAAAGACATCCACGCTTATCGTCCAATCAAGAACTTGCCTGCCTGACGCAGTAGTTCAACAGATCCTGTTGTATCCACCTCTGATTCCCTCGTTCAACTGTCTGATTCAGAGGGCCCGTCGTCTGGCAATTATCTCGAGTCTGTAGCATCTGACAGCTTTTATTCTGAGGAACACTTGAATGAGGACGGGAGCTCAGACTCCACTACACCCATACAGGACAAAGAATCCCCCTCCTTCCCCTCTCCAGTGCATCCCACTTCGATGTCCAGTGCCCCCCTTCTCTGCCTTGTGTCCCAAATTCCCCAGGAATTGACCAAGAGCATATCTTCCGTCACGCCTCATCCTTCCCAATTTCCCTACTCTGCACACTCACCCAAACCTTGTGGCAAGATCCGCGTAGGGGATACCACGTACATCATCAAGAGGATTATCTTTGCGACCCGGGGCCTTGTTGGTCGTGGAAGCATCTGCTATCTGGTTAGTTTGGACGATGAAGACTATATTGTCAAGGACCATTGGGTCCTTGGCAAGCATGATGACATTATTCTGAATGAGATCGAGATGTTACGACTGATGCATGGTATCCCTGGCGTTCCAGAGCTAGTAGACTATTCGCTCGTCATGACATCAGAGGGTGAGATTGATAATACTCAAAATTATCGCAAACGGTGTAGGGATTCATTTCTGGCTGGGCTTGTAGAGACTGTTTTTACCTTACCTTATGTTGGCACTTTTGTAGCTTACATAAGCAATCAATCTTTTCACCAGTTACCAGTATGAGTCAGAGTGCTCAGTAGTTTTTATGATATTTCCTCTCCTCTGAGCCTTAAGCCTGGTCCAGAAACCCTTAAGGGTCAAATAGCAGCTAGGTTCTGCATAGACCCAACATTGTTCAGACTCACCATCTGAATTGTTGTACCTTCAACGGGAACGTCGGAGTACCCAGGGCACCAGCCGCACTCATGTCCGCCTTGTGTTAAAACCGTGTGCTCGCCCCCTCCACATGTTCTGGACGCTGAAAGAGTTGGTGAGAGTGTTGAGGGATATTGTGATCAGTAAGTGTCTAGTTGAGTTATACGAGAGCGTTGAACTGACGTCTCTTCCTTTAGTCCAGAAATCAGCAGTGGAGGAACGCAAGATTCTGCATCGCGATTGCAGTCTGAATAATGCCATGATCCTAGATGATTTTGACATCAGCAAGGGGTTCCTTATTGACTGGGAATTTGCAGTACGCATTACTGCAGATAATAAATATCCCATTGGTGGTATGGTAAGTACATTCCTTTCATGTCGAGTTCACAAATTGATTCACTTTCCAGGGCACAGTCCCCTTCATGTCACGCAAGCTTCTCAGCCAGGTTTCACTGTTGCAGGAACAGGCGAAGGCGGAAGCTGAGAATAAAAAGCAGGCAAAAGCGCGCAAATCAAAATCGAAAACCCCAGCCCCAAAAACGCCGAAAACCTCCTCGGATTCTTCAGCACTGCCTGTTTCTCATGTAGTCCACACTTACTCTGATGACCTCGAATCTCTTTTCTTCATATTTGCTTGGGTTGGCATTAAATTCAGCGGTCCTAATGGTGTGGTCCATCAGGAGCGCATGACCAATTCACTACTTAATCGCTGGACCAACCTTGACCTGGCATCGTGCTTCGCCTTCAAGACCACCCTATTTGTGGACCTGTTGGAGGAAGAGTGCCTCCTAAACAAATTCCACCCGTATTTTAAACCTCTTATCCCCCTTGCAAAAGATTGGTATGCAGCGTTAAAGGATAACATGGCTCATCCTGTTACCTTTGATGCCATTCTTCACATACTCGATTCTCATCTGGATCAGCTTCCCAATGATGAGGAGCTCCAATCCAGTATGACCACACTCAAGGAGTCTGCTGTCACTCTCAGCAAGTTGAAACATGTTGCCTCTCTATCTTTGCCTGTGGGATCACCGAAGTGGAAGAAATCGGATGACATTTTTGAGTCAGACGGGCAGGTGTAATCTTATGTGTTTTTATCATTACTATCTCTCGGATGAGTACCGCGTATGACATATTTGGCACCACAGTAGTACTAACTAAATTTATTGCTGGATGTTGTTGTAGTTTGTCGCTGACTCGTTGTTTCGATTATATAATATGTTACTTAAACATAGAACTTCAGCACATAACAAGACACCTATGCTTTGACTCAAGGTGCACATTATCTAGTATTACTCGCGAACACATGGTCCTTTATTACCTGCATCAGTTACGCGCCCTGCACACCACCAAACCGAATACTCTAAGTTTCCGAGAAGGCTACACGGATCCTTCCGCCATGGCGTACCAGTGTATAAAATGGTGAGTACTAGTAGTATCAACTTGATCCTTCGTCTCATTGCTTTCTGTATTGCAACATGCCTCCTCGCGCAGTAGCCAGTCCCAAGAAGAAAAGGTCTAAGCGCAAAGCTTCAGACGCTTCAAAGGCTGCTTTGCTGAAGAGGCCTTGCGCTGCCAATGTCACCGATACTATCCCCAGCACGCCACTCGTATCCCTCGGTCTTACTGAAGCTGATGTGATGGGCGCTCCTCGACGTTCTGGTCGCCCTAATGCGGGAACTGGAGGTAGGAATGCCCAGCTGGAGAAGATTGGCTTAGTGTTAGAGTCTCAGTCATTGAGTCGGAAACCTAAGGGCACTACGTCTCTTGATGCACTCAATCCGGTGAACCCCCAGGCTCCAGAGCAGCCTCGTAAACGGAAGAATCGTTCAAAGGTACAGCAACAATTTTTGTTAATGATCGTATTGATTGCGTGTCTAGGTGCCCCCTCCACCATATAATCCTGATTCATCAAGCCTCGATGCTAGTACCCTAGTACCTAGCTTTTTATCGCAGCAAAGTGGTGGGAGGTTTGGCTTTGCGCCTTCGACCACCACATGTATCCCTCCCAGTAATGCAAAGTCCAATCCTCAAGTCTTAAATGATCCATATATCGCCATGGGAATGAACATTGCGGAGAAGTGCAATCAGAATGCTCTTGTCGATCACGCTCACAGTTCTCAACCTCTACTAGGTGCTACATATTCAGACAACCTGGATCCGGCCCTACATAAGGAAGAAGGTATTGTTGGGCAAACACTTCATGCAAGGCTGGTAGGATCCGATTTGGAGGACAGCGAATTCAGTGGCACTGGTACCGATAAAGACGATGACGATGATGAAGATGAAGAAGACGAAGAGGATGAAGGAGAGAATAATGAGTCACAGCAGTTTGGTTGGGGGGAGGCTCGTCAACGGCAGAAAGAACATTCAGGTAAAACAATTATATCCAGAGTACCTTGACTGACTTGATTTTACATCTACAGGATTTTCGGCTGAAACACTACCTCCTCAGGCTCGAGTCACTCGCCCTCTCACACCAGACTTCCAATTCCAATTCTCACGTGATGAAGATGAAGACTCTGCCCAGATGCGTCTCAACAACAGCAACCAGGTACGATTTTAATTACTCATTTCGATCAACTCACAGTTTTTCGCCTTTTAAGCCTATGGACACTTTGCCGGGAGTGCGGCAGGAACACTCAGATGTTCAGGTGAGGGTGTACACTTGTCTTAGATGAGGCTCATGTTTTTTTTGTAGACTACTACCTCGAAGCCCATTGACGTATTGAAGCGTCACCATGACAAAAACAGTCAGCCCCGCTTGCCCGACCCTGATTCACTCCAGCTGTTGAATCAAGTGTCTGAGTCTGCCGACCGAGCTGAGGGTCGGTCGAGAAGCAAAAGGTCCAAGGGGCCTGAAAGCGGGCCAAGGCCTGATCAACTAGCCTGGTACGGGCCATGCTGGAAAAGTTTCCTTGAGGAGGCCAAAGGGGAGTGTCGCGGTCAGCATGCCCTGGAAAATCCATTTCCACCTTTAGTCAAGGGTATGCCAGGAACCATCTCCGAGGTTTTACTTTCAGTTTTGGTCGCATGGACAAAAGTGGTAAACAGTTCAAAGCTGGTATGTGCTCTTTCTTTTTTGTCGAACTAATGTATTTATTATCTCGATGCAGGGGTTTGGCCAGAGCAGCAATACAACATGACGCGGTTGGTGAGTGGATTGCTTACATTTGTGCTGATGCCTCGCTGACGCACATCGCGGGTTTGTACTCAAGTTGTACGACAACCTGTCGACTTGGCGATCCGATCTGAAGAAAACTGCGATAAGTATTGCACCCCTATCATACTCACTTTTTCCTCCGTCTTCTGTTCCTCCTCAACAACGTGCGACTTGGATCGAAAGTGCCGCTGGAGATTTACTGAAGGGTGGTTCGTTTTTACGGTTTGGAACAGATGAGAATGTGAGTGGTTTTATGCCAATCACAACCTTACTGAACAGGATCTACAGGGGAGAATGAGGAATCTGGCTCATCCTGCTCTCCGTGATACATGCGTAGCCTTTTTTTACATGAGGCCTTACTGGGTCGCGCGGAGGCAGCCAGATCACTTCTGCATGCAACTACCCATATCGTGTCTGGCCTTAGTTGCCACAGCGGTAATGTGTTCTCTTCCCGCCGATGTCAAGCTTATGTGTTGATTTTTCTCTCCACAGTTCCACTGCGTTTTTGATGGTCTTGAGAAGAATGGTACTGGTAAATGTTATCCGAATTTTTCGTCGAAGGATTACTCGCCCGTCTACCGCAAAATGCTCCAAATCATCAAAGATACCCTCAAGGACGAATATCATGGCCCTAGATTGTTAGCACAGCTTCGAGAATGGGCTGAAGTTGGATGGTGAGTTCTTGTTGTATGAAAAACTCTAAACTGATTTCATTTATGCAGGGCTGAAAATATCAAGCTCGATGGCAGTGCTGCGGAGGCGAGACACGACCACCTCCAGGTGATTCTAGACTAAATCGTGCAGATTCGTGCTTGAATCACAGTTCTTTGCTCACCCGTATCGTATTCTGTATCATTTCTCTTGATTGCCATATCCACTACTACTGTTGTGTGCTCGTATCTGTGTGCAAGATTTAATATATTTTTGCGGCTATGCTATTGTATAGAGTGAATGCTGTGACCAGGAGCAAGTTGTCTGCACAAATCACGTTCTTTGAGTGATCGGTGAGGGTCTGTACAGACATAGACAGAGGAAATTGGTACTATTTGAGGGCTGTTTCGTGCTTGCTGGGCATGTCTGTGGGCATCTGTACAGAGATTGACAAAATAGTCTGCTACTGTAGCAAGCTAGGTAGTAGGGACCAAGCTAGGGAGCTGGGATACTGTACAGCTCTGTACAGCTCGTTTTAGTTCACTGATGTAGTAGATCACGCCAATCTTATACTATACACGATCAACGATCTTTTATTGAAGTTCTCTAATGTAACATTACATAATTGTTTCGAATAATGAATCTATGTTTCCCGGAACTTGACTTCAATGAGCGAGGCATTTAAACTTCAGAGCGATGACATCGATTGGAAAGTATCGAAATTTCCCTCACCTTTCCCCTGGGCCATACTTTCGAGGACGAATAACTCTCGATTGAAAATGAGATAAGTGCGGCTGGGATTCAAAAGGAGACCATAGGAGACACAGAGATCGAACAATTGGAAAGCGGGTGGCGCTCAGCTGGAGCGCGCACGTGGGGTAGACGCGAATTGCTTCCACGGGATCAGACGTTCCGTGCTTATATATATTAGAATATGTATGAACAGCATCTTCTTCTAGTGAACCTAAAGTGTCCTATGATAGTATATACTATATCATAACAGTGCTTGCGCACCAGTCCCTGACTCCTGATTCTGGCCTGCTCGTTCTCAAAATGACATGCACTGCAACGTGTCATCATATTTCAAGTCATGAACATCAATTTATTCATGACAACTTAACTTATCTCATGTCAAGGGCATGTATTAAATCCAGTACTGTAACCATACGTACCAGCAACACAAAACAGAGTGTGGTTCAGATACACGAGTGCAGTAAATGTTACATATGCAAGATGATGTGTACCATAAGAACCACGAGGTGGTACATCATAAATGCAAAGTAGGACAAGGTAAGAACGAAGCGTAAAAGGCGTGTATGCACATTATGATGTCAATTCATGGCTTCAGAGATTTTGCTTGCAAAGAAGGTCCTGCTCCAGAACATTACTCCAGTAGGTAGTCCAGAGCCGATGAGCGCAGGAAGGCGCGCAACATTCGCTATGGAAGCAGTTGGAGTAGGTAGTTCTTCATCATCATAGATCGTCTTTGTTGGTGTGCCAACAGACACCGGCCCACTGTGCTTGTGTTCCATGCTAGGGAACGTGAAAGTTGAACTCCCCCAGTCTTGCTGGCAATTGCGTATGGTGAGTTATAGTGGGCGCAACCGCCACTGATGCGGGAGAAACCTGAATTGAAGTGTCAGGGAGGTGTACAAATGGATGTGCGGTCGTATGAGCTGCGGGGACCTGAACCTGGGAATGGCTGGCACACACCCACTATGTAACCACTTTCTGCATCATCATCACTGTCCTCTCTGTAAGGCTGCAAAACATGCTCGGGTTGCAATACTGATGGCAACCTCCCTGTGGCCCGCAACATCCAAGAAGAGAGAGCACACTGATCAATCCGCTTTCAACTGGCCATCTGGAGTGATCAAAGCCGACCCGACCAAGAATGCGCACAACAGTTTTGATGACCTTGATGACAAGAATCAGAAACAACATAAGATAAACAAGGCAAAGGATGCTCAGTATGCCATAGGCTACCCAACCGCCTGCGCCTATTGAAATCTGAACGAGTTGTTAGCATTGGATTTCATGGAGACAGGCAGCCTTACTGTTGGGGTCAAAATAACTAGCGGCACGGCAACCACAAGGGAAGTGATAACACAAAGGACAACAAAAAAAGCTTGAGAGGCCTCACCACACGCATGACAGTTGAATAACCTACAAAAGGCTTGTCCAACCTCGCATGGTGTACTGAACCTCGCTCACCTACAAAAGGCCGGCGAGGACAGTAGGGGATGGGCCACAACAAACAATCCGCACCATACAATGCCCAGTTAAACTTTTGACAGCCTCGTATGGAGGAAGAGCCATGTCATATCCTCCATATTCATTGACTGCATCAGTTAACCAAAACGGAGGCAGAGCCAAGTCATAGCCACCATTGGTTCTGAGTATGCTGTAGTTAAGGTTGCAAGGTCGGGTACAGAGAATTTAGAAATTAGACGATCGATGTGGCAATGACCCTCCTCTACTAACGTGGGAGTCTAGGATTCAATATGTATTACACTCCCGTTCTGGAAGGAGACAACTTCCGATCGACTTGCCATCAACTTTTCAACTGGTCACCCATTGACACAACTTGCGTTTCCACTGTACCCACATGTCAATTTATTAGGCCTGACTAGTATCCTTATGCTTGCCAGTCACGATCCTGTCAATAACTGGCAAGCTCTAGAATTATGCAGGTGCCTCCGTCTTCCAGAAAATGAAGTTTCTCAAACACGGTCAAACCATTCTCTTCGTATGTGATTTCCTGTTTTCTTTTAGTCGGAGCAATTGCGAAACCAGACTTTAGATGCATCGTGGCAGAAGCTTGATGATGTCTATTGGTAGGTGGCCTACATAGCCTACTAGCGGATATAGAAGAAACGATACTTTCCCTTTAGCTTGAATTCAAGTTCATTCAAGATACTTCATCTTGGAGAATATTAATGCGACTCCCGGGCCTGCAGCTACTCAAAATATAATGTATGCGGTGATACAGAGCCTTCCCATCAAAGCAAACTTGAAGCCTTGTCACCGTCAACACAATGACACCAAATATTGTTTATATCTCGTATATTTACTCAAGCTTAGCACAAGCTTCCGTCTCCAACTACACCTATGGGCTTCTTCTCTGGCTTGTCCCATTGTTTCTTCAATGTTGGGATCATGGCTTGGGATGTGCTCCTCACAGTCTCCAACCTCGTGAGGAGGAAGTACCCCATAGGTGATGTCACCCCCAAGGGCCACCCAGGCTATGGAGGGCACTGGCCAGAATTCATACCTCCCCAGTTAACCGACTCCCGGTGCTCGTGCCCCGTGTTCAATGCTATGGCTAACCATGGTGAGTTTTTCTCTAAATCTGCGTGATGAATCTCATTGGTATGACGGTATTTAAAACCTAGGCATCATCTCGTGCAGCGGCCGTGAGGTCTCGTTTGTCGAGCTCAACAACCATATCCAGGCAACCTACAACTTCAGTCCTACCTTCTCTTCTTTCGTGCTGCACTTTCTCGCTCGCATGCTTAAAAGAAACTTCAGCGATGATACCTTTGATCTAGAAGAAATAGACCTGCACAATGGTATTGAACACGATGCCTCTCTCTTACGTGAGTGATTTTCTCCGCTTGTTTTTGCAAGTTATGTGAAATGATTTGTCTTCAGGTCTCGATGCTGCTCTTCAGCCAGACCAATCGATAAAACACGTACCTTTCATCGAGGAGTTACTTGCGGCAGCGACCGGCAAGGACAGGGACGGTAACGATATTATCACCACTAAAGATTGCTCTAGCATTCTCGGCAAGCGTCGTGCAGTGGCGCATGCAGTAAACAAAGAGTTCTCGCTCAGCTTCTTCCACAAGATCTTTGGTAGCGCGGAGTATGTCATTGCATTATCCATTTCCAAGCATCCTTCTGAGCGTTCTGTTAGTGCCTCGATCCTGGTCACAATATTTGGAGGTCGTGTAGACGACCTACGCAGCTTTCTTCTTCATGAGCGGATCCCAGAGAGATGGGAATTACGCGTCTGCCAACCTCATGGAATGACTATTATAAACTTCAACAAGACTGTTTTGAGAGTTGAGGTCGGTGTACGCGAGAAGGATTGGGCGCAAGCGGCACGAGAGGCTGCCGAAAGCCATGGTACTGTTATTCTTGGATGAAATACTCATAATGTGGGGCACTGCATCTGGTGTTATTATAACTCCCATGGCTGCTGTACGACGATTAATGAATTAGTAAGATTCTATATTGCCTTTTGAATGTATATCTTGGTCATCGTCTTTTGATACCACCAGCGCGATCGATCGAGGGGTCACTTGATGTTCGTCCGCTGCTCCATAGCAATCCAAATTGAGAAAGCGTTCAAGAAGACGCGCTTTGGAACGTTGCCACAAGTACTCGACTGGCGGTTGAACTATAGTTGTAGCGCAATTAGATGTTAACTGAGTTTGAAAATATAATCATAGAGAAACACACTAACTCAGCCAAACAATCTGCTTTTGGCAGGCACCTTGACCTCTGATGCTATAGCGGTCAACCTGAGCTTATCACCATGAATCCCACTCAACTGCCGCCGACAGAGAAGCGTAAACGCGGTCGTCCAAAAGGGTCAAAGAATGGACCCAATGCGGGCACTGTGGGCTGTCCAGTTGGACGCCCCAGGAAGGATGGAATTTCACGAAACACACCAGGTGAGCCTCGAAATGTGACCTTCATGTGCAACTTGCTGCTAACATATATCCTGTGTAATCTGTAGCATCTTTACATTCTACCTCTCAGGCTGCAGAGGCAGGGAGTCATCATAGTGACACCAGGCAGCCAGGTAAGTCATTTTCACACCAATGCCGTCTGTAGTGCTGATATGCTCTGTCTTTAGTGGAACCACGCACTCATGACTTGGAATTGAGCACAAGCACCAGCCCCTCTCCGTCTGGACGTGAGTCATCCCACGCGGACTCAGATCAATCATTACGTGCGCCAACGAGCACAAGTGTCATTCATGGTGAGTTTCAACATCAAAGTCATGAATTTGTGCACTGATTTTGATATTGATATGCTAGATATCTTTGATGGAGAGTCGGACATTGAGCCAGTGCGAGTTGTTCCGCAGCCAAGCACTGCTCCTGCGTCAAGTGGTGCGCGCAATCTTGAGACTCGTAGTGTGATTGACGACTCAGGTATGTACAACTGATCAATACTATATTTGAGAAGTATTTACTAACAGTAACTCTTATGCTTAGATCAGGCTGCAAGCTGCAATAATTCACCGAAGCAATCCAACAACCAGCTGCTCTGTGACTACAATGACGATGACAACGACAACGACAACTTCTTTTTTGGGGCGGATGCAGAACTCGAGTGCATGATTGATGAATTTTCTGCCATCGGTGACGACAACAACAACATTATTCAAGATGTTCCGACCACGGCAGCACCTGATTCATCATTGCCAGAACATGCTTCCTCAGCCAATGGTACCAAGACCAAGGTACCGCGTGCAACCATGCCAACATGGCTTGCAGACGAGTACGCAGATGCCTGCACTCGTCTTGATTCTGACATCGCAAAGACCGGGAGACCAGTGTGTTACGAGAGTGGGCAGTTCACCATGACTGCACCTCCGCTGGTATTTTCCCGTGTCGTCCCTTTTGAGATTGAGCCCCGAGACTTCTACCGGCCGCGTTTTTTTGTATGGCTGCCCCACCTCTTCCAGCGCATCCCTTGTCCAAATTGCAAGGATGCAAACCGGCGGTCCAAGAGGGGGCAGCCAGTCATGCTTCGCGTTCTCGGCTGGCCACAGCAGCCACGGCGCGTTGTTGATCTTGAGCACTTGGTGTTCATTATTGGACACCGATATTATTGTGGGCACGAGGAGTGCAAGAAGACATTTCAGAGCTGGTCACCTACAATCTTGCAAGCCATACCACCACCACTAGCAGCCCTCTTTCCATTCCACCTAACGTATCGAAGTGGCCTGACAGACCGCTTGGTTGGTGTCTTGCGAGCCTCATTTCAGAGGGGTATTGGGCCATCACCTTTCGCCAAGAACATACGAATGATGCACATTCGCCATTACGAGCAGTTGCATGTTCAATACCTAGAGACCGTCCGTCAGCGCATGCAAGCAAGTGCATCTGGGCTCTTGCCACCACATCAACCCTTTCCTCGCTGGAACGACCCCAGTGGATATGCCGGATATGTTCCTACGCACCGATTTTTTCGATGTTTTTATAACTCACTCATTGAACGACATGCTGCGGAGATGGACCAACATATGGCCATGCAGTCTGCTGAAACACTCAGTCATGACCATAGCTTTAAGGTCCGTCTACATGATTTATTCAAAGACTTATTGACTCAGAACAGAACAGGTGACAGGCATTCTCGGTAAAGTCAATGGTGTGGCAACATTTGGTGCCCTCCATACTGCCTGCAATGACTATGGCGAGTGTCGCAAGATGACACTCACGCCAACAAAGGGACATGATGACTGTATGCCTGCCCTTGCCGAGATTCCTGTGACGCTTGCGAAATATGGGCATGCACCTGTCAAGATTCTATTCACGGATAATGTCCGCGGTGATAAGTCAGCCCTCGAGAGAGCATTTCCTAGTCTTCTCTACAGTGTAAATCCTGTTCCGAGTTTGGGATTGGAGGATTTAGTAGTACCTGATGGTTGGCATGTATGTCGTCTTGGGACAACCTATCAGATCAATAACCGAATGAATTGCCTCATGGATGAGCTACAAGTTGATGCGGAAAAGGAGCTGCATGTTGCATTTGACCTGGAGTGGCCAGTAGACCGAGAGACAGGAATATACGGCAGAGTTTCCCTTGTATCATTGGCATATGATAAGGCCATCTACCTTATTCCGGTATGCTTGATGGTCTGCAAAACTTTGCTATCATTTCTCACTGAAAATCACAGATCAGTCAATATGTGCAAGACAATGGATTTCTGAAGCTGCCATCATCCCTTTTGGTAGTCTTGCGCTCGAAACGAGTCCGCAAAATTGGTGTCCAAGTCAAAGCAGACTTAACTCACCTATACAAGGACTGTGGCTTTGCTGATTCCACGAATGAACAGCCATTCATTGGTGCTCTCGAACTCGGGTCAATGGCCAAGGATCGAAATGTGACGGATCACATGCGCATCAGCCTTGCAGACTTAACAGCACTTGTGCTTCACCGAAATCTGCCAAAGGACGCATCTATTCGAGTTAGCACAAAGTGGGATGATCCTGTGCTGTCACCAGAGCAAGAGAAATATGCCGCATTGGACGTCTATGCAGCTTCAGCTATTTTCGAGTCTTTCTCGGCTATCCCTTCTTGTGGTCCAGTGACATTGTCAATGCCAGTCAGCACCCAGGTTCAGCTCATGTCACGAAATGGAGGACTTGCAGTGGCATATGGCCACATAGCTCGTCACCAGCCAAAACAGCTGGATGGGGTAAATGTATCAAAAACTCGTATTGTTATCACTGTGACGTCCATCCTTGTCCCTGCCTATCTTGTTCGAGCAGATCTGCGACCTAACCATCAAGAAACCCCAATTTCGAATCTTGCTACTAAATCACCCTTCCCGCTGCTGTGCTATCAACGGGATCTTCGAACATGCACCAGAACCAGTGAGACAACACTGCAGAATAGCACCACAATACTCCCATCATCACCATATGAGCCTCATGATTCACCTTATCTTCAAGTTGACGAAATCGAGGACTCGGAGCCTACAACAGACTTGGATGTTGGCGAGTGGTTATCACATGACAGAGATTCTGGTGTCCCAGAACAGTTGGCCAGTGATGCAGAAAAGGACCTGCATGGGCTCTCTCAGATTGAATCACTCGCGGAACTTGTTTCCCATAATGTCACCATTGAGAGCAATGAAGTACGCTCTCGAGTTCTTGGGGATATCTGGCACCTCATGGACCAGTTTAAAATTTCCATTCACCATGGTCTCCGCCGTCCTTTCAGCCGTGCCCTTCGAGATGCTATATTCTTACCAGACCCTGTAGATCTTGCTGCTGTCGAAGAAGTACTGAAAAAGAGGAACACGTGTTTTCGCCAGATGGTCCTTACCAACTCGGACTGGGTGTGGCAGCGCATCAAGCGGCTGGTTCCACCTCCAGAGATATTGGCACCTCGTGTCACTGAAGTACTGCAGACCTATGGCCCACTGAAGGATGCCGTGACTGGCCAGCCTCTTTTCAATGATGCATCATGGGAGAAAGCTCGTCTAGTCATCGAGAACATTAAATTAGGTTACTACTCAGATCCCCCAGGTCACCATTTCTACACATTGCAGAGAACGGACAAGCTCGGTCTCAACATCTATTGATGCTCACGTGGAACCAATAATGTTGAGGGCGGGATTCATCAGAACATCATCCGACGATTTGGTTCATTCAATGCATCACCCCAGTTGACCGTGAATTTACTTCGCGACTACACATTGACGCATAATCTCGAGGTGTGCTTAACATTATCAAGTACTAGAACATTGTACTCAATTACTACAGGTCGGCACCGTGAATCGAACAGGAAAAATCTATCTCGGCTCTTATGACATCTGGACTCGCAACCAAATTGCACTCCTTGTGGATATTACTGCCAGTGTGGTGCGGCCGTCATACCAGGAGTGCGGTCAGGCAACTTGGCTCAATGGAAATGATTTTGAGCCTGCAAACGAGTCATTCGGCATCCTACCTGTTGCTGCAGCCACTCGCGCAAAACTAGGAATGAGTCAGTATCGAGATGACTATGCAAAAGGTTGTAAGATAAAGCATGAATACCTGGCGAGGCACCAGCAGACTCTTGTTGCTATTCTGCCGATCCATACTGTGGAGGAGAAGGCTTTGTACCGCCTACTCATCAAGAGTGTCACAGGTCAGTTTGCAGGGCGGAAGCAGCCAAACTGGGTAGCTCTCGCACAGGAGTGGCAGCATCATGCAAATGGCACTCACATATTTTATAAGGTGCGTATAGCACCATCCATCGCCAGTCATCCACCTGCTCATTTCTTTTGCAAAGCTTCCTGAACAACTCAAGTCATATTATAAGACCTGGAATAAGCACCAAAATGAGCATAACTCAGTCGAGCAGAACAATAGCGCTTACCTAGAGTTGCAGTACAGCAACCCTGCACTCCCAGGACCTCATGGACAAAAGCGGCCTGCAGAAGAAGAGGCAGTTGCACCCGTTAGAGTGAAACAGCGCGCGCAAAGGACATGCAAAAAGTGTCATAAATCTGATTGTCCAGGAGCGTTCAAGAGCCGGCCCTGCAAATACAAACAAGTAAGCATTTTATGCTCAAGTGCTATCAAAGAAATGACGAGGGAAAATTTTAGTCGAACATCAACTTGAACAGCCAGCAGAGACTTGACGCACCGCAACGAAACATTTGAAGTCACACGAACGCACAGCTGGCGTCGGAGCCCCGATCAGGAAGCACATTTGCCCAGTCACCACTCGAAACAAGCACCTGGGTAAATACGTCAGTGTCGAGCGGGCAGCTACAAACACAGAACGTACCACACACCATAAACATGCCGCCCTACTACATGTATTTGCACCCTCCAAGACTGGCGCCGGTGCTATATCCTGGCTCGAGCTCTGAGTCAGCAGTCTTCCGCACAGCAGACTCGCGCGCGCTGCCAGTGCACTGCATGTCTGACGGCTCCGTCAGAACAAGCGCAGATGCTCAGTCATCCTCGAGCATGGGTACTAGGCAGGTCAACTTGAACTTACCTGTGCCTTCTGACAGTGGTGCCGAAGGTAGAGAATGATGGGTTGAACGAGGTGGTTGAGTTGAAGAGACTCGGAGTGGGAAGGTAGTAGCTAGTATTGGGGTAGTTACCCAGATTTGATGGATTCCGGGGAACCTCAGCTCTCAGTGTTTATGACATTCACATCATAATTGAGAGCCTAATCAGACCTGATGTCGTTCTTTGTAATCAGCGTTCTTGAAATATCGAAGCGTGTTCAGGTATAAGTACATCTTAAACCATCCTTCCCCCCTTCCTCCCTCCTCCCAATTTATTTTCTTTTCTTTTATTTAATTTTTGGAACTCGCAACATATATAGTTCAAGTGCCCTCGTACTAGCAGTAGTATAGATCCGCTATGTTGTGATAGTGCATGTTATTGTTATGTCTCTGTATGGTACACCGCCCGGTGATAGCACCACTAGTATGTATATTGCGGTAGATTGAGCAAAGGAGGCAATCGGCCATGATCACAGCCTACCGTACCCCGGGCCCGTGCTGTATTTGCTCCGAGTCGATCCAAATGCTTTTGAATATGGATGTAGTCTAGTTAGTCCAAAGCGACACGAGGGATTTAGTATTAGTATGCAACAGCCAGCTCATTGTGAATGGAAATGAAATGTCATTGTCGAGTCGGACTCCTACCAAGGTATATCATATATGACTGTATATGACTACTTACTGGGAGACCAGATGCAAGTACGTGTGCTACGATGAGCCTCGATTTCTTCCAGTAGGGCATGATTTGTTACACGGTATTATTATTGTCTCTTTCGTCATCCTGTAGACGCTTGAGGCAGTGAAACACCGCATGAATGCCTTCCCGCACAGCATCCACGTCCTCAGCCACAACCCTGCCAACGACCAACGAGCTCTTATCAGGATGCCACCGCAATATAGAGCCGCGGATCCTACTCTTCCTCGTAACAGCATTACTCCGCACAGAAAGAGACTCGAACAAAAACTCCGAAATCGCAGGTAACGTGAAAGCACCGGTATCTCTGGGAGAAGGCGCTGTCCGAAGCGGCCACGGGATATCTGCGAATGAGAGAGCTTTATCTGATGCGGCCAGCGCTTTCCAGCGCTCATCGTAATCCCTCCATCTGTCCATTTTTGTCTTTTCTTCTTCTTGCAGCTTGAGCTCCGCGCGAATACGTTCTGTGCGGGATTTATCGCGGCGCCCTTGTGCGTCGCGTAGAACTCCGCCGCCTCGAACCCACTCTATTTCGCTCATCTCTCTGAGCTCCCGTTCCTTGTGAAGTCGGTTGATACGTTCTTCATCGTGCGGTGGTTTCTCGCTACGCGTCTCGTCCCCTTTCCCAGGTGTGCTTTTGTCAACGAATGCTTCTTTGGTATCGGGGGACTGAGGTATAGATGTGGGGTATGGTCTTGACGTGCCTGATATCGGAGGAGGAAACGCGAAGTACCCTTTTGTGCTCATGCAGGATGTCAATCAATGCAGATGGACGACAAGGTTGAACATGTCTGTTGATTATGTCATCCTAGAAACGGCCATCATCTGCTATCTGCCATCTTCTTGACAACACGAAGTAGGAACATGTATGTATTATGATAACGGGAATGCATATAACCGACGTCATTAGATCAAAACTCACTGTACCTCATTATAATGTACCGATCGGACTTTCTTGTCTTTCTGTGCCTCCCGTGCCAATCTTCCTTTACCCCGTGCGTACTTCACGTCCTTCCAGTTTTCCCGAGCAGTATGGAACACCGACATATCCCCATCGTAAACCTCTTCGAACTTCGTGACTTCTCGCGAAAAAATGGCTACTGCTTCATGCTGATCAGCATGACCCGAAAGAATCGTTCGCACTCCAGTAAGCAGGGCATCAAGGACGGCAACGTTATGTGCGACAAGGAGTGTGTGTGCAGACATCTCGTGGGTGTGTAAGAGGTGGTGCAGGTAGGCTCGTGTGAAAGGAGGTGAAAATTGTTCCTGGCTCGTGCCGTCGTCTAAATGCCCTCGGTGCGACTGAACGTCAACTTTGCTGTGGTAAATAGGAGACGTGGGGGCAACTGGAGAGCATGCAGCGCAGGGGCAAACGGGAGTTTTAGACGAAGATGCTCTATCGCGGCCAGCGAGGAAGGCGTTTGACAACCTGACGAAGTCGTGAGCGTACTTTGCATCGTACAGGTTGTGACCAATATCGCGTTTGCGATGGTCTGGACTGCTGTCGTGACTGCTGGGTACCGGAAAAACGAAATCGAGAGCTACTCCGATATCAGCTGCTTTTACAGCCCATCCCGCATCGAATACATCGACTCCAACATCTCTGATCAAACGCAGGATTTCATGAGGGGATCGAACATCCGTGACGAGGCGTGGCTTTGCGATCGGGAGTGGATCTAACGATGCACGGAGGAGCTCATCCAGCATGGGGGAGAGGAAGGAAAGAGGCTCGATCATGCTGGACGAGAGCGATGTGGGTGTATGAGCCGCGTTAGGCGTTGGCGCCTGTGCCAATGATTCCGAATTCTGTAGAATCAGAGAGCTCTCTGCGATTTCGATGCCTCCGTCCTTATCGTTGTGGGTCGACGAAGGAGCTGGTCTGACATGAAGGGCGGCTAGGTCAAATGCATATCCAGCTACTCCTTCATCCAAACATAACAGTGGTGTCACGGCGTCTGCTTCCAACCCATGAAGAGTCTCCATGAGGCTGTGCGAAAAGGCTCTCCTTGCGGAGGTCGAAGTGCCACCAGCCATATGCACGAAGACGTTCAAAGCAGTAGGAATTGATTCCGTGGATGACTCATCCATCGCAGGACGCAACAGATCTGCGAGCCAAGCCGCACTGCGCTCGATGCTTTTCGTCATGCGCTTCTGCGAGTGCGGGGCAGCAGTAAAAGGCGTATCGCTGAGAGCAAACTGCGATATCAGGCTGCATCGTCAGAGCATACGATCGCCAGTCCGCAGGCGTGACCTAAAAATGAAAATGAAAAGCCTTGATAGAGGAGACTCTACCTTCATAAAACGAATAATCACCTTCCTCACGCCACGCATGCATGAAGCTGAAACATATAAATTCCCGTTTGGTGGCATCTCTCGAGCATCCAAAGGATCGCGAAGCGAAAGCGAAACGATGTATCTCGAGCTGTCGAATCCGAAGAAATCATGTAATGGTTGCGATCCCGTTTGATAAGTGGGTACTGGGGGTGTTTGCTCGAGGCTTGAAGTCGCAGATCCGAAGCGTTATTTCACCATACGGGGATAGAAGGGTAAGAAGACAACTCACAATGACTCAAAAGAGACGTTGATCCAGCTGATACCATTTGCAGAATGGACATGGTCCCTTGAGAAGTGTGGAATTACACCGCGAGATGTTCCGATGAGAAAATTGGGTGTTGGGATGTCGATGAGATGGTTGGATGGAGTATCGGATGGTCGTGTCAGGCACAGCCTACCGACGCGGGGCCCGAACTGTTTTCTTTGGTCCAGGATGAAAGTGAGTTTGGGAAAGCGTGAGCCGACGCGCTGGCCTCCTCCAGGTTGTGTCTGAGCCATCGCGAATGTGGTGATCTAATGTTGGGATAGATGCAGCGGCGTTTTTAGAGAAAAGTTATTATCTTGTAGTAAATATGGGTTATGGTACGAATTGCAGAGCGCTGAACTTTAGGCTTGAACATGAAAAATTGAAAGGGGTCGCCTTCAATATTCAATTTGTATATTGGGACCAGTGCTTATCGCAGATCGGAGTCCAATCGGAGCTATTAGATACTTTTTTTTCCCCATTTTTCTACCCCCGCGGTGTTCCTGAAACTCCCCCGAGACTCGAGTCATGATGCATGATGGGGAACAAAAACAAAAATTCGGACGAGTCATTTGAGCTACGATCTGTATGTACATCATCAGTAGCCATCTAGGATAAACCAACGGAACAACAAAGAGCCATGCAGATTAAAAATATATATGAAAACAATGCCACTTCCAGATCCATAAATTGCAATAAAAACTTGATGTCGAGTGTATAAGTACTCGAATGCAATGCCTGAATGTGTGATTGAAGGTGAGAAAACAAAAAATAAATGTAATGCCCGATGATATGCTTAGTGGTATATGCTCGATGCCTGATCAATGAATCAGGATGCTAAGTAACAAAAAATGCTTGGTGACAGCTGTGAGGACGTGTGTCAATCAAAGATAGCCGGAGGATGAAACGGCATACATGTCAAACGAAGGGATATATCGCTGCTAAGCATCGTCACGAAGGAGACACAGTTTGGGCTGCCAACTCCCCTGTGACACGCGGTGTAGTGAGACGAGAGCGAGATGCTCGATGCGGATTCCAGTGGGACCGATACGCCATATCGAATTCGGGGGATCGCATGGAGTTTTCGCATGCTCCTGTTTAGGGGTGAGTAAACTTCAAACACGATACTCTTAACAGGCTGACCTTGAAGAAAGAGTGAACAGCGCCCGCAATTTTGACCGCCAGTCTTTCGCGTGTGTTCGGCGACCTTGTTTTCTTCCAGTCTTTGGAAGCAATTTGCTTCGTAAAAGATGGGTATCCAGGCCACTGATAGATCACATCATATTTTCGTAAGCAATGCGTGGCGAGTACCTCAATAAGACGGATCCTTTACCTCAATGCGAATAGAGATTGTATCCCCAGATATGTCCGAGATGCGGTCATCACGTGCCTGGAGGTGGGTTGTCTGCCGATGTAGCAACAGTTCCAAAGGGATGCCAGCTCCCTCTGCGACGTTGAAAACGACTGGCATTCCACTTCCGGTGATGAAATGAAAAGCGTGTGTGGTCCCTACATTGTACAACTGTTGGGGGACTGTCGAACCTCGACCAGGAACACTTGACGAGATTGATAAGGTCGTACTAGTCCCTCCAGACGACGACGACGACGAGTGGACGTCAGAGGCGCCGGAGATGCGCGGTGCGACCCTCCGTCCGTGCTGCACGATACTGTTAATGATATCCCCACCAAAAATCATAATATTACACACCAGCATATCATCCGCTGAAGATTCCAATGGACGTTTTTGCGACGGGGAGATGGGGGATTGCCCGGAACCTGTTCCTGTCATGGAATCCGGGCCGTAGAAGCCTGGGCTCTGAGACGCCCTGTTTAGGGGTGTTGCTCGGGAGTGGCTGTGAGCGGTCACACCGCTTGTATTCAATGGACTTAACGTTGAGGGACCGCTAACATCCGACGCTACCATCGGGCTGTATCGCGGACTGCTTCGTAAACTTGACGTCATCGGGCTTGTGAGCTCCGTAGGTGGGGCGGGGGGCAACGTCGTGGTCAAGTAAGACGGGGGTTCTGGGAAGGGCAGTCCTACACGATTGTCCCTGATGAGCTCCTGTGGCACAGGAGCCGACAGCACGGGATCGAATGGCGTCTGGTACAGGTATCCAGTGTCATGCATCTCATGGAACGGGAGTTGATGGAAGTAATGCTGTGGATACTAGAAATCATCATAAGCGATGACATTCATCGCTTCTAGCTGGTAACTCACTGGTAGATTCGGCGGTACGCCACCTGCAAAGTTGTCATACATTTGTGGCGCATGGTGCTGGGGGTTGTACACGTAGTCGTCTGATGGAATCTGGTCATAGGCGTCTTGTGGGATTTCGTGGAATTCATGTGCGCCACCGAAATCAGTGAAGACGTCCTCCTGATCACTGTGGGGAGGGTAGCTATACATTGATATAGCGCTTTGAGGGGTTTGAGATATAGAGGCTATGGTCGCTCACGATGAATTGGAAGAGGACATGAGGGTGGAAGAGATGAGATTGAAGAAATATGGGAAAAGCAAGCAGTCCGTGATTTAAAGGATGCCAATAGCCACCGCCACAGAGAGCATTTTGACGGGGCCACGAGATGTTACGAAATACGAGCTTCGAGGATCGGTAAAAAGGTCAATAAATGCAGTGCAACCCACACATCCAAAAACAGCACACGCAGTGGATTTGGAGGGTGAAGCGGCGGAAGCTGAGAATGATACGAAATAGTGCCCAAAAGGTACATGGCGTCCGGGGGCTGTGACTTTCAGTGCCGACGAAAATTCGGGCACTAGAAAAATGAGGAAAAGGTCGAACAGGGCGGCAGACCCCAGAATCAGCATGTGGGGCGGAAGGCACTATTCGTTGGCAGGCTGGCGCGCTCAGCCCCATAATGACGATACGTAAGGTCGAAGCGGAGGAATGCATCGCTTCACTGCAGGCTGGACGGGGAACGTGGTTGCACGGGCAACAGTCTTGGATATGTACACCCCTGAGTAGGGCAGCAATGTGTACTTCATTTACATTATGAGGCTTCAGTACTCAGTCGAGTGGCGAGTCACGGTAGTCAGAAACCATCATTGATCATCATCAGGAAATACAAAGACTGCCTATTACAGAATTCAGGACGTACACACACATATAACAAGTTGACAACGCACATACAAACAGGACCAGGGCCATGAAGACCATAGGATATATGCTTGAAAATGGTTTGCAGACGGTCCAAGCACAAGGTTCAGCCTCTCATGCCACATGATACATCCTCGGATCGCAGATGGAGAAGAAGTGTGCTGCGGTTGCACTGGATTTTTCTCGTTTTGAGAAGCATTCACAAGCGGGCCCTAGCGCATCGTAATTGCAGCGGTGACTAGTCCACCAGTCGAGGACAACAAAAAGCGCGTGTATGGTTGTCAAGAATGGGATAAGTTCGGGAGAGTTCGGGGTCTCTGCTGTGGGTCCCAACAACTGTTACGTAAGTGAATTTTAACACAGCATGGTATTAATTACTCACCGTTTCCGCAGTTCGCACGCACACAGACAAGAATGCAGCTGTATCTTACTAGAAGCATCTATATCCATTTAATTGAATGGCCACTGGCCAGCCCGCCTCTGGTGAAGGAGCGTTATCACCGTCCTTGGGTTATATCCAGTGGGCAAATGATCATTGTTCGACATCAATACGTGGCGATTCTTTTTCCCCCTTCAAACCACCAGCGAAATCGTATCACACTGAATCTTGCCACCTTAACTTGTTTGCAAAGTAGCCGAAAGTTCGATGAACAGACATTCATTCAAACATCCACGGTACGTCTCTCGGCTGAATAAGAATGTTGGTCGCTGCGTTACATTGCAATTTGTAACATGAGCGACAGTTTCCACCAGCAGATCATATATAGGTGCATGTCAATTTTCAAGTCTGCAGACCTCCAACAAATCACATGCATGCGCCCCATCCTTTTCCAGAATGTATTGATCGCACTGTCCGCACAGCAAGAAATTTTCATTGATTCTCATACGAACGTTAACATTCTAAACTGCGGATGTGCACATTCACGGCGGAGATTCCGACACCGGTGTACAAAATATTGTCATCTTTGCGACGTCTGACTCCAACGTCAAAGAGGTGCACAGCCCCTTCTGCGGACTGATAACGATCGACTATCGGACTCACGATCAACTTGTCATTTCCACAAAGTCTAGATTATCGCTTACGGCACGGTTTTCGCCGACTCATCGTGACACTCGTATACAAATGACTGCGCCTGTCCCCCTTTGCACCGCTTTTCTGCCTGTCTCGAAGAGCAGAACCAGGGATGCATTTTGTGGACAGCAGTTCAAACTACTGGAAACCAGGCATCATATGCAAACCACAAAACCCCCGCGTAAAGCCAAGTAAAGCTGTGCAACGGTATAGCAATTCGCTCCCGAATTTGCAAACAACGAACAGCCAGAACTTTGTTTTTTCTTATCTCAGACCATATACGCAATCCAACAAATCGAAATTCTAACATCGGTCGTCTCTTCATCATGTCGTATCCGTCAATCGTAAAGACAAAGTGTAAACGAAGTAATCAATGCGGGGGTATGGAACACATGGCTACTGGTACAGTGTCGATATTGACAAAACTATCATGCGGGAATATTATTTCATCTTACTTTGACCCTCTTTCTAGTTCGATAGAGCGGAATTCTTCATTTCCCTCAGGCGAGGAATCACATCCTGGAACGCCGCCGCCTCCCAGTCGCCCTCGTGACTCTGCATTTTGACAATGACACCGGTGCTGTCTCTCTTGTCTTGTAACATCGGAGGCATACGCCCCTTTCCAAGTTTTGTTGCGGACACTGTGAGGGTCGGCGATGAGGTGTTTCTATGTGTGTAAACAGACTTGGATATCGAAGCAACAGACCGAGATGAACTCTTCGGTCTGCGCAAGCGAATTATCGAGAACGCCTTCTTGCTACTGTGCGGACTATCCCCGCTTTCGGAGGAAACAGCCGAAGAAGGACCCAACCAGCTTGAAGGAGGATTCCACGCCCATTTTGCAGAGGGTAATTTGGGGGCTGGGGTGGCTGGTAACTGGGTCTGATGCGAAGCAACCGTTGTTCGTGTGTTGATTCGTGATAACGAGTACTCGTCAGGCGCTTGCGTGTATAAGGGCGATGGTGGTGGAAGTTCAAGCTCATCGTCTAACGAGAGCGGAGGTGAACTTGGGCCTGCTGATCTGCTGCTAGCTGTGAGAGAGGATTTCCGATTGAGGAACACAGATTTTTCAGACGTCAAAGTGTTGGGTATGGGGAACAATGATGCCGGCTCATTGACAGACGCTAGCCGAGCTGGCGTCTGATGTGTTTTGTGGGAACGCGCAGATGCCGCTCGCGTGAGAGATTGTTCGTGGGTCATGGTTGTAGGTGAGGGAGAAGGAATGAGAGTTTGTGTTCGCTGATGCCTTTTGGCCTTCTTCGGAATGACCTTGAGTGGTGGGGGTAGCTTGGGACGACCAAAGAATCCCTCGTCTACAGGGAAGATGGAAGCTGGCTCCCTGTTTGCATGACGCTGAGGGCGCCCGGAGGCAACAGAAGTTTGCTTGCTCAGCTCACTTGAGTCGCCGGGGGCTGTCCGAGGCCTTTTCGGACGAGTAGATGAAGGAGTGTGACTCTGGTTTGACTGTGAAATAGAAGGGCGACTTGCTACCGATGGGGACGATGGAATAGGTGGCTCTCTATTTGAAGTGCTACTGCCACCTTGGACAAATATCGGAGCTTCATCAGGAGCAGTGGACACGGGAGTGGCGATCTTCTCGACTGGATCCACATGATTAGCCTGAGCCGTTGCTGAGGGGGGTAATGGAGCGAAGTGCACATTGGCGGAGGTGATATTTAGAACTGGCAGCTCGATGTTAATAGCATGATCTGATGCCACGAGTGCGTTCCCTCGAGACGATTCGTGCCTTGGCTTAGACGAGGCGGGACTCGTGTTGTGTGATAGCGAGTGTTGGAAGAACATGTCCGCTCGAGGAGATGCTGGCTTGTCTAACTGTGACAGCACTGCTTCACTACCCGCAACTTGAGGTTGCGTAAGGACAACAGGAGTCGTGAGGCCAAGTTCTCGTAGATTGTCTTTGATGGACTTGAATCGGGGAACATCAGGGACAGTGTTGACTCTGCTCTGAGGAAAATTCGGCGTGAAGGCCTGCGGAGCAGATTGTACTCGCGATAGATTCGGCGTCAATGTCTGTGGAACGGATTGTACCCGTGATAGATCATGTGTGGGTGCAAGTGGCTCGCTGGGGGTATGCGAGAGTGCTAAATGATGCAAATAATCAGTGTTTTTACTTCACGCAAGATACGCATTTATGATCCTTACCCTCTGTTGCGCTGGGTCGCTCTATCGCACATTTTGTGGACCTCTTGGGTGACCACGAAAAGAAGCTGGAAAAGAATCCCTTCTGCGCCGCCTTTGCCATCTGTTCTGTTTTTGAATCCGCGCTCGGTGATGTAGGTATGACCATTGTGAATGACGATTCCTGGGAGAGTCGATCTGTTGCATGCAGTTGGTGTCAACAACGGCGACTTTCGTTGCCTCGCCGTGAACACGGGTCAGTGAGAAAGCCTCTTACCTGCGTGGTTAATCGGTTTATCTGAAACGTAGTGCGCCAACCAGTACGCCTTATGCTGCTATGTTCATGGAGCGAAGAGCAGAGGAAAGGACAGAAACGCTAGCGGGGATAGATAACAGGTCCACAAGATCAGAGCCCGATAGTTAATAAATTCGTAGCTGTCCTGTTGGTATAGATTGACTATATATACGCTTGTGCCCCCCTAGCTCCTCAGGAAGGATGACCCCAGGCTGGGAAGTAAGAAGTACTAAATGACTGATGGCAGCCTTGGATACCGATTCCACGTTGCTTCATAGTATCGAGAGCCTTGACTACGACAATGCATGAAATGAACGTGCACTTGGTTTTCGCTTCCCGCGACTATCATATTCTTACCGATGTTATAACAACAGGCTCTGGTGGCATCACCGTGGAGCCCACAAGAGAATCCCAAGAGTGCAACATGTTTCAGCCCATTGACGAATGTTGAGTGACAGTTGGCAAGTTAATCATGATGATGATAAGTATCGATTCAGGATGGTTGCAAAGTAACCACATACGTCATATGTTACAGCCCAGCGCCAAAATCCAGGGGTCGATACTTAGCTGGATGACTTCCCGTGGGGCTGAATGATGGATTAGGATAAAGCGCTGGGATCAATCTGCAATGATAGGAATCAAAAATACGGCTAGGCTTTGGGATCAATGCAACCGATCGCCTAAGCTCGTAGTCGAACTTGGCAGGAAACAGCTGGTCTTGCGAGTCAAGTTGGACGTGCCACGAGGCTGATGTGGCGACAACATGACAGCCTGGTGGCATGAAGAGGCAGGTAACATTATTAGTAACAGGCAATGTGCACAAAGGTCATGTGATGTTTATTAGGCACCCGATCGTTTCAGTGGGAACAAAGTCGGAATATAGATAGACTGTTACCCGCTGCCACCCACCGCCACTGTGCAGCCAATCAGTCGTTCTAAGTGATATTATTTTTACCTGACTGCTGCAAGATAAAATACGGTTGCGATCGGCGATCAAAGGTTAACGCAATGACGTAGAAATCAGCCTGTGCAATCCACAAAACGAATCAAAGGTGTATTACGAACTGATATACTCATATGAGTTAAAGATAACAAAAGTTGTCCATAATGCCAAAAGTCTTTGTAATCAAAGGTCCGTATCGACTGTTCATGAACGCGAGGCTGATGATGTGACTGACAGTGTCTCCTAAACATGACAAAAATAAGAAAGTGGAATGCAACGAGCTGCTGAACGTGCATTGACAACGTGTCCTATATTCGCCGCAAGAGAGCCGAGCCAGAGACGAACATCACCATTAAGGTAGCGATGAGGGCAATGAATGTGGGGTGGGCAATGTGCTGCGACACAGCGCTAGAACAACCTGCACAAGACCAGCCTTTTCGAACGAGTCAGTAAAAATATAGCCGCCGTGTAGACGTCGCTTACCGCTGGTGATAGGAGTATAAGCCTGCGGCGTATACAGCGCAAATTGCAGCGCGCTATTGGGCGTGAGCACACCCGGCTCGCGTACAGCATCAGGCCCTCCGTCTGCCCAAATTTCGAGAGTGTATTTTGCCTGAGCGAGCGGCAGGTTGGGATGGCTGGTTTGGTAGGTGTATGGGTCCCAAACAACGCTAGTGGCAGTTCCAGGAATAATGCCATTCGTTGGACCAACAGGGTATGTGTTTCCGTTCTCGCAGACAGCGGAAACTGTCAGGTGAGTGGGGGTGGCTAAGATGTAGCTGAAATTCCATCCAAACGTGATGAACTGGTTCTGAGCAATCTTGAAATAAGAAGTCGACTGCTGGGGCGGCTGGGTGATGGTAAGAAGCCCTGCAGGAGCTGATTGGGGGATGGATAGAAACGAGGCAGAAGTGCCCGACGCAGTCTGCGACTGTGAACCTGACACGGTGGATCCAGACTGAGTTTGAGACAGCGATTGGGATTGAGATTGGGATTGACTCTGGGACTGAGGCTGCCCTCCCTGTTGTTGACGCGCTTCCAGCTCGACTTTCATCCTGAGCTTCAAACGACTGTTAAAAAATCAAAGAATGACAGCAAACGAAGACGACAAGATACGGCGACCACGGGCAATTAGGCGGGAACAAGCGGCGAATTTATCAACGGAAAAACGTTGTTCGGGTCTGGCTCTTCGGTAATAGCAATTATTTTTCTTTATGAGCTCGACTTCCTTTTTTGGACGATGACTAGAATCTTGATAACCATGCACAGATCCTATGCATCTTGCTAGTGACGCCACCGAACACACTTCATCATGAATAACATCAGTCCGACCAGGCCCATTGCTCAAGCTTCAAGTTTGAACTGCGATACTGCCCACTGCCAAACTGCGCTAACTAATACGACCACGTCTCATCACTGCAACCATCCCTTATACAATATCTAAAAGGAGCGCTGTTTAGTCCACCTTCCTGTAATAAAAGATAGAACCCACTTAGACGACTTCTACGAAATCATAGCCCATTCAGGCGACATCACGGCCCTGGATTGGGTGGGACAATCATACAATTTCAACAGTTGTCTGCCAGCCGACATTTCCTTAAGGCTCTGTCGTGTACACTGCCAGTACCATCTTTACTGGAAGATGATATGCAGAATTTGGTCTCCACATTGCGAATCAACATTGTGGCTGTAGAGGCGGCTTTGAAACTGTATGTCCTTCTTGGGAGCCTCAGTTTTCCTCGTTTCGCAAACGCCAGACTGCAATTGCCTCGCATCGCATTTCCTCTCACAGAAGTCGGGTGGAGGCCTAGGGCGCTAGATATTTTACTAGCATGGCGTCAAGGCAGGCGGGCTACAAGACCTGCTGGTCACGATGGAAGACAGGCTTGTTCAATTCTCGCCAGCAAGGCGTGCTCCGAGACAGCAGATATTCTTGCTCGTCCGTCCATGAAATCGGTATAGTCTCGGGCTGGTTAACTTTACAGACGAGACGCAGAGCGTAGAAAATCTCGAGCCTGGGTCTCCATCAGATGATACGTTTGGTGACTGTCCCGGATACAACGAGTCGGCTACGCGAGAGTTAAGGTCGATCATTCGCCTCAGACAGCCTTGGCCCTTTCGGCGCGCTTTTGCTAGCGCAGCAATGGGGTTTCCTTCCTCGCGCGCTGCCTTCGCTTGTTTAAATGACTCCAATCTTCGCCAACACCTACGTCGGCTGCTGTGAATCGAGGTAGTCCTAGTAATCCAGACTTCGAGATAGTAGAGGCGGGTCAGGCCTTACGTGGAGGGTAATACAGCCTGTTCCTCTCATGCAGCTTTGGTCACCGTCTGAAGCCGATAGTCGATTTCTGCTTGTGAGAGCGTTTGCTTGGTGCAAAACCTTTCAACCTCCCTTGAGTTCAATAGCTCCGGGAGCACCACTCTTTTTAATACCTGTGTTATGAGATTGAGCACACCAACCAAGACCTAAATAACTATTAACTGACTGTAGAGACTGCTCTGGACGGGGTGGTTGAGTGGAAGGAATCGCTGTCTGTTTTCAAGTCAAATTGTAAATATTGTCCATGGTCGACAATGGTGTGGCCACGAGATAAGAGAAGGTTGGCCATGTGCCCTCGAATTTCAAATTTCGAAACTCAATAATATGCTGACTAAGACGACATGAAGGAATCCGACATCATCGCTTCACTAGTACTGGTGCTGGAGTGGTGTCTGTCAGCCAACGCAACTTCTTACCAGGACGACCATCCAGAACCACAACTGTTCGACTACTTGCTAGCCTCAACGGTGTACCATGTTTGACGAAAGTCAGCCACCCTCTCCGAACCAGCCGGTTGTCGCGTTAGCTCCTCTGGAACCCGAATGGCAGCCAATCTTCCAGGCCTCTAATCAGATCGTGTTGTATAATCCAACATCTCATGCTCTGTCTATAACAAAGACCTCTGGTTCACTAGATTTTCCAGGCTCGTCATCGTGTCCCTACTGCCATCGTCCTCTTCCCAATGGATTCGATAGAAATGACTCTTCTGACAATATTCGGTCCGATTTTGGATCACACTCCCGAGCGTCAAATTACTTCCAGCTTCTTGCTGCCGCAAATCAGACGTCCTCAAGGCAGTCTAGCCCCCCTTTGATGAGTGGCAGTGGGAGCCGACATGGTGCTTTCCCTCCAGAAACTATGGCAGAAGGTTACTTTAAGGCTTTTTTCCAGGAAGAGTATCGATTAGGAATGGGGGCAAATGGAAGTGTATATCTCTGCCAGGTCTGCTGAATTGCACTGCACCCTTATATGACTATTTCTCAAGTCCCGTGGGCAGCATGTTCTTGATGGGGAACCACTTGGTTAGTATTTTGCATGCAATAGTCAATGATTTAACGTGCTGAACGAACATCTTAGGACATTTTGCCGTTAAGAAAATTGCGATAGGAGAGTCCCACTCTTATCTGCTCAACATACTGCGAGAGGTTCGTAACTGTGACGATATGTTGACATATCATGCACGCTGACATTAATGTGCTATCAAGATTCGCCTTCTCGAGTCTCTGCACCATCGCAATATAGTAACGTATCATCACGCATGGCTAGAAACTTATCAGTTCTCTGCTTTTGGTCCGAAAGTGCCCACCCTACAGTAAGTACGGAAACGCCAACCAATGACAATTGATTTACCATGACTGCGCAGCGTTCTCATGCAATGGGCCGAAGGTGGAAGGTAACACCCTCGAGTATAAAGATATGACTATCATTATTGAAATTCGGCTATTAGTTTGGATGATTTCATTGAACTTCGCCTGGGACGTTCAATTGGACTTCCACACATGCAATCCTCTTCATCGCCTGCTCCTGACGATCCGACTCCATCTGCACGCATCCGTGCATTTCGTGCGATGAAGCGTGCCCCACCAGAGGAACGCGAGCGATTACGCCGAGAAATGGAGGACCAAATCCATAGCCGCAGGAATCATCCCTCATGGAAAGCTGTCCATCTTCTCAGTGCAGAGGAAGCGCGAAGTTTGTTTGCTGACGTGACACACGGATTAGCCTTCTTGGTGCGTTCTGATCGATGTTCCAACGTTGACGTACCGATGATGCTTGGTATCTGAAGCATGATAAATCTATTCTTCATTTGGACCTCAAACCTGGTAACGTGCTACTGACTTGGGATGAGGGAACGCTCATGTAAGTGCGTTTTGTTTGGTTGTAGTGCTAATGTTAAGATCGCTATGTGCAGCCCTCGAGCAATGTTATCGGATTTTGGAACCTCCCGAGATATGGTACGGTCGAGTGGTGTTCGATCAGGTAATACGGGAACGTGAGTATCCGGTCGCCATTGCTTAACTTCAGCCTGCTCAATCCAACAGTCTCGAATACGCTTCGCCAGAGTCCCTTCCATCACCTCTTACAGGAGTTCTCCGACAAGTTGACTCGAAATCTGACATGTGGTCTCTTGGGATGATCCTGCACAAGATGCTTTTCTTCAAGTTACCCTTCCGCTACGCAACAGAAGGAGAAGCCACCGCATACGATGAAGCCGACAAGATGGACAAGCTAGAGCAGGAAATTTTGGGCTATACTGGGTGCGGTTGACTCTGAACCGCTTGTGATCTAGTTATAGACCAGCTCTCAGATTCCGATCAACGTCTGCACTTGCAACATCTTTCGAGTCCCGCAGTCTCCCGCGTTCGTTCCTGATATTGCTCGAAGGCCTCTTGAGCATCAACCCCTCTTCGAGACCCTCGTGCGAGCGCATAGTGAGCGCTATCCGAGAAGGACGAGTAAGCCGAATAACTTATCGCGCTTGATCATTTTGTTAATAGTCCATGTTTTCAGTTTGATCCTGTGGCGCCATTCATCCCTCCTTCCAACAAGTCTCTCATCCCACTGCGACGAATACCTGACGAATCTGGGACCGTTCAGAACGAACAAACACCCCCTGATGCTTCCCTGACGCCTGCAGAACACAAGCAGGAAGAAGTTGCCCAGGTATTGGACAGGAAAAGTCCCATGCTTCGTCTTCCTTCTCCACGTCCCGATCGTCGGGCTGACGTTGCGAACTTGATCGTAGAGAATCTTACTTTCTTACGCTGGCGATCACCGAAAATCGCGTGGGTTAACACACTGAAAGCCTGCATCCTTGCTGCGAAGGTACGTTTGAGAAAAGCACCTTTGGACATCGTATCAACAAGGCTATTGCAGACATTGTCGGCAGTATCTATGTGGCCCTCCCGCCCGGTCCTCCTCGGCATAATAGGACTTCTTGCCGTTCTAGATACGATGTTTGATGGTCTCGAAGCTTCTTTGGTGCTTGGGGTGCTGCATCTGGCGATAATTCGGTGGTGCTGAATTGGAATTTGATGCATTGATGACCCAATTATCTCTCGAGTTACATGATTATGATGTGGTATCGCCACTTTCAATATTGCGCGCCGCAGTTAGTTTCAGGAGCTACTGATCGGTAAAAGTGCCAAAAGTTGCTGTACAATATCATACCGCGTTGTATACACTATTGCGACTGTTTTACATACGGGAAGCGGGCACTACTTAGCCTCCGAACGTCGTTTAAACAATGTCGTCGGGTTACCACTGTCGAGCAAAAGTCAACGAGCAAGTACTATGGGTGTGTATGTTTTGTGCATATCTTATTCTCAATCAAGCCAGTAAAGGTATGAGACGAACCAAATTATCCATTAAATGGGCTGGGTGAGCGGTGGCTGCTTGTATTCTACTACTTTGAAGCCGTCTCCCCTTTTGATTACGTTACCCGGGCCTACTGCGAGGCGTGAAACCAGCGCTTCTTGAACAGCAGACAATACTAAAAACGAGCAATTGAGTATCCTGCTGTCCCTATACAAGCACAATCATCGTTACCTGCTTCTTCTTCCCTGGCAGCCGGCCACTGGAAAGCTAGTGTAAGACCCACCCTCGGACTGAGTACTATGCATTCCTCTCGACCTGCTCTGAGTTTGAGGGCCATCAGGAGATGCTTTCCAGGCAATCCCCTCAGCTCCTTGAGCATGGCGGGATCAAACCGGGGGTCGAACATATCAGCATATTGTTCAACTGGTCGTGCAGAGAAAGTGACCGGGTAAGCTGAAAGGTCTGTTTCCAAAACTAAACGTTCAATATCCTCTGGGTAGTCTTTTCGTGCTCGTTCCATGGCTTCTTGTATTCGGTCAGCGTATAGCGAATAGTTGAAAGTTTCCACAAGCATGATGAGAGGAAGGCTACCACGAATGCGTTTGGACCCGTCAAAACCTTTGAAGAGTCGGTTAGTACATGTCATATGTGTGATTGAGAGACAGACCACCAGCCGAATGGAGGACAGGGCATGCAGTACGATGTCTGCTTTTCCAATCTGTTCTCTGGCAACCCCGGGAACAATATCGCGCGACGAAACACCCACAGCACCGATAGTGCGGTGGTCTATTGTTGTCATACGGACACTGGAGATGTCATAAGCCTATGGCGTACTGAATCAAACTAGCCCTCAAACGTACCTGTAAATTCGCACACTTTTGTTCGTAAAAAGGCAATGGACTGGTTTTCCTGCAGACATTGAGTATCTGGCGGGCCGCTTGCTGGACTAAAATCCATGTCTGTTGCACCTCATCGTCTTTCTTCGCGTGAGGTCCAAAACGAGCCATGTTATTGGCAGTTTGATCCATTACTTTTTGGAAGTGGTGTAATACTTTATGGTACATCAGAAATCGCGGAATGAGCTTGAGGACACTGGAGGCCATCTGTGGGCAGCGGAACCCAGCTTGCAGCACCAGCTGGATAAATCCGGCATCGAGGACCTGACATAGAGCCGGAATGCACGCCTCTGATTGACGCAGGATCACATCTATATAATCGAAGGTATCCTCCAGGATCATAGTGCATCTCTTTTCAGTCGAGGTTTCCGTCGAGGAATTGACTCTCACACCAGTGAGAACCGGCCATGTTTGAAGTAAAGCTGTCACAACATCCGAAGGTGCGCGGTGCAAGATGAGCTCTTCTTGGCACGTAGCGTCCATGATGCTGACCAAGGAGAGAAAGCGGATTAAAATTGATAAAGCATCGACAAATCCTAGCATCGCGGTCACAAACCCATAATTTGAAGTCGTGCGATTGTTCATGTCGCCGATCTTCCTCCCGAACCACCGAATATATCGTAGTGCCGACGCTACGAATGGTTCGTATCCACCCATTGCGTCGAGCAGGTTATGCAGAGTAGGCACAGCAAATGGTGCCGGAAGCGCCACTGGCATGCATGCTGTAATGATTCCGACCATAATCCTCCTCACGTGTCCCGTCATCTCATCATTGACGCCCTCCCTCCCGTCATGCCGAAAAGATGCGTCATGCCGGAGTAAATCCTCATCCTTCAATTTCCCGATATAAAGCCATAGCTTTGCAATGAACTGTTGAATAGACATGTTTGACTGGATCAGGTGCTGTCCTGCGACGGAGATTGCCATTTGTGAGAGGGCACGAGTTGTGATGGAGACTACCTCCACATCGCAGATGTCGAAACCTTCCGGAACCCTCCGAGGCGGGAAAGGTAGAAAATGCCGATACATGAACTGTAGCCATGGAAAGAGAGTGTCCCAACGTCGCACCAGTGCATCTGTAATCATCTTGTCCGCGAGACTTTCGCTGAGAACTCCACGCACGCTAGCACACGTTTGTACGATACTCATCAATGATAATTTGGCCAGTATGACGACTTTCTGTACATCATCAGTCGGTAGAGGTTGATCGGGTATCACAGCTGGGTCCAGATGAGCGTAAAAGATGGGGAGTAAAGTCATGTTCGCATCGACATCGGTGGAATTATCGACCCAATGGTAGAGTTTGCGGACATCATGCACCACGCCTTCCAGGGCTCCGTCTGTTGAGCGCTGGAAAAAGCCAGTTGACATCGTTTGGGATAGCCCAGGAGATTCAAAAACTTGATTTACCTGGATACGCTTGGGCAGATATTTCAAAGCGGTTCTCTCTTGTGCAGTTAAGGGCATATCGGTAGATTTTAGTACTGACAATGAACATTGGGCAGTGTAGGACGAAAACAGCTGTCAATGGTCGTAAACGTTCTCCAATGTAACTGCGGCATATGGTATAAACACATGAAGTCTTTGCTTGGAAATGTTGTGATGAGCGCTTACCTTCTCACTTAAGCGCCCCGATTAGTAGTTGACGAAGTTTTGATCAAGATTCAACAGGCCACACCACATCGACCAAAAGTTGACCAAAGGGTTATGGTCCCAACCGGACCTGAAAATTACTACGCATGCTGTAAAATCAGGCGAGGCTCTAACGTCTTTCCGGAAACAATACTCTGAACCCCTCGACGTACTCATCCATCTTATCCTAGTGATGCCCGTAATCAGAAATATGCTAAACACCAGACACCGCTATCTTCTTCGGAGGCTATGAGAACATAGGGATTGTCGATGGTTGTGCCCGCGACTCGAGCACGAGATTACGAAGGTCGTCTGCGCCAACTATTGGTCCAGTATATTGACCAAGCTTCGTCAAGATTCGAGAGGACCAACCCGACAGAGAATAAGCGTGAGCTACGTCGAAGTAAAGCCTGAAGCTGAGGAAGCCTTGGCTGCTGGGTTGGACGTAAATAACCCTACTAACCTTGACAAGTCACTGTGATGTCGCTCATAAACCCGACTTCTCGTTCAGATGTGTCTTTCCAGTCTTCGTTTCGGCCAGAATAATATGGGCTCAGCATCTCCCAAGGATCTCTCCAGTCAGCATCACGCTCCCTCAAGTTGGACCTTTCCTGACTTCCGCCGCACTGCACCACGCTGTCCGAGTCTCTCACCTGCTCAGCTTGGGTCTCAAACTCTGGTGATGCCACCCTCTTATGGAAATGCTGGTTTCTTGGAAAGGGTGACCTCTCCAAGATTGAGCACAGATACTTGTTAAGACATCAATGCGAGTCAAATGAAGGGCAAAGGTCCGTTATTATCTTATACTGGTCCGAAAATCTCTATCGCACAGGACTCACATCCGAAGAGATCATCGCAAAACGCTGTGCAGAGCGCAAGCAATTCAAGTTCTATCGTGTGAAGTCGACTGTTGCTTCTGCGGAAGCAGAGTCTCAAATTCAAAAAGTTTGGTGCTCATACTTCACGAGTTTTCTTCAGCGTAAAAGCAGTGTACGCCTTGATCCGAAGGTAGGCGAGATTTGTCAACTGTGGACCAGCTGATTATAAATGTTGTCTTCAGACAATGCCGACCAAGTAAAAGACTAAAAGCTTCCACAATGAACAATGACTCGACATATCACCAAATTCATCTTGATGTGAATGCAGTTCCACTATCCTCCGCCTGTGGTATCAACAATACCTGGACGTTGTGGTCACAGTTGGTGCATCATATAAATGGCTCAGGCAGAACGTTCGAAATTTGTAGAGTCAAACGCATCCTACCAATCAACCATGTCCTCTTCGGAATCTGCACCGCTACTCGAAAATGGTGGCCATACAGGTCATAGAAACCTCACCTTCACTCGTCGCGTTATCAATTTCATGAAAGGCGAGAGCGAGCCATCATGGGAAGAATCGTTCAAGTTCTTTATTTTCGGGACTTGGCTCAATATCCTACTCGTATTTGTACCTCTGAGCTTCATCTCACACAACATGGACTGGGATGTTGGCCTCGTATTTCTGTTTAGCTTTATGGCCATCGTGCCCTTGTCCAAGGTGACAACTACTTCTATCATAACACTCTCGGAAGACTGACATCGTCGTGTTTAGCTGTTGGGCGAGGCAACAGATCAGTTGTCGGTCAAATTAGGAGAGACCATGTCAGGTCTCCTGAATGCATCGTTTGGGAATGCCGTAGAAATCATCATCGGCGTTGCTGCTTTACTCACTGGTTTGTCCACCGCTCTGAAGTTGTCTGCAAGTGCTGACGATGATCCTAGGTCAATTACGAATTGTTCAGACGTCCGTGAGTGTCATCATGCGGTTACTATTTGCGATAGAATGACGTTGGGTCAGATGATTGGATCGATTTTGTCAAACATATTGCTCGTCCTTGGTTGTTCGTTTCTGGCCGGTAAGGGACCCCGCCTTTGAAGGAGAGTATGGGCTCATTCGATTTAGGTGGATTATACCATAGAGAAGGACTTTTCAATGGTACCGGAGCTCAGGCGTGCGTCCTCTGTTTTTCTGTTCTTTGAATCCTTGGTTAAATTGCAGTGTTTTTAGATCTGCCTCCGTAAGTCATCTGACTGATTCATTTAATGATTACTGACACCAAGCATAGCTTATAACTCTATTGTGCATCAGTATGGTTATGTTCTTCAACTCGAGAGTTTCGCTAATATTTCACAGCGTTTGTTGTGCCTGCGGCCTATGCAAGTACTACGGATCCTGGAAAGGAGACTTATTGCAGTAATCCGGATGAGTGTCCCACCGCGGGTCTTCTCTTTATCTCCAGAGGAACCGCCATATTGCTCCTAGGGGCGTACTGTGCCTACATTTGGTTTCAGGCATGTTCTAATATCTTATTTCTTTAATGTACTCACCCAAGGGTTTAGTTAAAGTCTCATCCCGATCTCTTCGTCGCGCCTTCTTCACAAAACAGTGATGTAGCAGTAGCATTGTCGGAAACGGACGAAACAGAGCCTCGCATGGGAACGGCCGCTGCTGGTGTTGCGTAAGTCTTGTTCTGTGATTTTTTACATCGGGAGCTTATTCTCTTTCGTTAGACTATTATTGGTCACTGTCGTCATCGCATTTTGTGCTGAGCATCGTAAGTGTCTTACTTTGTTCCCTTCGTCTCATGTTCAATTGTGCCAGTGGTCACCTCCATCGAGGAAACTGCAGCCCGCTATTCCATCACGAAAGCCTTCATTGGTGTTATCTTGTTGCCGATCGTGGTATGTTTCTAGCTGTATCCGACTAATTGCCTACCAATATCGTTTGTAGGGAAATGCCGCAGAACATGTCACTTCAGTCTGGATGGCAATGAAGAACAAATACGAACTCACCATCACCATCTGCGTTGGAAGTTCGATTGTAAGTGCAGACCGTTTATCAAATTATTACGATTGTACTGACTATGGGACAGCAAATTGCCTGCCTCGTAGTGCCGCTTCTTGTGATCATCGGTTGGATGTACGATCATGCATTGCATCTCGCGAGGTTTTGTTCTCACTGTCCTTTTTATCAGCGTCAACCAACCCCTGACATTGTACTTCCACAACTTCGAGGTCTGTATATTCAGAATATATTCCATGTCATCACTCAAGTTTCTAACGAATCTTCAGACAATCGTGCTCTTTGTATCTGTCTTCCTAGTCAATCTATTGCTCATGTCAGTGTTGCCTTTACACATGGCAATTACCCTCTCATCGAGACTTACATCGCTTATTTTAGGGACGGAAAAGCCAATTATCTGGAAGGTCTCATGCTCCTTACCCTCTACTTGGTCATCGCCCTCGCATGTAAGTTGCCCATTGAACCCTTTAATCACATTCTCATTGCCATTAGTTTGGGTGGTCTGAGATACCATCGATTATTGTCATTATTGGCAACATATATTTTGCGACTGCTAGTAAATCAGTTTCTGCGCCACCTATGTCCTTATGCTCCACCTATTTATTTCGGCAACACTAAAACATGTGTGTACATAGTATGACTTCATCGAGAGAAAGCATCATGTGTAGATTCATTGTATTCATAATATTATGCAAATGTGAAGGGTCATGTGTAAGATAAGTCTGTCTTCCTATCCAGTCGTGATCAACAACAGTTCGGGAGAGAGAGTGCCCTAGCTAATTGGCATTTATTGAATGTAGTTGCGTGTGAGCGAATCTTGCATGTTTTGGAAATGGAAATCACATAAGGTGTTCAAAACACACCATGTCAGGGGTCCCGGTCAGATATCTGCAAAACGATCGTAGTACTACGGTGCAGTCTTGATGCAAGAAGGAAAGTTGAAACAGTGTCTTCTTGTAAATGAAGAGGCTGTAGAGTTTTTGATTTTTCGCAATTTAATGAATGCGTTGAGACAGTTCCCATTGCATGATGTGGCTTCGGTTTTTCTAACTCTAGTATGAGATGTGATTAATTGATTGTTCGACGAAAGAGCTCGTATATAAAATGATCAGACAAGTTATGACAAGAGAGCAATCCTTCGCTTTGACAGAGCAGTGGCTGTCAGTTGACTCGACACAAAAAACATCATGATCGACACATTGCTAATACCAAACATCTTTGAGCTTCAAGAAAACTGTAACAAACTAACATCGACTGTTCATAGCTGCGCTCGATGATCTTTCACATTCCAACCGCATTCCTCCGTCACCTTCAAAACTCAATTGATGTAGATGTTGATGGGCGTGCAGCCGATGTTGATGAGCCCGTACTGCAAAGGTAGCTTTGAGAAGTCTGAAATGGAAGACAAAAGCTGAATGCATACGTATTGATTGTCACTGCAGCAGAGTGGTTCCTGAGAACAGGTCGCGCCAGCACCAGCGCCGACAATAGTGATTGGGGAGCAGCCAAGACCGACACGACCGAGGATGTCGATGTCAATGGGAACCCTTCCATGTGCCGTCGCGTTCTTATTGTACTCATCGACCTATTGTTGGATTTTAAGCATGATTTGTGAAGGATACTTCTAGCGCTATCAAACTCACTGTCTGAGTCTGTTGACAGCACTGGATGTTGCCAGTGTCGCACTGGCTGTCTCCGCGGTGAACAAGGGGATTGGCGATTGCGAGAATGAAGAGAGATGTGATGGACAAGAGGCGAACAAACATTGTGTAAGACAGAAAAAACGAGCTTTGGCTAAGTGATCTGGGGCGACTTGAACTGAGGGAGAGTGGGTAGAATTGCTAGGTTTTATACCTGCAGATAGACCCTTTGGCTTCGGGATCTCATTGCAGTCACCGAAGTACCGTCGGAAAAATACTTTTAGTCGATACCGACGGTGTATGTGCGTAGGCTGCAAGAAACCCGAGGGGACTCGACATTTGGTTTTTCCCTGCCTACGTCTGGGCTGCATGGAAGGTACAGAATAGACAAGTATTGGTACCATCTAGTACCGCGGCCGTACCTCGATGACTGCAAATATGATGCAAGACTTGAATCAGGATCTCGACGTTCGGTGATGTCCATACCTGTCTTGAGAGCCTCAAGGTACACATGTAGTCATCACCTGCAGGCTGCAGTAGGTGCCACATATATAAGTCCTTGGAGTAGCCATGCATGCATGGCTTGCAATTATTACTTGCATATTGAAACATCAGTGACCCTCGGTAGGTCCCCTCGGCGGGAACACTGAATCCCCAATCGGAGGAATATTTTTAGTCTTGGTATTTGTGTTGACCGACATTCCGAGTCGGGCGTGTTTGTACTGCATAAAAGACGCCCGAAGATAACGAACCTCCGAGGTGAAGTAAGTACCGTCCAGAAAGGATATAGCAAGCTAGAAGCACACCTACGTGCCCGACACAGTTCGGTCCGCCTTCATCTTCTAATATATTGCAAGTACTTGACACGTTGACCGACGAGGCCGGGTTTCCCTGAAATCGACGAAGTGAAATATATTATTTAGACTCTGCTGTTGTTTTTAAGAAACTTACTTACTAGTTAAGCTACGGCTCTGCGGTCGTGAGGGTGACAGCGTGTCAGCCTGAGTAATGATTCTACTATCTGCAGAACCAAAGCAACTTGTGTTAGTAAAACTTGTTGATGAAATCATTTATGAAAGTGAAAGAGCACCGTCTAAGCCCCAAACTTCTAGTTTTCCGTAGGCTGTAGCGGAGCAACAGCAGAATTTAATTACTGTAAATAATATTAATGACAATAATTTATTACGTACCGTATGTACTTCACATTCCCAGGCCGCGCACTGTTTGTGAACTTGAGGTTCAACTCTTGAGCAGACTTCAAAATTGATCTTGAGCTTTAGCTTGACCATTGAAGAATTCTCCTTGTTCGGTACCGAGCGATCATGTGTTCTCGATCGCTACTTCCAACCATACACTGGGTGCTGCTACGTGTGGACATAACACTGCCAAAACTTCCAAAGCCTTCTCTCCAACTTTTTTTTCGAACAGTTAAGGCTACCTTAATACCACTTCAAGGGAACCTAATACCTAAGGTACGAAGGAATCTGATGCAGCCACCGAGACAATGCATGGACTCTGATCAAATGAGCTTGATTCTGACATGGTATCCCCCGATCGGTGACAGTAATTTTTGGGGCGATGTAAACGTCGAAATTGAACTTACTATACGAGTTTGCAGGCCCCATGAATAAAATACATGTCCTCGACATCCATTTACGCCAATGTGGCCCCTCGTGTGTCGGACACCTGACCTGGTGAGGGGGCTGGTTTCGGACAAGCCATGTGAGTATGCATTCTAGAGAAGGGTTATTGACTGGCCATAGCAGATTTTGCTCGTTCCAGTTGTACGCAATCGAAAATGTGTGACGGGACATTGAAAGTATCAGCTAGTGTGTTACCTCTAGGAAGCAGACCAGTGGCAGTAAGTATGGAACCTACTAGGGAACGTCCATTTTCATTTTGATCTGTCCAGAGGAGACTAAAGCTATGGCTATCATTGTACATGTACAGAATCACTGCACAACTTACCGCGCGCGAATGCGAGTCGCCGCTCTTGTCTCCTCGAGCTGCATCAGCTCATGAAGACTCGTATTAATGGCCTGGTGGGCCAGGTCCGGGTCGGTGTTGGTTCTGGACTATTATCAATTTGTATCATGGTATGCACCTGCACTCGCTTCACTGATAGCGAGCCAAATTTCGAGCGTTTTTTATGCAATGCAAGTACGCTCGACTCAGAATGTCAGTCAACACAAATACCAAGACTAAAGATATCCCTCCGATTGAGGATTCAGTGCCCCCGCTGAGGAGGCTTACCGAGGGTCATTAATGTTTTAATGTGTAAGTAATGATTTATGAGCCACTGTATGCATGACTAACATGGATATGCAGCACATACTACAGGCGATGACTACACATGTGCCTCGAGGTTCTCAAGACAGGTGTAGATAGCACCGAACGTCAAGATCCTGATTCAAATCCTGTCTATATCGTTATTAGACATATTCGTAGCCATCCAGGCGTGGCAGCGGTACTAGACGGTACCAATACTTGTGTATTCGATGTCTTCTATGCAATCGATGGTATTTCAGGCCACCCAAACTAATGGTAATGAGAATATGATTAGAGGGATCAACAAGCGACTTACATGCGAGGCCAATGACCGAGTAGAGGGTAAGGAGCATGAGACCTTCCAGATAATTGGTTTTTCCGTCCCTGAAACAAGTGAGCTGAGTCTCGACGAGAGGGAAACTGCCATGTAATAAAAGGAGAACTGACATGAGCAATAGATTGACCAGGCAGACAGATACAAAGAAGACAATTGTCTGAATATTGGTTAGAAACTTGGGTGATGATGTGGAATACATTCTGAATAAACCGACCTCGAAGTTGTGGAAGTGCAACGTCAGGGGTTGGTCGACGCTAACAAAAAGGACAGTGAGAACAATACTTCGCGAGACGCAATGCATGATCATACATCCAACCGATGATCACAAGAAGCGGCACTACGAGGCAAGCAATTTGCTGTCCCATAATCAGTACAATCATAATCTTATGATGAACGGTCTACACTTACGATCGAACTACCAATGCAGATAGAGATGGTCAACTCATATTTATTCTTCGTTGCCATCCAGACTGCAGTGACATGATCTGCGGCATTTCCCTACAAACGATATTGGTAGGCAGTTAGTCAGACACAGCTTGAAACATACCACGATCGGCAACAAGATAACACCAATGAATGCTTTCGAGATGGGATACTGGGCTGTAGTTTCCTCAATGGAGGTGACCACTGGCACAATTGAACATGAGACGAAGGGAAGAAAGTGAGACACTTACGATGCTCAGCACAAAATGATATGACAACAGTGACCAATAAAAGTCTAACCAACGAAAATAAGTACCCAATGCAACGAATGACAAGACAAGACTTACGCAACGCCAGCAGCGGCCGTTCCCATGCGAGGCTCCGTTTCGTCCGTTTCCGACAATGCCACTGTTACATCATCGTTTTTTGAAGAAGGCGCGATGAAGAGATCGGGATGAGACTTTAACTAAACCCTTGGGTGAGTACATTAAAGAAATAAGATATTAGAACATGCCTGAAACCAAATGTAGGCACAGTACGCCCCTAGGAGCAATATGGCGGTTCCTCTGGAGATAAAGAGAAGACCCGCAGTGGGACACTCATCCGGATTACTGCAATAATTCTCCATTCCAGGGTCCGTAGTACTTGCATAGGCCGCAGGAACAACAAGCGCTGTGAACTATTAGCGAAATTCTCGAGTTGAGGATATTCGTACTGATGCACGACAGTGTCATAAGCTACACTTGGTTAGTCGTCGTGGTGACGAACAAGTCAGATAACTTACGGAGGCAGATCTAAAAAGCATTGCAATTCAACCAAGGATTCGAAGAACAGAAAAACAGAGGACGCACGCCTGAGCTCCGGTATCATTGAAAAGTCCTTCTTTACGGTATAACCCGCCTGTGTTGAGTGAGCCCATACTCTTCTCCAAAAGCGGCGATCCCTTACCGGCCAGAAACGAACAACCAAGGACAAGCAATATGTTTGACAAGATCGATCCAATCATCTGACCCGACGTCATTCCATTGCAAATAGTAACCGCACGAGGACACTCACGGACGTCTGAACAATTCGTAATTGACCTAGGATCATCGTCAGCACTTGCAGACAACTTCAGGGCGGTGGACAAACCATTGAGTAAAGCAGCAACGCCGATGATGATTTCTACGGCATTCCCAAACGATGCATTCAGGAGACCTGACATGGTCTCTCCTAATTTGACCGACAACTGATCTGTTGCCTCGCCCAACAGCTAAAAACGATGACGTCAGTCTTCCAAGAGCGTGATGATAGAAGTAGTTGTCACCTTGGACAAGGGCACGATGGCCATAAAGCTAAAGCAAAATACGAGGCCGACGTCCCAGTTCATGTTATGTGAGATGAAGCTTAGAGGTACAAATACGAGTAGGATATTGAGCCATGTCCCAAAAATGAAGAACTTGAACGATTCTTCCCATGATGGCTCGCCCTCGCCTTTCATGCAATCGACAATGCGACGAGTAAAGGGAAGGCTTTTATGACCAGCATGGCCACCGTTTCCGAGTAGTCGTGTAGATTCTGAAGAGGACATGGGTGATGGGAAGGATGTGTTTAACGGTGTGAATTCGAACGTTCTGCAAGAAACCACCTATATGGAGGCTTGTTGAGAATGACTGGGAGATCGGTCCTATGACACATTACCAATAATTACATGAAATATGCCGTGGATCGCAAAAGCATCAGGAATCACCTTTACATCGCTCTGGGATGCATGTAGAAGGAACGGGCCAAAAAAATTGGCAAGCCCACGTTATCTGGGGTCGTCGCACAGTCGACGTGTCCTGGCACACGCACTTAGTCATTCTTCCCGCCATACCACCGTGTCACACGACAGGAAGTATGTATGATCAGAGTTCTAGGTTTTACCGTTATCATACCGCCGAAAAAAGCTTGATCTCATACGCGTACCGTGGTAAAGCGGGGCACAGGCTGCTTGCATAAGTTCGTTATCTAAAGCGAAAAGAGGTTGCGTCATATTGCCCTTTATATTGTTCATTGATTCGGCCAGGTTCAGCCATGATTTTGATTTGAGAACATCGAGGGAATAGGCGAAAGAACCAAGCGAAGCCTACCGGATTTGAAATTGTCCACCCTCCTTTGCTGGCAGTCCCTGGGACCACGGACAATATGTATCAACGGGATGACTCTGACGAAACGTCCTGGAGATCAACAATGGTGAATGGGATAACAATAATCATCGATGATCCATCGTCTCGAGTGTGACCAGCGATAATCAAAAAAAGAATGACGTGCTTCTCCTGACCGGGCTTCAAAAAAGTATACACAAGTATAGTACCAACTGTGACCACGACGTCCACCTATTGATGCCATAAGCAGAGGCTAGTGTGATGTGTCGCATCACTGTTCTTTGTGAAAGCTTCGGGTGATATATTCCTTTACTTGGCCGGCATTGTCTGGGGACAACATTTATAATCAGCTGGTCCACAGCATCCCGCCGACCTTCGGACAAAGCGCACACTGCCTTTTACGCTGAAGAAGGTGTAAGTGGCGGACTTCTTGGATTTTAATAACCTCGGTTTATGGTGCTTAGCCAAGACCACGTAAAGAGGTCTTTGTTCTATAGCTCAAATGAAAAGTTGATTGTTCTTGGAGGTCTTCGTAGGACGGGGGCGACGAGATGTGCGAATCTGAAAAGGTGTCAGTAGAACTGAGGTAATGTTCAATAATAATGTGGCGAGGTTCGCTAGAGAACCAGCAGGGGAAGGAGAAGAATGGAAGATAGAAAGAAATGCTACGCACTCTGCATGCTGAAATACGAGGCCGCATTTATGGAGTAGATAGTCGAGGCAGAAGTATTTGATGTAGGACACGAGGAAGTGATTGTCGAGACATGGATGTAACGGCGCATGTAGTAGGTGGCTGTTGTGGGACAAACGACGGTATGCAACACCTGGGTATACCTGGCTTGTCATTCGGTATTCATGCAAGACCGTAAGCGCTCACATATGGTTCGTCACAAGAGATATCGATAAACCCTTCACGGTACCCGAAATCATGGATAACAACATACCAACATCAAATTCTTATCGGCGTGTCATACCGGAGCCGCCGGCTATGAAGAAATCCCCGACGAAGTCATCCACCTTGCACCTGGACTGGAATTTTGGGGGTTCAAGAGCGTGATTAGCACTCCGTAGGTGGCCGATGACGCTGTCGTTGGCAAAACCGTCGTTGTGAAAGCTTTCTGCTATGAGAAAACGATCCAGGACTTGAGTCACGCTTGAAGGAGGGTGACATGGACCTCCGTGAAGAAGAAAGTTCCGATAGCGCAGAATTATTTTCATTGGCGTGGAGTTTCTTAAGCTTGCTGTGCCCTTTGGTAGTTATGTAGTGCAGTACTATTGTGTGTACCACTGGTTGTGGCAATTGTCTCAGATGCCATAAGCAAGGCAGATGGACTGAGCATCTCTTGCAGTATATAGGTCACATTGCAAGTTGTTTGGTATCCTGTACTTTTCTCCAGTCATAAAACCACATCTACATTGCAGAGAACGTTTTCCGTAACCCTCTCTTACGAGTAATATCAATCTGCGCGCCTAGTGGAAATGGATGACAGGCAAGCTCATTTTCCGTTTGTTCCAGCCGTATTGTTCTGAAGACTTCCTCACTCGCAGTACCCCCAAGTGTTATATTTCTCATGAACATTGCGACATGGAAAAGCAGCATTTTTCAGACTTGGAAAAGGTCGAGGGACCGATATTAGAATCGGAAGAGGAAGAAACATTGGGTCCCGACGAAGTCGCTCTTGAGTTACTTATCGTCTCCCTTAACTGGACACTGTTCTCAGTGAGTTCACACCGTCAGCAGTGTTGTTTTATCCTCTGATGATGCATGGTTTTATTTATCAACTCCAGGCTTTGATAACGGGGTTAGTTTGGTTCAACGCGCCACGACTAGATTCTCCTGACAACATCGAGGTCCCTACGCACGAATCTCAACCGCCTTCGCTGCGTTATACGCTCTCACGCGGAGCCTTCTCTGTCGGCAGCTCACTGAGTTTCTGCGTCGTACTCCTCATCGTTTTGGGCAAGATCCTCATGCGCCAGCGCACGCTCACTCTGAAATTCCCGCCTTTTGGCCCTCGTCGCCTCCCCAAGCATAGGGTTCAACATCTACGTGCGATACCAGCATCCATGCCTCCATGGTTCATGAAGCTTTTGAAGTCACTGCAGCTTACCTTTCCATTCATTCAGTTTATGATCACTATAGCAATACTCTCGCTCGTCTGGTTCTTTTAGTGTCCCACCCTTCCCAGGGTTCTTGCCAATTGTTCTTTACTGTCTTATATGAGAAAGATCCTTTATATCGCCCAGTTCTCGGAATGAAGTTTATGTTTACCAACGTTATCCTTCATTTGGAGGCTGGCAGTCCTCACTGCGCTGCCGCATGAACAGACCATCCCAGACTTTGCCTGTCCGTTTTTTTTTACCATGCATACAAATAAATTCATCCCATGTTTATTCTACCAAGTCATGCACGCTGTCAGCGTTTCAAGTGTGTCAATGCCCCCGTCGCATGGAGGGCAGATAAAGAGTGATCACTTCAGTTTATCTAAGACAATACTACTTTCGTTCAATGAGACCATCAAGTATCTCGTTACCATAAGAGAAACAAGAAGACATTTCCCTGGATGACGCACTTCCTGATAATTATGTGTGGATCGGGCGCTTGGAGCACGTCAAAATGAAGAAACGTCACATCATGATATCAGCAAGAGAGAACTCCACAGCGTGCCGGTCATACTGGGCGCATACCACACATATATGATACAGGGTTTTTTGTCCAGGCAGAGCCTTGCACGTATGAGTTGACGCACTCAAAGACAACGTTCTCAGAGATAGGATGCACTGCTCCTGCGATCAACGTGGCGCGAGTTTTGGAGGGAAGTAATGGGAAGGTGCATCAAGAAACACCGCACGTGCACTTCATCAAATGAACCCACATGGCCACAAGCTTCGCATGGAATGTCGCAAGGTTGCAAGGATGATGCAAGGATGACGTATCATCCTTACAACTTTGCGACATTCCGAAGTCATGTTTGCCTTCAGTTATGGCATCAGACGGTTTACAACCAATGCGTTGGGAAGCATGGTGTAGGATGGGAGCAGTCGAACAATGAGTGTTGTTTTCATAGCACACGGGGGATGCAGAGAGCCATGGTGATCACATAATACAACGGGTCATGAAACAATGAGGTAAGCAAACATGCAAGCCAAACACGGGGACCTCCACAAGAAAATGGACATCCTGAGATAATGATCCAATGAGATTAAAATATACAAGTATGACAAAACAGTCAGAGCGAATGAGAAGAGAAAATTATGCGAGATATCGCATGTGAAAGGCAAGGTATGATTGAATCGCATGTAAGTAGAGGACTAGTACATAGTGATGTAACGGGGGCATTGTCGCCTCGGGGACGGCCGCTGCTGTTTTGTTTCGTCATATGTTCATTACATTGGGTACTTGTTAATATATTCTTCGTTTGTTAGACTTTTATTGGTCACCGTGGTCGTCACATTTTGTGCTGAGCATCGTAAGTGTCCCACTTTCTTCCCTTCATATCATGTTCAATTGTGCCAGCAGTTACCTCCATCGAGGAACTACAGCCCGGTATCCCATCTCGAAAGCCTTCGTTGGTGTTATCTTGTTGCCGATCGTGGTATGTTTCAAGCTGTATTCGGCTAGCTGCTTACCAACATCGCTTGTAGGGAAATGCATCATGGCCCTCAACTCCAAGGAGGCCTTACTCAAGGCGCTACAACTGTCGCCTGATCTTGACGATGAGGTTGAATGCCTCATCATAGTTTGAATGTTTGTCTAATGCGATTCAAAGGTAATCAGCCAAAACATCTCCGCCATAATAACAGTCGCAGTCGACGATGAAACATACCAGCCATCTCTCAAGACCGTATATGACAGTATTCTTCAATATCACGGGGGTCTAGTCTTTCTTGTAAGTGACATGTTCTATTATATTTTTGGAGCTCGATGGACTCCCTGCAGGAACCCCTTGACGTCCTACCTCCTCTCCTTCGGTGCCGCCGCGAAGAGGCCGTTGACCTCATTAGCCTAATTTCCGAAAACAGTAGTCCAAAGGAGGTACTAATTGTCGTTCAAGAAGCTCTGGAACAAATAACCCAGCTAGCCCGCGAAGACGAAGCCGAAGAGGAGTCCGAAGAGGAGTATGCTCCTGGGTCTGTACGGACTCTCATCAACGTTATCGTGTTGTCTACAAAATGTGAGTATATTGTAGGTGTTGGCCGATTACTGACGTCTCAAGGCTTCATAGCTCTACCTAGGTTAACTCTTGGAAAGAGAACTGCGCTGAGCGCAGTCTCACCCTTGGTTTCCGGCGTTATTTCAGCGGTTTCTTCGCTAGGACGTGACTTCACGCTGGATAGCGGTCGTTCATTACTTGAAGGGGTCTCTCGCATGTCACAGGTGTTCTACACATGGATAATCAAAACAGGCAGCGAAGCAAATGCTGCGGAGGCAAGGGTTTGTCTACAACATTTGTTGCAGATAGCTTAGCTGACTCATCAACTTGCAGAAACTCATCACGCTACTTCTCGACACGACTGTTTTAGCGTGCGCGTCGTGTATCAGGGCATCATTATGTGCCAGAGCTTTCGAGATGCACTATCCTCGTCTTACACTGACTTCTGCAATCGAACCCGAGTGGCAAGAAGGTGAGCACGCCATTCTGAGCATACTGGTATGTCAGAGAAACCGCCAAATATTATATTCTGAATTGTTTTTTTTCTTAGACCACCCTTCGGGTGATGAACCTGTCACCACAGGATGTCCCGGCAATGAGTTCCCTGATCATGCTCGCTCACGAAAAGGAAAGCTATCCTTCACTGAAAGATCTACCCTCCACGTTGCACTCGATGCTCGTGACTTCAATTCAGATGAATTTCGCCTTGGACGAATCTCTCTTCCTTATCTTTCGTTGCGTCACGCAAGATCGCACACAGCCTGATCTCCCACCTGACCTCGCTACGTCGCTATGCGTAGTTCTACCTGCTTTGGCAAGCACCCATCTTGATCCGTTTATCAGGCACTTCAGTCTCCGGCTAATTGCACTGATTCTTGCACGACTACCATCTGTGTTTCAGCAACAGATCTTGATAACCCTAGCATCTGGCGCGGAGCTTCCCCAGATGCGGGCAGCTGCCGTTGGTCTTCTCAAGGAATTCGTTTTAGACGCACTACAGATCCCCGCATTGTCGGGCGAACAAAATGTCTTTGCGTCGCCACTGCTCATAAGATCCTTCGGACCGATCCTGTTCAGGACAATGCCGTCTGATTACTTGTCAACAGGTCCAGGTGGCTGACGACATTGAGAAGTCCTTGGAGCCCTCTCGGATCGCAGAGGTACTATCATTTTACTATGTACTACTACAACGGGACAAGGCCAATAAGGTACGTTTTTTATCCATCGATGCAAATTAAATTGACGATGTCCCAGACTGGTATACGAGATCCGGATAACATCGCGAGCGTAGAATCGTCTCTACTGCGGCCTTTGCGCTCTTTTCTAGAAAAATGGTCGAACACTACAGGTATGAGAATGTCGTATTTTTGTCTCATGCAGCCTGATAGGTTCTTCTACAGCTAATCCAATTCTTTCTGTAATCTCCCTGCAGATTGGCCTGGAAAGAATAGACTACGCTGTCCAGACCATTCGAAGCCGGTAATTAAGCAACATGGTTCACTTAGGTCGCCGAGTGCTCGAAGTGGAATGATTCTCGAGTTACACAAGTACAAGGACTCGGCTGCCGGCCCTCATTCTGTGTTCATGAAGTTACGAAGGCGTAGGTACTCAGTAGCAAGTCAGGAAATACAATATTCGCAGTCTTGTTCTTCGTTCGCCTCTGAAAATAAGCACAACGTGTCTCTTCGCATTCTTACTCTCGATATCACTGTATACAATTGACCGTGAGCAAAAGGGATCTGTTCACAAGTCGAGCACGGTTCGTGCTAGCGTCAGTCCTTGACAACCATTAATGTGGTTGCATATGCGAGTCGCAGAGGAAACTGTCTTCGATTACTGTCCACGATGAACGACTTGGATGGAAAGCAAAGTTGATGCGGGGAATGCAGTGGCTTTCGAATGTATTGAGTAGGTTGGACTTTGACGAATCTGCGATGCAGTGCAATCACGCGTACGCGCCCGTTCGCACTAATCCCTTCTCCACCGAGATTTTTCGTTGAATGGTGCAAATGCAGTTTTGTTTGAGATCTAGGCGACGAGGATGCAGAAAATTCACGCACATGAGATAAAGAGAGTGCGCAGATTTGCCTTCGTTGTCAATGATAGGACCAATAGTGGTCCGTGCATCCGATAGATAGATTCCGTCTTCCGCAGACGCGGTATTCGCACCAAATGTGAACATGTTGATTCGAACATCTCCCAGTTCTGGAGTCGCGATGAAAGCGTCATAACGCCAGTGATTCTTTTTTGTCATTCTGATATCTGCTTCCGTTCTGAAGACCAACAACACCGTGAAATGAAATAGAGGCCGTCATAGTGGTGAAAGGAGACACGCACAACACAGCATGACGCAGAAAACGGATAGAGCCGCGAAAAGATTGCGATCTGCGTATGGGCCAACGAACGCAACACATGTGTTGATGCACATATGGCCCATCAACAACAAAACCAGCTCCGCTAAGATCTGTCTGATTTGATAGAGGCTGGGTATATCAGATCCCGGAAAGCATCGATGATGGTTCTGGAGAATCAAATTCTGGACGATCGAAGTCCAGGAGAACATTATGAGATGGTGCTAGCGAGCCTTGTCGACTAGTAGTATTCGTGTCCTAGTTCAATATACTATTAGATTTCAACATAAGTACGGGTCAACGATACACGTACCTGCTCCGTGATATCTGTTGATCGATTGCGTTTGCAGTGTACACTGTCATCATCATCAGATTGGCTCCGACGTTTCAAGTTGCTCGGACCAGCCACAGGCGCAACAGATGTGCAGAATGCATCAGAACATTTGCCAAACGGAATCCGGATACTCTCCTTCTCATCATCATCCGGATCTTGAAGATGATGACAATACCGCGCTCGAATCAAAGTGCTTCAAGTTTTGCCGTTACAATACTTGCGACACACACACCAGAAGTCTGACATCGAAGTCTAAAAGTATGTATTATGGTGGGTGCAGCAACAGTGCGACGAGGGCTACATGATGCGCTAGCGACAAGTATTCCGAGAGTGTTGCTATGCGTGCGAGTAGCAGCCGTAGTATAGACCGGGCGCTGCTTGTAATTCTCGTTTGCTAAACATGAAGTCAATGCGTAAAACGAGCAAGCAGTCTTCAGAAAAATCCTCACCTTTGAACAAAAAACAAGAATGACGACAAACGCGTCGATTACCTTACATAATGACATATGCTAACAGGCCAAGGCCAGAAACTGTCAAAGTACGATCCGGCAGAGCCGACAAGGTTTCAGGGGTCTTTTCATTATGTTCTACCTGGGCTCCATGGCAGCCGATTAATGGTGGCGGATCGTTACGCGTTACCATGCAGCCGCGGGGCGCCGCACATGTGCATAACTTTTGAAATTTGATTCCTGTTCAAACGTTCATATCCCACTAGGTTGGTGGAACAGCCAAGTACCTTGATGCCAGATTGCTTATGCGACTCGACTTGATTCGATAGCGGCTCCAGTAGAAGCTTCCCGCGACAGCTTCTATCGCACAAGCTGATCGATTGACACGCGCGCATACGCATAGTAATACGATGCGGGACCCGTGCGTGTTATTCTTGCCACGTCGGCAGGCATGGCATGGTGTCCTGATGAGTCCCCGCAGCAGTTTCTCAAGCATGCGCGATAATTCTTCCATGAATCAATACATTTACTGCACGCTCCGCTCTTCTTCCCACTCAAACTCCAAAGCACCTATTTACGACGGCGGAAGTTGTCAATTCGATGTGTTTCTCCATGGCTATCATTATACCACAGGATCGGCCCTTCACGGATGATATCAGGCATCGATTTGCAATTGCTTCGTGAGCATACGATAAGATGCGGGAGGAGTAGACTAATAAAGTAAATAGATACAAGCGGTCCCTAGATTCCTGTTGCTGTTCTGATTCAAGGTAAGCGGTATTAGGTATAGACATAGTAAGGCGGTACACGTTTCATAGCACGTCGTATATATACTCTCTATCACGACCGAGCGGTGCTTAATATTGGGTATTCTGGTATCTGAGCTCTAGCTTTCGGAGGGGGAAGTAAAGGAGACCTGCAAGAGGGAATGCAACCTCGAAACCGATGTCGCCTGAAGTCATGCCGATGGGGCCCTCATACCACAGCTGACTCATGCAGGGTATGATCAGGGCGAAAGACAGTATGACAGCCGTGATGGCAGCCGCTCCCCAGGGTAGACGCCCTGGAACATTCCATATGGAGTGGTCATAGGTGCTGAAGTCACCCTTGCGGAAGTAGTGGTGTTCGACGAGGAGGATGGCGCCGTACGCACTCGCCCAATACCCGAGTAGTGAAAGGAAATTGGTCAACGCCGCATAGAATTTGTGGGCGCCCACGATCGATAAAGGCAATGCACTGTGTGTGTCCAGGGGAAAAATTTGAGATCAGCCAGTGACAAGATACATATTATAAATGAAAAGACCGACATTACGGTGCCAATGATCGAAAAGACGTATCTCGGGACTCTTGACATAGCCGGGACCATCACTTGGAAATTGAAACACATAGAGTAAAGCGTGCACGAAATGTTACCGGTGACGCTCAGGCTGAGAAGAACCGTGAGGAACTTCCCAAAGTTACCGACCGGGCTGAGCATCGCCTCTAACAGGCCACCGATGTCTCCGGCAGTTCCGTAGCCTGCGTTCCAGCTAGGAACGGTGTATGAAGCAAGGACTGCTGCAGCTCCAAGGCACTCGAGAGAGACCTGGAGATAGATTAGAAGACGCTTGGGGGTACCGATAAAGAGATTGACGTACGATAGGCACGATATACCCCAGATATGCATACCAAAAGATCTTGGACCTGGAAAATTACACCTAAGCGAAGTGCAACGCCACAGGGCATGAAATGAAACCTACCGGGAAACGGTGGGCGTATAATACATTGTAAAATCGGATGCCATTGCCGAGTAACTGATAACGAAACCAGCAATAACAGCTGCGAAGCCGAAAATGCCAGGAGCGGTTGCAGGTGCCGCTGGTTGAGCGTTGTACAGGTTTTTACCACCCACGCCGAGTGCGACCAAGAATGCGATAAGAACCGGGAACCACGCGACACGTTCGTACCTGAAAGCTGTAAGACTTAAATTTTGATGGACAGATGCATGCCGTTTACCAGTTGAGTACTCGGTAGCCCATAAAGGAGATCTGGAGGTGCGAACATTGTGAAGACAAGGGATTTCGAGAGTCACGTAAGAGAACGTACGAGGAGCGCAATGATAAAGATAATGACGATGCCGACACTGATACGGGTTAGGTAAGATGATTGATGCTGCGAGATGCCATACGCACTCCCAGCTCATGTTACTAGACACACTAGCTAGTGCCTGTCCGCCAAGTATACCGTTAAGGATATTGAAGCCACACAGGCCGATCAGATTGAGGGCAGCGGGTATAATGATACCAAAATAGCTTGATGGAAAGAAAGTCAGATAATAACAAATAAGGAAAACAAGCACACTTACCCAAAGCTATATCTGGATTGAATCATCTGACGCATGCCAGTTCGAGGTCCCCATGTATTTCTGTGGAAGAGAAGTCAAGCAATGACCCGGTATCCATGTTCAGGAAAGTATACGAACAAATATGCGGGCAACGCGCATGCCAGGAGATTAAAGAATAAGATAACAAGACAGGAATCGCGAAGTCCAAGCTCGAAAGCGATTGGTCCGAGTGTTCCGGTAGAGAAGCTAGTTTATCTGTAAGAAACGAGCTGACAGCGGAAATGCACTGAGAACTCACGAAAGGATGTTGAAGTTCATTGAGAACCAAACGAAGAAAATTTTATAGTATTGGGTATCCATCCGCTCCTCTCGGGAACTGGAACGATGCCTATGAACGAAGATCAGATGGGTATCTGGTTGGTCGTGAGGAAGACTCACCTCGTTCCTCCACGCCCCAGCTGAGAAGAGATCTTGCTAACGGGTGAGAGAGCCATCCGTGCTTGTCTCCGGGGATGATCACAGAGACACCATCCCTAGACGTAGAGTCCTTCTCAAGGTCGATGACTGAGTTCTTCTCGTGTAGATGATTGTCGGACATCGTGGAGATGAACGGGGGATGGCAATCGCAGAACTTCGCAAGGAGCGCCCTAAATATATAGATGATGAGGCACCATTCAAGTTGGATATCCACGCCTTGGACATTTCAATACAACCGGGAGAAAAGATCTCGATGATCATGTGGTACAACAATCAGGTACGTACGAATCTACAAACCCGCATTTGGAACGAATTTCATATGTAAATAAGCTAACCTAACTTACGGAACCTGAGTTTTCTCCGGCCTGCCCCGTCCGTCCATTCTTGTACATCCAGTCCGCTCTGTCCCCATCATCCAACCATGTAGAATCATCACCCTGTTTCAAATCGACGCTACTAGCACTGATCGTTTCACAGATATCAATCGACGGAATTCCGATCGCTTCCAGATAGCAGAAGTCACAACGCACGACACGGACCGTCCGGGACATGAAATTTCTGGTATATATACTAATTCGGAAGTTTATTTCCACGATCATCTTCCGCGAAATTTAGTCAACCCTGTGAGACGTTGTGCTCAACGCTCTCAACAGCGACGACAACCCCGAGCTCACTGTTACTGACGATGGCTGTAGCTGTACAGCGCCCGCTACGCGGCTCACGCGTGTCTTCCTTCTATCCTGTCAAATCTCTCCCATCCTTGTCTTCTCTCGATAGCGCGTTCCAGCTTCAGGAATACATTTCGCTTCTTATTCGTCTTGACGTCCATGATGTTGATTCCATAGTGTCTCTTCCGGGGAAAGCTGCTTTCAAGGATGCCGAAGAAAAGTCTTCTGATCTTTCTGATCAAGTCGAACGTAAGCCTGATGATCCTGAACGCAAAAACGACGTTGCAGTCGATCGAGGTTGCTGGATTTATGAACAATTACGGTACCTCTCCTACTCATTCGTTCCGTTTTTTTTGCGTTAACTTGTTTGCCCATCAGACGTCTCGCACAAGACCTATCCCATCCCCTCATCACGATGTTGCAGCAGGAATGTACACGTATCACCTGTCCCGAGATGAAGGCGGGAGAGTGGTTATATTTGTGTGTCGCACACGGTAATGACGGTGCTATGGAGGTTCGTTTGGTGATCATTTAAAAAAAATATGGTTTCTCTAACTGCTTATGTATATCCTCAGCAATGCTGTGCGATTGATTACATCCTTCATACGTTGGACAGCGCAACCGCACTATTAAATTCACCTCGAGCTTTTCCATCTCGGTGAGTCATGATCACGTCTCATAGCAGCATCTTTGCTGATGTCCTCCGTTACGCCGCCTTCTTCAAACTCAAATCAACCATGCGTTTTTTTCGCGATATTAGTCTTTCCATACCTCCTACGTCATATCGACACTTCTCTTCGCTTGCTCGTCGCCTTGGCAGAATATTTGCGCATGCATATTTCCATCACCGAGAAGCCTTTGAGCAAGCGGAGGCCGAATCATCGCTTTACGCTCGCTTCTTGAAACTTACTAGTCAATTCGATCTTGTCCCTACCGAGTTTCTTGTCATCCCCCTGGTACTGTCCTGTCAGGCAGAAGAGGACGCGATGAGGACGTCGAACCTCCACGTCTTCTTGCAGCGGCCGTCAATCCATCGCGTGAGCGGGAGGATCAAAATGCACCTACAGCAGAACAGGACACAACCTCCGAACGTTCGCGAGAAGAGTCCTCCGGGACTGTCCAGTGATAGCCCGCGTGGCACCGATAGTCCACGCCGGCTGGGGCGCAATCGCACAGATACTATGGTGTTCAGTGAGGCGTACAATGCTGGAGAGGAGCTTGCAAAAGGCGGCGATCCAGGGTGTCACTGAAAGCAGCGGTTTATTGCATACTGAGCTATCTGCTGAGCCTGAGGACTATTCGCAACCCTCATGGTCCAGTCAGCCGAGTGAGTTCTCCCCCGACAAATTTGGGTTTGGCGTCGAAGAGGTCCCCGTCGAAGAAGTGCTCGTCGACGAAGTGGCAACCGTCACCGGATCCAACTCTCCACCTTTGGAAGATCTGTCCTTAACGTTGCTCAAAGACTCTAGCTCAGCTCCCCCTGCTGTGCAACATGTGCCGGAACACGAGATAGAGACGACTCCGAATGTTGAACCAACAATTGAGATCATTCAGGAAGAGCCGGTTGTCGAGCCTGTAGCTCCTCCAGAAGAGTCTGAAGAGACCGCTGCCCCGGCTGAGCCTTCAAGCCCAGTAGCTTCCGCAGCTCCGCAAGATGTCGAGGCCAGTGTTATAGTGCCTGATATTGTGGAGGAGACTGTACCTGCCGAAAAATCTGATTCACCGGAGCCAGTTGCAGAATCTGAAAAATTACTCGAGACACCCGTCGAGCCTTCTCCTGAGGCAGACGTAGTGGTCACCCTCGTGGAACCTCCGGCACCATCATCTCCGGAGTCTGTGCCTGTTGACGACTCTCCCACAGAGCCCGAGGTTAGCCTTAATTTAATGGAGCCCCCACCGTCAGAACCAATACCTCCGGAGAGCGAGAGTGATATTACAGATGAGGCACATGATGTAGATGAGGAGGCGGAGGTGGAGGTGGAGTTAGTGGAGAATCCATGATGTTCCGATCGTCTGTGCTTTGCTGTGTTTTTGTAGCATTGTTCTGGTTTTCCTCATCTCTTAATGCTTTGATGTCAGATTGCGTGTCGGCAAGCAAGGCAAGCTACGAACTGATTGATTGACTAAATATAGCTGTCTGACTATAGTGACGCTTTCGATGCGTTATGATCGCAAGCGCCCCGCTGGATCCACATACCTCTCGAATGGCATCGTCATATGACGAGTTCCGGTATAGTCAGTTGCGCATGTCGTCGTGATTGGCAGATTACGTTCGCGGATGCATCTCGAGGGACGGGCTATCTTTAAACTTTTCTAGGACACATTTAAACCATTGATATCATTGTGCCGTCATGCAGAGATAACAACTCATCGCGGGTTTGAGCTCGGGCGCCTTGGTTTTACTTCCTGCAGCAGTTCTAATTAGATTAATGTAGGGATCTCAATAATCCGTAGTAATGGATATGTGATGACGTGGTGACGGTTCATTGTGATAGCGGACGATCAATGAATTAATCATATGCATCCAGTGCTGGTTACGCACGGAGCTGCCACGTGAAAGGACCGCCTGAGATGAATTAAAACCAGGCAGTTGCAGTATATTCTAGAGCACAGCGTCATCTACTGGATACAAGATGACCCGTTGAGTATACAACAACCGAGCGAACTTGCCTCAAAATTGAAGGATCGCTAAAAGGACACGGTAAACGGCTACACTGACCAGGTATTCAAGTCACTATTGGTATATATCCGTGGCGAGTGGTAACAACACTTTGATCATGCACCGAAACCGTACAACGTGCGCCCAGACCGCTTCAGCGCATAGACGACATCAAGAGCAGTCACTGTTTTGCTATAGTTCCGATGAGTCAACGAGCACAGAAGTAAGCTGATAATGAGGCTTACCGCTTAGCATGTTCTGTGTAAGTGACAGAGTCCCGGATGACGTTCTCCAAGAAAATTTTGAGGACACCGCGGGTTTCCTCGTAGATGAGACCTGAAATACGCTTCACGCCACCACGGCGGGCAAGACGGCGAATAGCCTGGAAAATATGGGCATGCGAATGATTATAGAATTCTATGTCACTCACTGGCTTGGTAATACCCTGGATGTTGTCGCGCAGAATCTTCCGGTGGCGTTTGGCACCGCCTTTTCCGAGACCCTATGATTGCACTGTGAGTCAGCTAGTATAAGGCGACGCTAACCAATGTTTTCCGGACCTTGCCACCCTTTCCGCGTCCAGACATGTTGTATTATAGGCAGTGACGATTTGTGTAAAGGCGGATTGAATACCGCTGGAGTCGATGGTGGTAAGTGAAAGAAGCTGTAAATGCAATGATACGCGGGTGGTCACCGGTCACGTGACATGTAGTCCTCACATGACCGGCTTATATCGTGCTTTCCAAGCACGTCACGTAGCAGCTTACTTATACCGTCCAGCATAGCCCAGATATAAACCCATCGCCTTGCCATCGCCCACAACATACTTCAATCTCTCTCACATCCCATACTCCATCTAGTCTCATAATGGTTGCTGAAATTTCTACCGCGGCACAGCTCAAGGAGTTAACCACTGATGCCAGCAAGCTGACTGTAAGTATTTGTGTCCTCAGTCCATCAAGCTCAAGTGACATGTTTATTTTCAGGTCATAGACTTCACTGCGAGTTGGTGCCCTCCTTGCCAGGCAATCAAGCCGGTCTTTGAAGGCCTTGCGAATGACAACGCCAATGTGAACTTCGTCAAGGTTGACCTCTCCGAAGGCACGAACGAGCTCGCCACCATGTACTCCGTCACTGCTATGTGAGTCTTCATCCTCTTGCAATATTTTTTCTGTGCTCATATTTCGCAGGCCAACCTTCATTTTCCTGGTAGGCGCGGAAGAGGTGCACAGGATCCGTGGCGCTAACCCGGCGTTCGTTCACCAATTTTCATCCTTGTGAATGTGCTCTGACATATATTCTAGTGGCCTCAAATCGGCTATCGCGCAACACGCCAAACCCGCATCTTCTGGTGCGTTCTCTGGACAAGGCCAGACCCTTTCGGGTAAAGGCGGATCTTCATCGTCCGCATCTACTTACAACGTATCAAACAGCCTAACTGCCGCATGGTCGAATACGAGTCCTCAAGCGAAAGTTTTGATTGCGCTTTGTGCAGCATATGTATTTTTCTGGCTGATATAGAAAAGAACGAATATTGTAGATCAGGTTTCGCGCTGGTGTATTACGTACAGATACGATATGCATCCAATAGTCATCGGATTTATGTTTGATGGATACGGGGTGAATGAGAAGCTAGAATGGTCAGCGCTGGTATTCGGCGAGTCCATCAACAGGCTCAGCACTTTTGAAGGACGCCCGGATCGTTGAAAACCGGCAAGGCGGACTGATTTACTACATCCGTCAGTACGACGATCATCATCGGAACCTCTGGCAGGCGGCTTCGGTTCTTGATCTTAACCACAACAGCCCACGCATTGCTGCTAGCGCCATGATTCATAGGCTAGCCTGAGCCTGACCGCCAGACCGGACCCTTAGGCCTTCAAATGTTCACCATGGTCAAGATGATGAATAGCGCAAACCTCGAGCCTGCGACTCAAGTTGGCCGCTGGGCCCTGGCGCAACACCATCGAGGTCCATCATGATGTAAAAAGGCCTCCGAGTCTATACTATATAATCAAGAGTTCAAGAAAGTGAGTGGCCCTCCTCACCAACATGTCAAGTGCAGATCTTGTTAATCGAGCTGCTGATCTGATGATACTTTGGCAGTTTCCACAATCTGCATACTCCTCGCGGGTATGCGATCACGGAGTCGCATTCTTTCTTCCATCCCGGACCTGATCATAACGATGCCTTCCTAACATGACGCTAGCCTGGATTCCTGTGTTGCCTGAGGCCTCCACAAGCTTAAACGTCACTGAAGCGCAATGGTCCGCGAGGTTTTGGCCTCCTTCATCGGTCAATCTTATCATCAGTAGAGGAGTCAATTCTGCAGGTGATTTCACCGCTCTTGTTTATGGTATCGTGATAGCGTCAGGGAGGCCATCATGCCAATCACGATTCGCCGCATCATTCAAGTTGGCTATGAACCAGCCAGATATCGGGTTCTAGTACCTTGGCAACTGGATATGATATCTACAATGACTTTCGATGACCCTGAAAGGGTTCAGCGCTCAGCGCTCAGCATCCAGTGTGCTGTCATGGTCGCTTGAAATGGTGTGGATATGGTTGACGTGTCGCGTTACACTATAACTCTGGGACCCCGGATTCTTGGATATATTGGCCCTGCGCAAAAAGAAAGATGTCTGCCCTGTTTTTTGTGGAAACCTGGAATTAGAAGGGGAGCCTGCCTCAGCATGTTCGATTTAAATCCATGCCTAGAAATGTTTTGCCTGTTATTAGTGTCCCTCTTTCCGAAAATGCTGTATGTATTTCTGTACAGATGGAATGGAATGATGTACATGTCAGGCCTTCAGGGTTGGCACACAAGCACCTTTCTACAACGGCAAACCGACGTAACCAGCACCAGCATCCTTCAACAGGCGTTCGATCAGTTTCATGCCCTCCAAGACGCGCTCCTCTTCAAGTCGTCTTCCTACAATCTGCACGCCAATGGGGAGACCTTCCATGGCGCTTGCGTCATACATCTTGTAGTAGTTCCGTTCGATGGCGTTTCGTGGACGGAAAGCGCGCGAGAGAACATCAGTCGTCGCATCCACATGCGTGATTGGCATAACCCCCGCACTATAATCAAGCTTTTCAAGATTCAGGATGAATTCCAGATCGAGAGGGGTGGAACATACCAGATTGAATAGGAACGTGTACCCACACGCTTTCCATCCGTGCCTCATCCCTCCGTGAGGAACAGCAGGAAGACTGTTTGGGACAGTGAGAATGAAGTCAACTCCTTCATCGCCCTGGCGGTCTTCGACCTCCGCGTCTCGCCACACTTTGAACCAGCGAGAACGATAGTCCTCCCTTCGCGCAATTAAAGCATAAAATTCTGGCATGGTCTTCTCGTAATGAGTGTCGATCAGACCGGCATAGATAGGATCGCGGCGTATGTAGCGGTAATACCAAGCGTAGAGTTTCATGACGAAGTAGGGAAGACGAAGGCCGCGGAAGGCTGAAATCATTCCAGCATCGTTGGACTCGAATGCGCGGTGGTTTTTGGAAGCCGTCTTGCCGCCATCAGCAAGGAGGAGCTGTGACGCAATTTGAAGACCTTCGTATGGGCTCGGGCACTGCCTGAGGTGGGATAGGAAACGCTTTCAGGAAAGAAGAAATTTGACCTACAGAGTGACAACTTCGTGGCCGTTCTTCTCGAGTATCGCGGTGACCGTTTTCAATGCTCGCGCGCAGGCAGGCGAGGGTGTCACAACACCTTTATGTAAATGTAAATATGCTGAGCTTAAACTCCATAGAGATGTTCCGCTTACCGTCATCCCACAGGACACCCCACCTGATGGGGCGATCTTCTGGAAGTTTGACATCTCTCCAAGGAATTCTGAGAACCTATATTACCACATTACCATGCAGCAACTTCACAACACTGATATTCAGAAAAATTATTTACCGAGTAGTCGTAGTTCCAAGGCTTCATCTGGAACACAGCACGCCAGAATGTCTCTAGATCTTCCAACGTTCTAGTCATAGGGCTATGTGTTGCAGGAACGCCTTCCTGGCCAGGCATACTGGATGCGCTGCCTTGCTTCAAGAATCTATACATACTTGATTTGATTGAATAGACACCAGAGAAGTGCGCAGGAGCCCGAACGCTCCCCGCGACATCTGTGCCTATCGCGAGTCTGGCTGCACCGAGCGCGAGGAGTACAGCTTCACCTGAAGATGATCCTCCTGAGGTGTAGCCCTTCTTGTGGGGATTGTCTGTAGAGCCAAAAACATCGTTTGTCGACTCCAGTGAGAGCATAGTCATGGGGACGTTCGTCTTGACATATGGAACGGCACCTGCATCTCGCAGCAACCTCACCAACGCGCCGTCGGCGGCCATTGGTTTGCCCACAAGAGCTGAGTATCCCATGGAGGAATCCCAACCCTTCACACTTACCAGGTCCTTGAGCGAGACTGGGACGCCTGCTAGTGGACCTGATTTGTTTGCAGTGCTAGCCCAAGTCTCTGCAGATGCAATCATAACCTCGGTCAGACAGTTTGTCTGAGCATGCGCTTGAAGAGCTTTTTTAGAGTAGGCAACGAGGATGTCTGATGGAGACAGAGATGACGTTTGCACAGCAGCCACCAGAGACGAAACTGAGCGAGACAGAATGTCTTTGTCCTGGGATGTGAGAGGCTCGTGGTAGATGGGTTTGAGGGATGCGATACGTTCTGCTCGCTCTCGTTGCTTATCGCGACTAGTATGATTATGGACCTCGTCAGAGTCTGTCGAGGAAACAAACAATGATATAGAAGGCTCACCATGCACGACGGTGCGACAGATAAGAGAACCACATGTTTCCTGAATCCGTACTAATGGCAAATCTTTCAGAAACCCTCGTTAGTTGAGGGGAACAGAGTCCAGATGTGTGAGAAGACTGGCAGCCGTGAGGAAGGCTCACGAGCCTCAGCTGGTTCTTATCGTACTCGCATGGAATGGGCACGGGATTGAATTATGTTATATGCCATTACCTTGTACCACAAGATCAACATAATAAGTATTAATATCAGCTCATAATTGTACACACGTGAAAATGATGTAATAATTGTTAGCAGCGGCGCTTTTGCCACAACTTGCAAGTAATATTCTCCCCGACGAAGGACGTTGAAGCTTGAATCTCTGAAGGGAAGCGGTCGTTTCTTCTTATATCCGCACTGAGAAACTTCAATTCCTGGAACCTGAGGTACCTGCATAACTGGCAGCTCGCCCGTTGCTGACAGGATCGTGGCTGCCAAAATCAGGATACAGGCCAAGAATAAATTAACATGCGGGTAGTATTCCAAGAACTTCAAGCCAGAAGCAATAACACCGTCTGTGTAACAGATGCTAAATGCCTCGGTGGAAATGTAGTTGTGTCGATGTCGCAAGCTGAAAAGTCACGGTGAATCACAATTCCTTCCAAAATGCTTTCCCGAATTGGAATTACGTATTACGACAAAGTTGCGACAAAGTACTTTATGCTAAGCGATGTGTGCACATGCGAGGGGTTTGGGCCCGGCTGTGGATGAGTGCTACTAGTAGTATACTACGAGAGTGATGTTGAGTACTAGTCATGTTATACATATCAGAGTTACGCCTTCTCTGACATAGTGATGATTTTTAATATGATCCCTTCCCTGGACACGCTCCATGGTCAATGTTTGCCAATCCTGCTCACGCACACTGAATTCAGTTGCAAGTAGATATTCTCGGACTCCGGGTCTTGTATCTGTTCAGAATTTGCGATTGTTTGGCTCAAGCCCGACAGCTTGCTTTGCGCGCAGCTTGTTCTCAATTCAAAGGGACAAATGCAGAGCTCGCCAGTCGTTGACAGGTTCGTGACTGAGGGACGTGTCCGAGTCTTCAAGGCGTCCACGCAATTTCAAGCGTCAGAACAATCTCTCGAATGTGTATGAGGAACGTGCACCTTTACTATTTTTCGATCAGATTCAATGCAACGGGTGATCTCTGTTGTCAACTGTGAGCGAAACGACCAAGAACATTAATGTATATTCAAAGGTAATGAACTCATCATAATCATTGTTAGGGGTACTGGGTGTCGCAATCAAGCAGATAAAGTCGGTAACGTCAAACGAGTTCCCAACGTCACGTTCAAGTATGTAGCTTCGGGGAGGATTTTCGAACAGAAGCCTTTTGACATTCTGCAGCCTCCCGTGCGGCATCTGCCCAATCCTGCTCACGCACGCGAAGCTCAATTCCTAGTATGGTCTTGTTTAATTGCATCATAGTTATTCCGTGACGTTGGCGGATGTGCGACTCCCAGTCCTCTGGGAGTCGTTCTTCATGAAGGAAGTTATGGAGGTCGTCCACACGGCCTCCAAAGATAGTGACTAGGGTCGCGGCACTAACAGAACGTTCAAAAGTGCGCTTGAAATGGATGATACAATAACGTACTTTGCGCTCCCAAAGATCTTGTGGAAAAGGCTGAGAGAGAACTCCTTGTTTACTGCGCGTGCGACTACACGCCGCTTGCCGAGTATCCTGGAGAGATCTTTGGTGGTGATGACAGTATTGTCTTTTTTGTCCTTGCCGGTAGCTGCTGCAAGTAACTCTTCAATGAAAGGTACGTGCTTTGTTGATTGCGTCTGTTCGAGAGCAGAATCGAGGCCTAAAAACAAATTATTCCGACGTACACAAACAGGCATGTCAAATCACCCACGCAAGAGGGATCCGTCGTGTTCAATACCATTATGTAGGTCAAGTTCTTCCAAATCAAATAAGTCCTCGCTGTAGTTTTTCTCAAGCATACGAGCGGCAAAGCGCGGCACAAATGAGCAGAAGCTAGGACTGAAGTTGTATGTTGCCCGAATATGATGGCCAACCTCGATAAACGAGACGTTGCGGCCACTGCGTGGGATGATACCTGGGTTTTAATGTCGTCAACACCAATACTACCACCTGGGCTTAAGCACCGAGGCTGGCAGAATCACTCACCATGGTTGGCCATCGCATTGAGTGCAGGGCAAGAGCAGCGGGAGTCGGTCTCCTTGGGAGGCCTATACTCGGGCCAGTACTTCCCATAGCCTGGGTGGCCCTCGGGGGTGACATACCCGATGCGACGCTTCCTCCTCATGAGATTGGAGAGGGTGAGGAGGATATCCCAAAATAAGATCCCGACATCGAGGGAAATACGGGACACGATGGAGAAGGGGCCCATTTGATTTTCCTTGTGTCAGTGATAGGTATGTCGAAGGTGATAAGTCTGAGAGATAGATAGGTACGGTTCAAAGGGCTTAAGTATACACAGGATCCGAATAATGTCAGCGGTAGTGTCACAGAACCGACGGAAAAGTTCTGTATCCCGGTACTAAGCGCTTGTGGAGTCCCATGTCCCCCAAGTATAGACCGAGACTCATGTAGGAGGGGGGTGGACAAAAGGAGTGATGAATAGCGTCTAACAGACATTATTTTCAAGTCCGAATGTGGCATAGGCTTCATCGAGCTTCTCCAATCTAGGAATGAATTGTCCAACGTTCAGATCCCAGAGTTCGTGGCGGTTCCAAGGAGGTTTAAAATTGTACTTTTGGGCGTTTGATAGCTTGAATATTGACGCAGCTTTCCGAGTCGGAGCGCCTGCTTGTCATACTACATACGAAAACTACATGGAGGATCAAAGGGATCCCCAGCAGTGTTTCGTGTTTGGGGAGTTTTAGGAACCTGAAGACACCTGAGTTCGAATGACAGTGACAGGTCTCCTCACCAAGCCGAGTAGCAACTTGAAGAAGTGTGCGGTACTGATACCGCTGGACAATAGCAGTACAGTCCATTTTTGTCGAAATCAAACTCAAGTTGACGTTGAGTGAAGTCCGGACTCAACGAGTAACCGATACAAATTGTTTCTTTGTGAAACGATGTTATCAACTAGCGACAAGATCGATATGTACGTCCGGGATACGGCCGGGTGTTTTACCCGTAGAATTCGATGCGAAGTTGTTCAAACTTTGAAGAATCAAAAATTTGAAATCTAATGCGAGTCACGTGATGTCGGTGCTTAATTTGGACGTTATCTTGGTCCCTTCAGGCTTCGATAGCGAACATGACAGCAGCAGCAAGATGCACGCCAGGGCTTGCTTCCACTTCATACAAGCTCCCTTTCATGACTTCAGTACTGAGATATAAAGTACACCGTGATTCCCGCTGCTTCTCATCCACGTGTCGACGAGCAGCCCACTTGCGTGATCACTATGCAACCCTTGGAGTCCCAATCACAGCAACGAAGGCTCAAATAAAGGCATGGGTCATTCTTGTGAATTCTTAAAGGATCTGTTCCTCACAAACTTATGATAGACACATTTCTACCAAGTGAGTCGTCCTTATTGGTAGCAAAGGGTGCCTACTGATGAACCTCGCCAACTCTTAGCTCAGCAAGAAATATCATCCCGATGTCAGTCAGGACAATACGGCACGAGGAAAATTTCACGCAGTGAGTGAAGCTTATGCAGTGCTTGGGGATGATCGGAAACGGTACGTCTCAAAGCGCTCACCTGATGTACTGACCTGATAACTCGATGGCAGGCGAGAGTACGATCGTAGTATCCGCCACGCATCACCGTCACAACCATCCTCTCACAACCCGCAAGCTACTACAGCACGTCCCTCCAATCGATCAGGGTCACGCAATGCATGGCAAAATAATGCACGTCAGCATCAGCACCGTGACCCCAAGTCCAGCCATGCGCATGACCCAAACGCAGCTTATGACCACCCATGGGAGCATGCTCGAGCAGGCAAATACACCTATTATCAACCTCCCCCCGGCGCCCATTCGCGCACGTCCTATACATGGTCGCACACAAATCCATTCTCCAGCCCACACGTCCAACGAGCCACCGGTCGTATGTCTGCATATCCTTCATCAGGAACGGGCCCGTCTAATGGTGGCAATGAAAATATGGCTAAAGAAACACCACGACCGAAAAGAACGCAATCGGACGAGGACATAGTTGCAGCGGAGAGTGTTATAGGGCGTGTGTTTGCGGTGTCAGGACTTTTAACTTTCATGTTAGTGATAGCCCAGTTTGCGGGTGCGCCGTGGGGCAGTGCGCATGCATGAATCAATCAATTTTGCGATCAGTTCGTCGAAACGCATAGAAATTTAGTTGGAAGCCTAATACTACAACAGTACTTTCCTGATACATACATTGACTGTCTGTCTACGCCACCTCCCGCAGGTATCTACCATCCGTCAGCGCTAGCACAGGCATTAGCAGATTGTGACGTAGGGTCTTCTATACATCCCTGTGGTGCACTACTGTCACTCTCGTTGTTCTCTTGCAGTGCTTGCGCCCTGGTATACCCAAGTAACTTCTTGACCCGATCTACAAATACTACTGCGAATACTGCAGAGAATGCTACGATGATTACTTTCAGTTGGAATTCGCCTAACCGAACTTCACTGTCAGTCTCATTCTCTTCTGGTCCGTCATGAGAAGGCATGGCTTTCTGGGCAGCAAACGAAGCTGCCTGAGCTTGCAACTTCGTCTTCTCCCTTTCCTTCAACTCCCTATCTCGCGTGAGCTTGTTCATCACCGACCAGTATCCAACAGGCGGGCGATAAAACATCAATGAGCCTGACTTGACTGGGCCCCAGAAAGTGGGATCAACCGGCCGGGGTTCAGGCGAAGCTAGTTCCCCCGCCCGTTGATGTCGCAGTCCCATTATAAGAGCAGAATGCAGTTGCTCGTATTGATTGTATTTCCGTCTGCGATGATGTTCAGAACCAATATACTATAGTTGGCCGAGTGAAAAATAAACAAGCACACCGAGTCTTTTGCTTTCCAAGCACAGCGCAAGCCTCGGTAACCTTTCTGAAAATTTCGGGAGAAGTTGGATCTTGAGAGACGTCAGGATGATGTTGCCTGCTCAGCTACACGCGCATCACCTCAACAATGCGCATCGACTATGACCAAACCACACCTCGTAGTACCTTTTCTGTGGTGCCGTATCAGTTACTAGAATGAACCTCGAACGAGCTATGTGTGAGATACATGAAGCGTAAACACACATGAAAGGGGAGAGAGAAAATCATCGAGTGACACAGATTCTAAATTGTCTCATGACCGATGTGAAACAGGACGACGACAACCAACGAAAATTCCGCAACAGCTCACTCCTACATACTCAAAGTCTTGCGCTCCACCAGTTGGGCCTTGTGCTTGTATTTGAATTGGTTGCACTTGAGATGCTTGTGCTCCAGCTGGCTGTCCTGATGGTATTAAATTGTCGGCTTCATTGCCATTCGTGCGTTCCATAGCTGCGGCTGCTTCCGCATCAGACTCGGGGACAATACCAATCCTCTGCAATGTGTTTTAATGGGAGGAAAGAGGAGGAAACGAGAGCTACTCACATTTTCATCTTGAGCAAGAGGTACATCGATGATGCTGCCTAGAATGTCCTCCAGAAAACAATTTGAAGTTGAAATTCCAGTGTCGGGACTGTCGCTCTATTGGTTGAGACGCAGTTACAGGTCGTGTGCCGAAATGCTTGGGACTGAGCCAACGACGCCAACGAATGAAGGACGATGGGCTTGCATGTGGAACTGCACGACGAGGCGCGTGGTCTGAGTCGTTGCTGAAGAAATCATTGCCCTATATCTTGGTGTCAGACAAGAAATGGAAAACAAGAGATTACACTGACGTATCTTGCAAATCCATATTTTTTGGCCTGTTGATTAGGAGCAAGACAGGCGTCAGAGATCTAATGAGACATCTGAGAAAAGGTGGGGTTGCTCACGATTGGTGGGCGCACAACTCTCTGTCGGGTTGGACGTCCCTGGTAAAAAATGAGATGTAGTGTGAAAGAGAAGTGGTGAAGACTTGCCTGAAGCTTTGGGTTCCCATCATCGGCACCCTAAATGACTAAAACTATTAGAAAGGACATTGTAATACCAAAGTACATATGTACCACAACTTTGAGCGCCGCCTTCAAGGCTCCATACATAGATTTTTTTGTCTGGTCCAGCGCTGGTAATGTATTTTCCATCGGGGGAGATGGCGACAACCCAGATTTCGTCATCATGCAAGAGTGGATCTCCGACTGCCTGATTGTTCTTGAGATCCCAGATGCGAATAGAGTAGTCCCTTGATCCGCTAACAATATACCTTTCATCAGGGGTAAGACACAAGGATTCGACGCCGTGGGTATGATCCCGGAAAACGACGAGTTCGTGTCCATCAATAGCCCGCCATTTTCGAATGGTGTTATCAAGCGAGGCAGAAAAGATATGTGCGCCATCCTTGGACCAACACAATGACGTCACTCCGTTGTCGTGTCCCTCGATTTCGATAAGCAGCTTGCCGTCCCTTGACCACACGCAAATTATATCATCCCCATCCACTCATGAATTTGTCGCCTTGTGGAGAGTATTTGACGGCTCCGACCCATCCGTGACTGGTCTGTATGAGTGGTACTATTTGTCGACCAGTATCCGGGTTCCAACGTCGTATGGTGCCGTCTTGCGATCCACTTGCGATCTCCAAGGAATTGCGAGACCAATCGAGGCAAGTCACCGCAGCGTCGTGCCCCTCCCATGGGTCGCCGATCATGCTGCCCTTTTTTATATTCCACAGTCGCAGTCTGTACATCTACACTTCCAAAAACGACCATTGTTTCATCTGGGGATACTGCCATCGAGACTATCCCTTCCCCGTCGTGATTCGAAGGCTTTCCTACTGGCTTTCCGTCTCTTTTCCACTGACGAATTGAACTATCCCAGGAAGCGCTCATTATATTGCCACTAGTACCCAAGTGGGCAAGGCTCCATATGCAGTCGGAATGACCCTCGATGACGCACTTCCGGCATCAAGCTTCCTGCCGGACGTTCTGGCTTAGGTTTCTTCCACGACGTGATCTGAGTATTGTGGTTGACGAAGTACGACCGACCGAGTGGTGAGATGTGCCATTCCCATCCGGGATCAACGAGATCTTCAGGATCATCTATGTTCAACCGTGAATTCGTCGGTCCGCGTCGCAATTTCATCCCTCACCTAATCGCACTCCTGGTAAAGGTCGGTTCCACGAGACCATCACAAGCGTGTCGTCTTGATATAGTGTGTTACCATTGGACGCCTTAAATTGTTGCCACACGGGAGGAAGCGCTTCATTCCCGCCTGCTTCTGATTGAGTAAGCTGCAGTGGGTATATAAGGTGACTTCTGACCTTCCCAAAGTGCGTCCTGATGGTGTTGTGCACCATATGATGGAAGACCATCTGCGCTCGCCAGAAGAGGTACGTGTGTTAGTGGGTTGAATATCATTTCTCCTTGTGCTCCTCTCCGTTGTGCTGATGTGCTCGACTCGGTGACTTCGCTGAGCATAACTCTGATCAAGAAAGGACGCTACGTTTTCAGACGGTTGGACAATGAGGTAGAGGCTGATCTCGATAACGGGTAAAATGAATAGTCAAGGACGAGAAAAGACGATGAGGATGCTTTTTGTTTTGCACGCTGTATTCGCGAGCGCCTATCTTACACTGCATGTGGCCTCGGTTCGTTCCGTGTCGTCGTTGTACAGTGTGACACTCGGACGAGAGGTATTTGCCAAGTGGCAAGGAGTACTCGGATATGGGTCTCACAGGTTCGTGCATAAAGATGGACCAGAGAGGGTGTGGGTACCGGTGTGAGTTGGACGATTGCGCAAACGAAGTCTTGAAGTTTTAGACTCGCGCCGTTATTTGTGTTTGCAGAGGGTAGATCGGTATCATACCCCGGACACGCTGGTACGTTGTTAAGTCAGGCGGCGGCCAGGCCTTAAATTACATAAGCTGAAAGCGTCATTTGATTCCTTTTTAGCCTGTCTCCGCCCGCGATCGCAAATTTCGTTGAAGCCATTCTTGAGTTTGAAACTTGAGCATCTGCTGTCCCGGGTCTTCTGGTTCGCACTGTCTCAACCTCACTATTACTGTCCCATCATCGCTTCCGCTTCTGTCATTTGGAGACGACGCCTTTATCCCTCCGTTGTCTAGCATCACAAATCGCAGGGTATTCAACACCAAGATGTTAGCCTGAGTGAGTCGTTAGCAGCTTCTCGTCAAAATCGCGTAGAAATTTGAAAACGCATCACGATTCTTCTGATCATGTCCTTCAGGCTCTCAGGCTCATGTCCATCGCCTCTATGCGAGAATTTTGGCTGGTGTCAGTGCAAGATCACCTGGTGAAATATTTGATGGTAAGCCAAACAGTTCTCTTGTGGCCGTTCCAATTAGGCTGGTGGCTCGGTGTGACATGAATGTGCAATGGCACAGGTGGTGTAATCATCTGGGCGTGTTTTTCGAGGGGACCGACAAAGACCTGAGGTCGGATCAGTATTCGCGAACTAGTGTGCTGGGTGAAGGATTCCATGCCTCCCGCCGTGACCGCTCTATACTTTTCTACTTTTGAGGCCCAAGAACAACTTCAACACACACCCATCCCCCATCCTTCCTCCGAAAGCATGTACAGAGAGATAACGTTTCTTTTCTTTTCAATCAGGATTGACCCTCTGGTAGACCATGGCGAGTCTAGGTGAGAAACTTGTGCGATGCGATGTGTTTCAAAGAGGTTGTTCAGAGCTGTTCAGAGGCGTACAAGACGAGCTGATTCAAACGAATGAGTCCAGACTTTCGGAACAATCAAGTGTGCCTGCCCACTATCAGGGGAAACGAACTTTGTCGGCAGGGACCCGTTGATGTCTACTGGTTTTGCGAGTACAATATCAGTGTGCGAGGTATTATATATTACTTCCCACACGACTTTAGCTACAATTACAGATCTAGAGTGACCAGTCATCATGTGCGGTTTAAAGTTTGAAAATTTGACTTCCCACCCCGCTCTCGAACATATTCGGCAAACAAACGCCCCCTGCACTATGCCCTATCACTCAAATAATGACACCCTCACACTCCACAACGAAAGGAGAGTGGCACATTATGCAACAGTACTGTCGATACTATGGAAAGACCACGACCAGACAAAACATTCGCAAGTTCGATTGATATAGTCTTAATCTACTAACTTCTCACGTCAACCACATATATACGAAGGAAAAGATGCAAATGACGAAACCATGTCCAACATAGGGTTTATGACCCCGAAGGATTCACTTTGAAACGAAAAAAAGAATTCGACTATCGACTTCGAGGAACGAAGTAGATTCTAAGTAAGTTCACGCCATGGTAACATTGCGTAGTTGTAAAGCTTTCGACCTGTGTACAAAATTAACACCGCAAGGCCAATTGGATTTGAGGCGAAGCAAGGCTTACACGAGGCACCTGGATGCACTACATATGGAGTAAATATGACGAGGTCTGATATGAAGTATTGAAGCCTTACCTAGAAAGTTGGAGTCTCGCCAATTGCTGTGGCAATACTGGTCTCAGTGCCCTGTGTACAATATTAATATCGCGATGCCAATCAGTGCATTGGATATAAGGCTTACACGGGGGTACTGGGTGAATCACATTCGAGGTTAATGACATAACGAGGGTAGGTACCAGACACTTACATTATAATTAATGGTTGCCGGAGTGGCGGTGGCTACACATCGTGTGTGAGTGAACAGTATTAGATTTTGTGCGAAGTCAGCCTCACCTGAGGCAGCATAGCTTGTGGTAACAAAGGCCGTCAAGGCAAGCAGAACATAGAGGGGAGCAGAGAAGAAGCGAGTGGACATGATGGTGAGTATATCTGTATCTGTTACGCTGTCTGATCTGTGACGATGGGCTGAAGTGAGAAGCACACAGCTCCAAAGGATGCCGTTTAAGTATTCTTCCTTGGGCCGTTGAGAACCTAATAAAACAATTTCAGCGTATCTGATATTTTACCTTTTGATGTCATAATGGTGTCACTCGCTTGCTACAACAGACAGATAACCGCTACGCCAGCCATATTCGATGCGACCCCTTGCCACGAATTCAATTACTATTATGGATCAATAATAAAATCCTTATTGAGTAGCTCGGTAAGTTGTTCAAACATTTGATGTCATACCGCGTCGTTGGGGATCTCCTATCGTCTGCTATAACAGCGCCTAACGACGCGGTGTGACATGAAAAAGAGTCCTACTCAATAACGATTTATGAGTGGTATTCAAATTAACGTCCTGAAACGACTTAGATCTGAGTTGTTTATCGATCCATATAACAAGGTAACGTCATGATGAATCCGTGGCAGGGCGCCACATAGAGCAGGACCGGCCGCCCACCCTAGCAATATCGAATTTATTAGCCCCGCTCAATTTGCGGTGGATTTCGCCCAGTTTATTGTTCACGAGCGATATGTGTTTTGATGGCAAGCAAGATAAACTGATTTGAAATTGAGTGCCTCAGTTGTGTTTTTACAGTTAATTTGCGGAGCTCACATAGTGCCGAACAGCCAACAGTCCTCCTCGCAGACGTTGGGTGATATCTTGCCACTCATCATGACGTCACTATTATGGATACAGCTAAGGGGCTCTAGAGTCCAAAAACTGATTATTAGAGAGCATATCGACCCGAGATAGTGCGTTGACAGGCATCATATATGAAATCAACAAGAGCGCACTCAAAGCCAATTGTTATTCATTTTCGTGAGGAGTTCAGCAAGTCTTGAAGAGTGTTGTGTATGCCTTGTGTCCACACCCCAAGTTCCTTCTCCAACGACACCACTGTTTCGCGAATATTTCTCCCGAGCTCACCGCCGTCGTTGTTTCTGCCAAAACCGATCATCAGTTCGTGTCTCGCACGCACTAGTGTTTCGTATGCAGCTTTGAGTCGCGCAGGGCCGGATGGTAGGGACGCGATATTCGTGGGTGGTGATGTGACCGGGCAGGGTTCATCAACAGCCAAAAGCTTCCCGAGCTCTGCGAGGGCGACGGCACGTACAGGGTGGCCATCACGGAGAATGGCAGATAGCCCCATATAGTGCTTAGCTGCGATACGGATCGTCTCGTCCAGCAGTTCTTGTGCCATGTCTGCCGACAACGAAGACAAGAGAAGTGATTTATGGAGTCCTATCAAGGGTAATAACGGGTGACAAGATGGCGTCAGGCCGGCAGACACAAGTCTCGGAATAATATTGGTCGTCAGCTGTAAGGCCTTATCATGATCTGTAAGGACATATTAGGATTTACGTGGATGTATTGCCTACGCAACATGAGGGACAAACCTGTATCTTGAATGGAAGTTGCCTTCGCCAATGCTTCTTGTCCAATATGAAGAGCGTCCATGATAAATGTAGGTGTAGCTACAACTGCGCGGCATTTCACGCATTGATATGTCTCGCTTTCTGTTATAGATGTAGTGTATGAACAACCAATATTGCAAGTAAAGCGCCGACCGTTCTCACCGTCACTAGGCGCAGGGCACATCCCTCCACATGACTTTGGACACCATATTGACTCACGAGGGTCTATTATATTGTCGTCATGACATAGTTCACACTGGCATGTGAAGTCATATGTCTCCTTCAACGCAGCCTGTCTTAGAGAACGAGGTAGGGTGGTGTCGATATAGGAGGTCAGAATCTGACAGCGATCGCTGGTTAGTGAGAGCGCTTCGAGTAAGTGGTCTATACTCGCCTCCTCATTGGGTGAAATGTCTCTGAGCGCAATGACTTGCATCTGCGGCTCCTCCACGGGATTTCGAGAAGACCGAGGAAAAACTATGACTGCACCGGGATCACAAGAATGGTTGAAAAGCGCAACAAGTGGCGAGACCGACACCCCCACTGGTGTCAACGAGGGTGAAGTTAATGCAAAAGTATTCGTCACAAACTGTCAGATACTAAGCATGCGATGCCTGAATCATTTTGTGAACAGTGCTTACTCTTGAAATTAAATCAGCAAAGTCGCCCGCAGATAAAATGCCAAACTCCGATAGATCTCCAGGAGAGGACAAGCCGAGATATCGAACCAGAGAGTGGGCAAGGTGGGTATTATTTTCGACGACACGAGGTTCCAAAGAATGTCGATCTAATCCCACCTCGATTATAACCTTCACTTGAATGTGATGCACGACTCACGAGACTGTAATGCATCGATTTCCTTTGACTGTCGTACTGTCAGCGGTGTGAGCCATGAAATACAAACTCTTACCCACCCAACTACTATCAAACCCTTCCTTCTTTTTTTGCCATAAAATTCGACCCAGGCACCTGACAGCATCACTTGGGACAGACAAGTTTTTCGATGGTGCTGACTTGGCCCACTTCGTCAATGCAGAACATTCGAGTCGATGAAGTGACCAGTCATTTGTCTGACACGTCTAATACTGAGGAATTAGACCAGTGAAAAAGCGCTTTATGGTATAAGTGCAACTAACTGTATTACAATACCGAACTGTGCGGCATCTGGTACACCTCAACAATCCCGAGTTTGATGTGGCAGTACAAGAGGAGCAATGCGAGTCCAGATACCGGCTAGCAAGTGCAAATGAATACGGTCTTAGTGATATAATAATAGAACCTATGTTGTGTAAGCGATGTGGCTCAAGAGTCAGATCTTGCAACAAATTTGCTAACCAGCTTTGATTAAATTCCTGGCCCATAAGCCTCTGCCTGATATTTCCGATACCCGCACCTCCACATTTTCTGGTATGCCGTGGTACACAGTGCCTCCATTGCTGGGAGTTGATGTAGTTGGATCATTAGAATGTATCGCTTTTGGAATAGTTGTGGAGTGGGACTCTTTGGAATTATCGGTGGAAGTCACATACGATCTTGATGCCTTAGATTGCCTTTGAGATTTCAGACTTGCAAATGACATGATGCATACGACCTATGTAGTAATCAATACAACCCATAACGCTGGCTGGTGCCTGTTTGTCACTGTTTACGACGGTACCTTCTGAATTCAATAAGTCCAAACAAAAACCAGCTTACTAATTAGGATGAAGGAAATCTGTCACAGAAATTATCCTCTGAAGTTCCAATAATAATTGTACCAAGTTTTTCCACCCCTGGCCAACTTCGCTGGCAAATGCTAGAGTGGAAAACTGGCGCGGTGCACTGGCGCAGTAATGCCAACAACACTGCAAGTTGGGAGTTTGTTTGTACATGATTATATTTTTGAAACTCAGCTAAGATCTAATTCCACCACAAATATATGTAGTTCATCCAACAAAATGCCTACCGCAGATTCAGTGTCAGTGTTCGCGGAAGGGACTTTCGAAGAACAGGTATAGTTATACTCTCCTCGTGAAGACTCATTCCTGATCTCCGGTCAGATACAAGAGCTAGTGGATTATGCCACTCGAAGTAGCCAAGAGGATGAACGTGCTACTGCGTCGCAATCTTTCCGAGATATTATTAAGCCAGATGAAGGAGCTAAACCTATTGAAGAGGATCAGGAAAGAAAACGGAACGCGTTGACCTTTGTGCTAGATCGGACGAAAAGCTTGGGCGATGGATCAGAACAAGGTGCGTCCGGGATCCTCAGCATTTTTTGCAGTGAATTAGATCTGATTTTGAAATGCAGAAATCGAGGGTTACTTCAACCTTCTCTTCTCTCACCTTCTGACACTATGGCCGACCAACTCACCGGAAATTAAACATTACGTCTCCTCGCTCCTGGGTGTTCTTACTTCATCACCTTCCGAGCATCCATCAGTGAGGTATCGCGTGTAAGTACTACTTTTTCAGCACATTTGTACAGGATGTGTGATCGGTTCTTCAACAGCATATCAAATTTGTTCAATGCTACTTCCCGTAATTCAGCCCTGCGCCTACCTATTTACACCGCGTTGCTAAAGGTCGCCGCTAACAATGGAGAGCTCGAGACTTTACGTCTATCTAGAAAAGATGTCGAGAAGTGGTTACAAGAATGGGATATCTCTGGGGAAGAGCGCAGTCAATTCCACAAGTCCATTGTCGATGCATTCATACGATCTGGCCAGCCGTACGTATCATTCCATTTGACTGATGAAGGCTGTGGTTGACATTTGACTCATACAGGGAAACTGCTTATCACCACACGCTTTCCTATGTTTCTTCATTATCATCCTCTTCGCCTGAAAGTCAATCCGCGGCGGTCGATGCCATAGCCTTAGCATTGCGCTTGCCCAGCCTATTCGACTTTGACCCATTGTTCAAGTTGGACGCTGTTGTCTCAGCAAAGGATCACGAGCTTTTCTCGCTTCTGCAGGTGTTTTTGAACAGTGGTCTACCAGAATTACATTCATGGCTCGAAAGTCATCCGGCTGCTCTCGAAAAATATGGCAAGTCGGTTCATGATTATTGATACCATATATTTCAACTATTCGCGGGCCTGCAGAACTCGACCGAGCACAGCTTGAGCGTAAGATCCGCCTTCTGTCATTTGCGTCACTGGGTTTTGCACACGTCGGGCATGACTTGCCATATTCAGAGGTCGCGTCGACCCTGCAGATTGAGTTGAGTGAAGTAGAGAAGTGGGCGATCGATGGTACGTCCTCTTGACATCTTGTCATTTATAATTATCTCAGATAATCTTTCAATAGTGATCCGTACCGGTCTTCTTTCGGGAAAGCTCTCGCAGACCACCCAATCTCTACACGTTTACCGCTCATCAGCACGCACGTTTGAGCGGGAGCAATGGGAGGCACTGGAAAAACGTCTTGTTGCATGGAAGGCGGGCCTAGCGAGCGTGCTGGAGGTTGTTATTAGTGCACAAAAGCGCGGTAACGGTTCGGGTATGGGTGAAGTCGTACAGCAGGTCACGCAGACAGGTGAGGGCGTTCAGGTCGACGCCGCATAGCCTACATCAGAGTTCTTCTGGTCAGTGAATCAAGGCATGGTTGTTGATTGCAATTTGTGGGAAACCCGGTGAAGTTCATTGTCGTCTATCTGAACATGACTTCGGTTTTGATGTCGAACGTTCAACTCTCTGCTTATTGAGATACGAAGACTGGTTTGAACACTATCAACGTTAACTATAGCAATATTGCGCATCCAACATCTGGCGACTCCATCCCTGTTCCCGTCAATCGTGCAATCATTTGTCACTACTGGTGGTACTTTGCTTGGGAGTGCTGCTACGCGCTATGCACAGCGCACAGATTCGATATGTGTGTGTGTACCCGCTCAAAGGAATATCATATTATTCCACTCGCTGACAAGACGTATATAACAGACCAATGTGCATCGAACTGCCTCAAGATTTGCACCGAACCAAGGTAAGTAGTAGGCTACTTGATCCGGTGGTAGCACAGCCATTGACATGCGGTTTCAGCAAGGCGCCTGCAACTACAGCATGCAAAACCGACCCAAATAGCAGGTTTCTTTATCACCTTCAACCCGTATCTCTCCCTTCCCTCGATTGCTGACTTTGCGCAGTGTTCTGTCCAATCTGTCTGTACAGCGTGACATCCTTTATCGATCAAGGTCATGCCACACGAGGAGGCCGAGTCCAGCACGTCAACGAGACGGGGTAAAGCGCCATTGCACTTATCGATATATCGGACGAGCGCGAAACATCTACCACCATATGGTGCACAGCACCGCCAGGATGCACTTTGGCAAGGTGAGCAGCTACCGGGTGATACCCACCAGCTTACTCAATTAGAAGCAGGCGGGAATGAAGCGCTTCCTCCTATGTGGCAACAGTTCAAGGCATCGTCGGATGATGCATCAGGATATCAAGATAACACGCTCCTAATGGTCTCGTGGAATCGACCTTTACCAGGAGTGCGACTAGGTGAGGAATGGAATTGCGACAAGGATCGACGAACTCACCATTGAACATAGACAAGCCTGGATATCTCACTGTTCCTGGATGTGAATGGCACATCTCACCATTCGGTCGGTCCTACTTCGTCAACCACGATACTCGAACCACGTCGTGGAAGAAACCAAAGCCAGAACGTCCTGCAGGCAGCTTGATGCCAGAGTGTGTCATCGAGGGTCACTCCAAATGCATATGGAGCCTTGCCTACTTAGGTACCAGTGGCAATATTATGAGCACGTCTGACGATAGTTCGATTCGTCAGTGGAAAAGAAACGGAGAGCTAGTAGGAAAACCTTTGAAGATCGATGGGGGAGGGACATGTTCGATGGTAGTATCCCCAGATGAAACTATGTTGATTTGTGGAAGTGGAGACGGCAGACTACGGCTGTGGAATATAAAGGAGGGCAGCATGGTCGGGGACCCGTGGGAGGGACATGATGGTACAGTGAGGTGCCTCGATTGGTCTCGCAATTCCCTAGAAATAGCAAGTGGATCGCAGGACGGCACCATACGACGCTGGAACCCGAATACTGGACGTCAAATAGCACCACCCATGGAGACCAGTCACGCATGGGTTATGGCCATCAAATACTCTCAACAAGGCGACAAATTCATGAGTGGTGGGAACGGTCCGATCTGTATATGGTCAAGGGACGGCAAGCTGCTTATCATGATCAAAGGACATGATGATGTGGTGACGTCATTGTGTTGGTCCAAGGACGGCGCACACATATTCTCCGCGTCACTCGATAAAACCATCCGAAAATGGCGCGCGATTGATGGACAGGAACTCGTCGTTCTTCGGGGTCACACCCACTATGTCAGATCCCTCTGTCTTACTCCCAGTGAATGCTATATTGTTAGCGCATCAAAGGACTTCTCTATTCGCATCTGGGATCTCCAGACCAATCAGGCAGTCGGACATCCACTCTTGCATGACGACGAACTCTTCGCTGTTGCCATGTCCCGCGGTGGAAAATACATTGCCAGTGCTGGACTGGACAAAAAAATCTATGTGTGGAACTTGGAGGCGGCGCTCAGAAGGGTTGTGGTATGTATATGCGCTTTGTTGTCTAATGTCCCTTCCTAATGGTTTTGACCATCCAGGGCGCAGATGATGGGAATGTAAAGCTGAAGGCAAGTCTTCTCTGCATAGCTTTTACACTACATCTCACTTTTTACTAGGAGCGACCAGCCCAACCAGGAGTTGTGCGGCAACCAGTCGTAAGGAACCTCATTCTTTCTCGTATGTTTCGCTAGATTCTTAATGTCCATCTGCACTTCAAACAATAGGCCATTATCAAAGGCTCGGCGAAATACGTTAGTAGAATTTTTCGTTCTTCAGCTCTTGCTAATCCGACTTTGATACAGGGCAATGATTTCTTCGCCAATGATTCAGATCGCGCAGCTCCGCCTGCGAGTTCATCTTTCTTTCATTGGCGCACTTGGATTGGTTCCCTCCGGTTCAGTACCCAACCTACAGATACGCCTCGACCATCACCTCGCACATCCCGACATTGGCATTTCAGCTTAATTCCTGTAAGAAACTCCAGTCGTACCGTCGTTAGATCTTTGACCTCCTTGCCTCTATTCAGCCGAAAACCAGGATTGGAACTCGCACACTGAGCGATACCCGTGCGCAATCATCACCCGATACCAAAGATAAAGCACCAACACGCCCTCGAAGAGATGTCCGGAATGTGTCCGGAACGGATGACAGGAACGGCACAGAAATCGGTGCTACCGTCCAGTCTGACACGACTTCACGGGATCACGCACCATCTCCAAAGCCGCAGACTCGAGCACCGTCACATCCACTACAAGATCTTACTGATGACCTACAGGGAAGATCACGTTATCCGATAACTTCTGGAGGCTTTGGAGACATCTGGAAGTGTGATTTAGTGAGGCTCGATATGACCGTCCAGGTATGCTCAGCTTGTCGCACTTCCTATTGTTACCATCCTGATGAAGACCAAGGTAGCAGTGAAGACTATTCGCGCTTTCGAATCCGACGACGAGGTCCTGGTGCGGAAGAATAGTAGGGTAATGTGGTCTTCCAC